GGGGATCATCCTAATGGGGATGGGGATCAGCAAAATTACCAAAGCTGTATGAAATTAGAAATTTCTTCCTCCGCTACGCTTGTGTGGTCTAAATAGATTAAAATATTGATTCAAAGACTCTGCTGCTTCCAGAACTCAGTGTCATCTCAGTTGACAAGGCAAACCTTCTGCCACTAGGTGGATATTTTCCAGTGTGCGAAACAACTAACTAAAGCTAGAGAAACTAAATATTAGGTGTTAACTCTCACAAAACCAGTTCTGCCAGCCTAGTTGTGAAACACTTGGGAGGATGTGTCCATTCTTAAAATGTGTCAGTGAAACTGCAAATAGTAGGCAAGATGATCAACAGTAAAATGAGGAGGTTGTCACTGTCATTGTGATGGATTTTAATTGTAAGCTAAGAAGTGTGCATGCACACGAAAGCTCATACCAATAACGAACTTAGTTGGTCTCTAAGGTGCTACCGGAAGGAATTTTTTTATTTCGTTTCAACTACGGCAGACCAACACGGCTACCTACCTGTAACTAGCTGAAATAGTGAGATATAAATTAGAGGCAACCAAACTACAAAAATCCTGGTGTAGTAAGAATTTCAAATTATATTTAGAGCCAATATAATTGAAGTCAAATGATACATTCAAAGTAAAACTATATTATCTTCAAAAAGCAACCTAAACATCGCACAAAGGTCCTTCCTTAGATATATGGGTATAAAGAGGTATACAAATTTTAATCATCATCAATATCATCATCATCTCTAAAATTCAGTGGTACCTCGGGTTACATAAGCTTCAGGTTACATACGCTTCAGGTTACATACGCTTCAGGTTACAGACTCTGCTATCCCAGAAATAGTACCTCAGGTTAAGAACTTTGCTTCAGGATGAGAACAGAAATTGTGCTCCGGCGGCGCAGCAGCAGCAGGAGGCCCCATTAGCTAAAGTGGTGCTTCAGGTTAAGAACAGTTTCAGGTTAAGTACAGACCTCCGGAACGAATTAAGTACTTAACCTGAGGTACCACTGTATATGAAGAGGATTAGACAAGAATAGCAAATGTAACTGAACTGTTAAATTAGGAAGCAGCAGATTCCACTTCAGCATCTGCATGTGTATTGATAAGTCTTGGGTTGTATTTTATACTTTTGGAATGGGGTTATCTGCCCTTTATGCACAAAGAGCAGGATGCTGTGTTTGGTGCAACATTCATAAAGGGTTCACAACATCATTGTGGCTTCAGGGTCAATGGCAGGGTGTGCACAGACTGCTTCCAGTGACAGAAGAAACCATCATGGCTCTAGCAAGTGTTGTGCAAACACCTCTGCCGAAGGCCTTAAGAGAGCTGCTTCCTGTCAGAACAGGCAATACTGGGCCAGATGGACAAACAGGTCCTATGTATTAGCGTCACTGGTGGGTGGATGTGCTGGTTTCTAGGAACACTGGGTATCGGCCTACCCATGAACCTCCCTGAGGCGCCCATGTTGTGAGCACAGTCTATGTATGGCTGAGGTTCAAAATGCATGCAATGGTGCAAGGCTGCATGTTCAAACCCGAATCGGCAACAACCTGAAAGGCGAGGGTTCTATTTAAATATGGGACACTTTGCCTAAGGATAAAGAGCTCTCTTCCACACTTCTCTCAGGCTTGGTCTATATGCAGCAAGATAAGAGCGTAAGTTTTTATTTTACAATTAAAAAAATTAAACTGCGTAAAAAGGTTCCTCTAAGTAAAAAAACACACAAGCACATTAGAGAGAAAGGTTCTAGCCCCTGTTGTGCTAGTTTTCTAGCGCTTGCACAAAGCCCCCCCCCCCCATTATTTCTGGGCAAGATTCAATGACACTCCCCCAACTCCAAAACCCAGAAGTCAGCAGTATCAACCCAGCTATCTTTTTTAAATCTCTTCACTCAGATGTCTTGGCCACAAGGCCAGCTGCTGCAAATCACTGAGGAATGGGCTCCTCTTCCTCTTCTTCTGTTGCTGGGGACCCATATTTAAATGTGTTATTCCCTCTCTTGCAATTTGAAGTGCACACAGTCCATTCCATTTCTTCTGGACTCGGCACCATTTTCTATGGAAACGATAGAACATGCCTCAGCAGGCTCACTGTGGGGTGAAAATGAGGCTAGGGGCTACGGTAAACCATGGGAAGGGTACAACTCATCACTGATGTATCTTTGTTGCTGTTTAATAGACTGGGCATACCTTTTACATAGCTACAGGTATTTCAATGGTAGTCACAGTGTAGGACACAGTTGTGCAGAGTTCTTGAGAATAAAGTTTAAATTGGGATCTGCCTCAAGGGAGGGAGGTGATACTTTACTTTCCCCCCACAGCTATCTAGTCCTCCTAGTCTCCCTGGATTGATCATGCCCTGTGGGGACATACCCTTTTTCTGGGTCTGATCCTGATTTCCTCCTGCAGGATCCAGGTGCCTTTTTAGGGGGGGGTGAGGCTTTGCACACAACGAGATGAACTGTAACACTGGTGGGCACTGCAGAAGAGGTTTCAGTCATTGATGAGGGATGACTGGGAGATACAACACACCCAAACAGTCTATAGGAAAGGTGTGGATCTAAATTCCTTCTTTCAGTTTTGTTGCAAATGAGTTGAGGCTCTCAATATACTCAGTCGAGTAGTAATTTCATGCTCTTTTATTTCAGCTCATAGGAACAGTGATTGAATCCCCCCCCCACAAACCTCAGGCTTTATATACATTATTTACACAATGAGTACTAAGTGGTTGATTATGTTTCCTGCTGCAGGCCAATCAGTTGTTGCATCCTAGTATCCTACCGGCCTAACAGGCTGATTAACTTCCTCCTGGGGTCTGATTGGGCTGCTCCTGCAGGCCAATCAGGTTGTTGCATTCTAGGATCCTACCTGCCTATTGTTCTAGGATCCAAGCTTAGTACATAACAGGAAATAAATATCCAGTGAAGAGCTTTTCCCTGTTTGCTGAGGATAAAATGTTGACAGGACTTGGGCTTTCTCTTTCTTTTGCAAATTAAGAGCCGCCTTTGTCCTGTGAATCAAGGGCAGCCCAGATAGCAGAATTTCATTTGTCCCCTTAGCAAAGGAGGGAAGTATGGAAGCATTTTGCTCAAATCCAGCTATTTCAGAGCAGGGCAGCAGGAGAGGTGTGGTGCTCTGTCAGTAAATTACATACCCAATACAAATGTTCATACTTACTTTTTCCCCTATTGCACAGTGTATCTTTAAGCCAGGAGAACTTGGCAAAGCAATGCAGAGTAATCTCTCAAGATGAGCTGGGGTGGGGGCTTCTTGAGGAGAGGAATTCAAACCTAGAGGCTCTGCACAGTAGCCACATACGATTCACATCCTGAAACAGACAGTGGGATTGCAGTTCCTCAGTGACCTCACTTTCACTTCACTCTCCTCCCTCAGAGGCAAAGCCTCCTTCAACAGAGCAATTAAGTGGGGAGTCAACTGCAAACCTGATTATTATTATTCGCGGGGATGGGGTTGGATTTGGAAGGCCGCTGCTGTTCTTTTTGGCTATAAATTGGAGAAGCTGCCTCAGGAAGTCCCTTAAGTCGTCCTCATCCGAAGATGGAGAGCAAAAAAGCTGGGAGGGATCCTGTGAATCTAAACCATCCCTCTCCTGAGCTGGGAGAAATGAAGAAGCATCTGGGGAAGAGGAAGTCCACATGTGGGCAAGGAAGGGTTGGGAAGATCTTCACCTCTCCTGTAACAATTGCCTTTTTCTTGATTCAAACTCCATTTGTCTGGCCTGTCTCCCGCTGGCATGCTGCCACTGCCTCCAAGCCTTGATCCTCCTCCTCCTCCTTTGCCCCAAGAGGCTTCCCAGGGCAGTGAGGGTCATGGCTAACTGGGCCTGTTGGACCTCTTGTCATGGAAAAGAGCTTATGGCCAGGGAGCCCGGGAAGACAAAAGATTACCAAGCTCAGTACAGTGGTACCTCGGGTTAAGTACTTAATTTGTTCCGGAGGTCCGTTCTTAACCTGAAACTGTTCTTAACCTGAAGCACCACTTTAGCTAATGGGGCCTCCTGCTGCCGCCGTACCACCAGAGCACAATTTCTGTTCTCATCCTGAAGCAAAGTTCTTAACCCGAGGTACTATTTCTGGGTTAGCGGATTCTGTAACCTGAAGCATATGTAACCTGAAGCATATGTAACCTGAGGTACCACTGTATATCAGGAGGAAGGAACAGAGCTCAGAATACCATGAGGAGACAGAGCTCAGAAGGTCATGAGGAGACTCACCGGACCAACAAACCCTGAGGCCACAAACTGGGAGAAATGAAGCTCCAGAGCGACTGAGGACGAGGCCTCAGTCCAAGCTAAGGAGCTTCCCTTTTGCTTCAAAGGTTGCCTTGCCAAATACTCCTTCCTCTCTTTCCGACCCAAAAGAGCAGGCAAAAAAACCCCATCCACCAGCAAACAAAGCAAGGGTGTGCAGGGGCATGCAAAAAAAGGGCGGGAAAACAGAAGACAGAGGGAATCTGAGGTAAATAATTTTTGTCTTCCTTCCTTGTGTAGAAACAGTTTCTACACAAATGTAATTCTGGTTCTAAACGCAGCATAAGGGGTCTCTATAGTATAGTGTATTTTAAAATGGGGTTTCAGAGTTTTTAGGGGTTTTTGTATGTATCATGTAGTTTTTCAATTTCATTGTTCTGCAAGGGACAATGACAATAAAGATATCATATATATCCTTTTTTCCCCTAGTAAAGGAAAGGAGATTAAGGGCAACTGATATCAGCGGAGCCAAGAAGAGATTTGGAGAAGGCAAATAAAGAAAAAATAGCAAAGAAAAGTGAGTAAACCTGATGGAAAAAACAGAAGTGATCTGCTTATTGCAGGCAGGAGCAGAAAAGTGATGGGGAGCCCTGAAGAATTTTGCTCCTGCCTTGTCATCCTAAGACCAACCTCATAGCCCAGCGACACCCTCCATAAATTGATTTAATACACAGTGTTCCTTTACAGCAGCAAAATAAAATGATCCAACCACACTCTACATAAATTAATTCCTTTTTAATATAGATGAAGTACATAATGTTTAATTACAGCAGGCCAGTGATTCCAGTTAAATAAAATTAAAACCCTTTATCTTTCTCAAATATAAAATTACTAATTCATGTCTTAAAACAATATAGCAAAAGCTTTAAATTACATCACCATTTAGCCACAGTAGTTTATTCACCACTTATATACTCCATCACTTTGGCAAAAATTATGTATTCTTTTTAAAAACAGTGCATAACGTTATAGAAACTGTATACAACCTCATATTGCACTTACTGTATTTATATACAATAACTGTAAAAGAAAATAGAGCATTTACTTGGAATGAACATGAATTTATCACAATTGTAGAAGGATGAAAGCTGGTATGAATATTAAAAATGTTTAGAAATGCATTTCATTTATGTACAGGGTTTATGAGTTGTATTAACAAATATGTACATGTCTTGCTTAATATATAGTTAGTAACATATGGTAACCTTTGGTTGGATGCAACTGCTTGATCAATTTTAAGCTCATATGCTCTCCAAAATGCCAACAAGGTATAAAATGGTGCACAACTGTTATAGTCAACAGTACAAAAAACTACTTCTACCTAAATTAACCCCTCAAATTAGTGCCTATTAAGTCTAATAGTGTTTGTACTTTATATCAGTTTGTATGTGCATATATCAAAGAACACTTTTATGGTTTATGTCTGCAAACTTACATTCCATAACACTTGCCTATAATGTGCCATTTATTTTAGAATACCATTATCAGAGCAGAAGAACCAGTTAAGTTCCCCAGAACAATTCTGTGTTGGGTGTTGTAATATTGCCAGCAGAATATAAAAAATATGTGCACCATCAGTATATGTTTTAGAAATCTACCTCTTACTATTTCCTTATCCCTGACTGACCCAGAGATTTAAGCATGCTCAATTGTTAGTATCTTCACAGTCCTCTTTCAGATTTGGATTTCATCCTGAGTTTGCAAATGTTCAAAGATCCACTTGTGTTCCAAGGTAAGCAGCGCTTTCCGTCACAAAATTCTTATGCAACTGAAGAAGAGCTGGGCATCCCATGAACTGTTGTGCTTGTTGGTGTCCCACTAATGGCATTGAAAATGTGTAGCGAGTTGGGCATTACACTGGCTTTTTCTTCCATAGCGGTAATCTTAAAGAGAGGAAAACACATGCCTTACACATGGTTGAGGGAGGAGAAGGTTTTCAAAAGAGTGGGGTAACCATGGGCTTGTCCTTTGGCTTCTAGCTAAAATGTGAACTGGGACCTAACTTCAGATACAGCAAGTAGGGGGGACACATTTTAGTATGCAACTCTGCCTAGCACATACATCCTTGCAAAACATATTTTCTCTAATATAATGCAGTTTTGTATATTATTTTCACCAGATATGCATTTTTCTACATATTGCTTGGCAGGAGAACTGCATTACAAAACTGGGAAGCCTGCAAATTTCCAAGGATGGCTGTTTTCTGGTTTGCATACTGTTTCAAAAAGTGGGAATTAGGTAGATTCAGTTTTAAATGCAATCAGGATTAAATTTCTCCCCCATCTCTACTTGGAAGCAAAGTCCAACTTGATTTAAATGGAATGTATTTCTAGATAATTGGAATTATGATAGGGAGCAAGTCTATAGTGACACAAAAGTTAGATATAGGTCAGATGACCTTCTGAATTAATATATGTTTAATTTTGTGACTGGTTCTGAAAATAGCAAAGATGTTTAGCTAAAATTCACCCTTCTCTAACGACTTCTGTCAAGAAACTAGATCCTTCTTCTTTTAAAAAAATCTGATTGCCCTATTAGTTATGTAAGAAGCAGTGTAGCAAAACATTATTATTTGACTGATAAACATTTTGTTAAGCAACAGTGATATGCATAATGATTGACTATTCAACATTAAAATGAAATAAAGCCTAAGTCTTCCCTCAGTTCTGCACTACAAATTCCACATTATATATTGGGAAAAGGAAGTTAAGCAAAACTCAGAACTCGAAAGAGAAACTAAAAATGTATTACCATCCCAGCTGATCACATTTTCAAAGCAGCATAGGGGAAAAGGGAAGGAAGAAAGAGAGATGCCCATTAAGATTTCTATAAAATGTATTAAACAGGAAAAAAAATATCTCTGAAACATTTATTTAAGAAAGCAAAATGGACATTCCAATGTTTGCAGAATAGGTAGTACAACCAAATTTACATGCAAGCCATGCACTTATATTTCCATAAAATGACTGTTTCCTTGGTATTTAAGAGCTGCTTCCATTATGATTACATTTTCCAATGGAAAAATACATGAGCTTCAAATTGAAATTAAATCTGTAAAACAGGAATGGGGAACCTTTTTCGCTCAAGGGCCTTCTAGGCAGGGGAAAGTAGCCTGAGGTGGGCAGAGTCAGAGGCAAAAGTGGGTGGAGCAATTAATGTTAATTTTATCTTGGTGTGGTAAGCTAATTCCTACTTGCATTTGCCCACCCCTCTTCTCTACGCTCTGTCCAGACAAACAAGAAGCACTGTCCGAGTTCAAGGGCACATTCTAGCCGGGCAAAAATATTTAGGGCATATTTAGGCTCAGAGAAGTAAGTGGCCTGGGGAGACTTCAAACTGTCAAATACAGAGGCATGCAGTCCCTGAGCCTGAGGTTCCCCACTCCTTGCTGTAGAGGAATGGTTAGAAATCTATTAATTCTTGAACATTCACCCACATCATGCAATGTTGGAACAGAAGTCACAGCAGAAGTCATTCTTTTAGCAAAGCAACTTATGGTGTACTTGTGGACTGACCATATTCTAGTGTTACATCGCCAAGTAAAGTATAATAATCAATTAAGCTGTTGTATTAGGGGACAAGAATGGAAAAAAGGGAGAGAAAAGTGCTCATTTTTCATGTTAGAACTAGCAGGCTTAAGGCAAGATAGGCTACTGCATTTAAGTCTGATTCATGTGCCAACTAAACTGATTTTCTTTGTAATTCTGTTATTTTAAAATCCCCTGTACAACTGAATTCATGAAAATTGTCTGCATTGTACCAACCAGAATGGAAGAAATGAAAGGATTTATTGTTAGATAACTCTGTTACAGCAGTTAATAAATCATAGCATATGCTTCAAGGGCATTATCCATTAACATCTATTATAAATATTAACTTTAGATAAAACATTCCAGGGTGGAAGTCTTAACCCATTTCCTTCAGCATCATTATATTATTTAATGTCATAAAAAGACATATTATAATTGTTTTACATTTATTTATACCTCGTCTTTCCCCTAAGGTGGCTTACAGAAAGAAACTTGAGTGTAAAAAACAACAACCACCCTCAAAGCAGTAAATTGTTATTGGCAATTTACAGCAATTTACAGTTAGGAATATACTAAAGACTTGGATCCTCTGAATTAAATACTTAAATAATAAAGAATTCCAAGAAAAATATTTGGTTCTTCTCAACCAAAACAGGATGACCTGAATGAAATACTTAATGTTCAGTACATACTTGTTCATGCATGATTTCAGAGAGTTCTTTTGCCATTTCTCTGTAATTAGCCTTCATTCCTTCTTGATATTCTATCTGATCTTCTTTTATAAGCCGCTCATTTACTTCTAAGGCCTGCCCACAAGCTTCAACAAATTGTCTGAAATAAATTTAATTACATAAAATGAAATATATTGAGAATAGTTCTAATCTCAAAGTTCCAAAAAGAAACTTAATAAACTTTCATATTTTTTTACCTGAAAACTTCCTTGAGTAACTTTAGTTTATTGTCTGGATACCGTTTGGTGCTTGTATCATCCAGAAAAGCTCTGGCATATGCCAATGGCCCAGCATTAACCTAAAAATATATAAACAGTTATAAATTATGTTCCTACCCCTCTGCAATAATATTAAAACCAGTTTTGCTCATCCCTCTGAAAAGGGCTATACACAAGTCAAATACATTTCTGAAAAATAGCCTGTATTTATTAAAACATTAAGGGACGCGGGTGGCGCTGTAGGTTAAACCTTACAGCCTAGGACTTGCCGATCAGAAGGTTGGCGGTTCGAATCCCTGTGACGGGGTGAGCTCCCGTTGCTCAGTCCCTGCTCCTGCCAACCTAGCAGTTGGAAAGCACATCAAAGTGCAAGTAGATAAATAGGTACCACTCCAGCGGGAAGGTAAATGGCGTTTCCATGTGCTGCTCTGGTTCGCCAGAAGCGGTTTAGTCATGCTGGCCACATGACCCGGAAGCTGTACGCCGGCTCCCTTGGCCAATAAAGCGAGATGAGCGCCGCAACCCCAGAGTCGGTCATGACTGGACCTAATGGTCAGGGGTCCCTTTACCTTTACCTATCCTGCCCTTCTGGTGCAAAAACACTACTGAGTTCATATCCATGAAAGGAACAAGTTGCACACAAGTGACTAACTAGACAGAAGCTCTGCACAGGCATTATCCTTCATATGATTAACTACTCCATGAGGGAAGAGTGGGGTTAGCACCAACCCTGTGTGGGAGGACATGTCTATGCAGGAGATGGTCTGAGCCTTATCCATGAGATGTGCCACCACAGCGCCGGCACCTAATTTGATCTGATGCTACACACTTGTATGCAGTAACGCAGGTCTAGATTTTACTATCGAAACCTTGCAGTGCATACGGACAGACATGCATGTTTCACCCATTAAGTTCCTGGTCAGCTGGGAGGCACAAGCATTCCTTGCATGACTGTAGGTACGGCAGGCCCCTGGCACCCCCCCCCCCAGTAGCCTTAGTCCTCCAAGGCCTGGGGCAAGTTTACCCGGCTGCTGTCCCCTGTGCATGGGCTTGCTGGAGGGCACAGCTGTAGTAAGCAGCTTGCTCTACAAGCAAAGGTGATTTATAAGCTTATGCATTAATCTCATGAGGGATAACACCCAAACAGAACTACAAATGAAGGGGCTTCCTGTGAAATAAGGTTGAGAATTAACAAGTTGCTCAAGTGATCGCAGTGTTGAACCTGTGGTGGTATTCAACTACGTTTTACTCAGAATAGACCTACAGAAATAAATGGACATGAATAGGTTAGGCCTATTAATTTCAATAGGTCTATTCTGCGTAAAACTTAGTCTCAAATTCAAAGTCTACCACTCTTATTCAATGGACATTGTTGGCGCTGCATATTATTTTATCGGTGTGACACAAACACACAAACAGAATTCTAAAGCGAGAAGAAGCTTATTAGGCGATTTTAAGGTAAAGGAAAACTCCACACCATAATCAATTTAATCAACATACCTGAACGCTAACACTACCCTGCAGCTTCAACTGAAGTTTGATCATATCTACTTCAGCTGATGAACAAAGTTGCCGGAGCTCAGCAACCTTCTTACTCATTTCATCAATAGCGACTTCAATTGGGTTTAAATCTGTATGGTGTTGATACATTATGGGAATCCGCTTCTTTACATATGGAAAACAATGTATAGCTAGGGAAAGAAAACAATGAAATTATGTTTACATGACTATACTCATGCTATCTTGAAATATTAAGAAACTTGCAAGTCAATGCTTTTTATTTTGTGAGCAATTAGACTTATAAACAAACAAGCCTATATTTTAATAGCATAATTCTATAGAGCAAGGCTAATCAATGTGATGTGTCCAGATGTTTGGAACGACATTTCCCATCAGCCCCAGTTCTCATTGCCTGTGGTCTGGGATACTAAGAGTTTAGTGCAAAACATCTGGAAGGCACTACATTGGCTACCCCTGCTCGGCAGACTGTGTGCTTCTTTTGTCCAGTGTTTGTATGCCCCTGGAAAAATTCTGATCTGCAGAAGACGACTAGCCTGTATCTTCTCATTATGCGGGACATATATAGTACTGTCTGCTAGCCCATGAAAGTTACATGCTGTTCTATCCAGAAAGGACTAATGATTAAGTATCAAGTAGGTAAACCAACAGGTGGGAAAAACTTAGAAAAATATTAAGCATAGGTCTTTCTATGCTTTTCTATTTGTTTAGTTAATGTAATTCACATTTTGTTATCTAAAGAAGGATGACAACACTACTGTTTCCACTTGGTTCTTTGCCAGGAGATTAGCTATTAGCAATAACAGTAGTTCACATGCAGTGTCAGTCTTTAAGCTACCAGTAATCCTGGTGCAAAGAGTAGCCATGAGTCAGCATGCAAAATAACTGGACCCTGGCCTTGACATATTTGCACATGAACACAAGGCAATTGAGAGGCAATAAATGTTTGAGTCAACTTAAATACCTACCTACCTACCTACCTATCTATTAGCTATTCACAGGACTGCAACAGTACATACTAGGCCAGTTTAGGGATGAAGCAAAATGGGGTAGCATACTTCACTGAGCCTAAGGGTAGTAGACTAGTTGTATGGCAAGCCTGTGGCACACATAGCTCTGATCTCCAATAGAAGGGAATGGCTCAGAAGGAATGAATGGGGAGGCTCCTGTTTCTGAGCACCTGCTGCCAGAGGTGAATACCTCTGTCTAATTTTACAGCCAACTGCCCTGAACATAAAATATCTCCCTTTCTACACAGGTTTTAAAATACACCCAAGACCTTTCTCTTTGAGTTGGATCACAGTTACAAGTGTTTCTAAAACGTGACCTTGCTGTTAAACAGTTTCCTGGCAGACCAGAGAAACTGCATCAGTAACATCCAAGGTACTGATAGAGCATCAATTTGTGTGTCTTTGTTTCACACATTATATTGTGGTAGCCCATAGTTGTCAGATTGTACCCTTATGTCAATTCCAGCTCCCCAGCAAGTATAGCAGTATAGTTCACGTGGCTGCAAAACATTAATTTTAATAACACTTTACGTGTACAAAATGTGAGTGTATTGCATGAAATAGCTTTAACTTGGTTAGTTGTTAGTTATAGGTTAGTTTCCTGCTGAACAGTTAGGCTCCGATAGGTTAATAGAACCCTAAACATGCAGGATTTAGCAAAGACTCAGATTTCTCTGTGGCTTTTTTGGATTAAATGGAAGCATGTTACAGGTGCTATAGACAAAAAACATCAAGGAAAGGTGTCAAGTGCTCTCTTTTGGTTTTTAGAAATCAAAGTACTGTCCCAAAGAACTGCAAATTTTGACCTAGTACCTGTAAGAATGGTGCGTCGTTTACATTGTTCCTCCACTCCCCCTCTTCTTTTGCCCATCTGAGTAAACGGCATCTCAAACATAAAGCGACGGATATTGTGATTTCTTTCAAATTCTGTTTTTCTCTCTTGCAGTTCCTTTTCCTCAAAGTATGGAACTACATGAGTAACTTGAATATAGGCATATTTTGAATCCAAATCCTTAGGATTTACCTTAAAAGAATTTGAGAGAATTAAAATCTCAACTATGAAAATATGCAATTATTTAAAAGTTACATTATTAAAAGGTTACAAGCTAATACGCTGATCATCATTAATAAAATTTTAAAATTCTTATGGTGCCTTCAATATAAAAATTATCAATGTATGTTTCCAAGGCCATTCTTGCTTCATTCATTTGGTATTTTTTGTACTGCACAAGTAGATGATCATCCTTAGTGGAACCACATTTTACTATGCTTAAGAATTGGCAGGCTAGAAAGAAAATTTCGATTTGAGCTCATGTTAATTTATATATAAATCAGTTGTATATTATTAGTTAAGTCCTACTTTTCCAGAGTCCTGGATCATCCTGACATTTTCAGATCCAAACTTATCTGAGTAGAGTTTTTGTAGCCTCTGGGAAATCTCTGAAAGGCATGTGAGTTTAGGCTCTTTGTATATATATTCTTTTCCATCTTCATCCTCAAAAAATCCCTTTAGAAAAGAAAAACCAATAACAACAGTTAAGTTCTAAACAAACAAAGGTCCAAAAAAGAATGACTCCTAATAATTAAAGCAAGGTCAATGTAGAACACAAAGGTTGCAAGCAAAAAGAAAAAGAAAAAAGTGATATTGAAAAATCAAGGTAAGGAGAGCAAAACAGCTATTATAGTATGGATGCATTGAAAATTATTACAATATTATTGAGGGAATGCTGTAAATTACATGATATGTCAACTTTAATGTTTTGAGGGTACAGCACTCTATTTCCATACTCATTGTTCACATGCCTGTTTCACATGCCAATATGGTAGTCCTCTGAGAAAGCCGTGTTATTTTGAACAAAATATAGCCAAGTGTTCTATACAAATAAACCAACCTTATCTAGATAAATTTTAATATAATCCTATTTTATAATTGAAGCCCAAAATGCAACCAATCTAGGTCCCATGGAAGGTGAAACAGGTGTCTGCTTTCATACAGAATGTCAGATCTGAGTTAATGTTTTAAGTTGCAAAAATAAATATTCCTATCTGAAGATGAAATGGACAATGTAGTGCAAGGATCACAACATAGCATGTATAAACGCAAACTAGACTTGACAAAAATACCCACAACAAACTAAGCTTATATGCAGTAGTTTTTACTGCATTGCTTGTTTTGTACAGCAGTTTCTGTAATTACCTCCACATCTGTTTCACTGTCTGTAAACTGGTATTGCTACAGTCATAAGAGACAATAGAATAAATGGAATGTTATATCACTCAAATTGTACAATTCAGTGCCCTGACTGAATATTTTTTTTGATCAACTATTTCTATCTAAAACTGTGTTTCCTCCATTGAATACACATGCTCATGTCACACACACAAACGCACATCCTGCAGTCACTGTATTTTGCCACTATGGAATAACATATAAAAGTGAAAAAGTTTGATTCTTTGTATAAGCATGCAGAACAAAGATTGAACATGTGCAGTTTTCTTCTGCAAGTGGAAATAAATATATTAATACTTTAAAGCAAGATAATATAGATCAGAAACTGAACCAACATAATATATAAAAACACCAAAGGCAGTGTTTAAGTAATAGCTATGAATGGCTATTATTGAAAAACTTACCGCTGCCTTAAGAAAGTAATAGAAAAAGGAAAAAAGGAAGAAAAGAAAGTTTACTGAAGAAATTTCTCATTCAGAATACAGTTATTAGTTCAATAGTTCATTAGTTTCAAATACATGCAAGTAGAAATATACAATGCAGTTAACGCATGCTGTAAAAAAGAGTACATTGCAAAAAATTTGCAATTTTTCATATGCTAAGTTAAAGTTCAGGAAAGGCACTGGACAATGCTCACCTGTCCAAAAAATGCAACTCTGAAATAGGTTCCCAACAATCTTTTTCCTGTATGCATAACTTCTGTAACTTTGCTGTACGCCCGATGCAATGTGTCATACAAATGAGCTAGCCTCTAAAAAAATGGGAAAACACGTTTTGGTAAACGGTGGCACTGAGATATTTAGTATATTCTGAACAACGCAAAACAAAATAAAAAAACATACAAACTTTTATATATCGTTAGCAAACTGTATCAAAATAATACAGTACTTAACGGCTTGGAAAACCCAATTGTCTCAACTTAGCTAAAATTAGGGATAACTAAGTACCACTGAAAGCAATGGAACACGTTATGATTACTTTTTCAGGTGTCACCTTATATTTGAAATTGACTTAAGTAGTAAATATATATTAAAAACATGCAAGAATGATAACTAAAAGTGAACATTCCCCCAAGTATACACATATCCTACCATAACATTATCATCACTGTAAACCAGTAAACAGCTAACCATCCATTGAATGAGCAGGATGCAGATATCAAAATTTACAATGCCTTGGAATCTAAAGAAGTCTTAGCCTGGTTCCAAAAAGATGGTGGACTAAGGGCTTGCCGCAGCTCCTTGTGAACAGCATTCCAAAAATGTGGACCACTTCAGAAAAGGCTCTTTCTTATGTAGCTACTCTCCGCACCTGCCTTAGAAGAGGTACTTGGAGAAGGGACTCCAAAGCTGATCTGAAGAGCTGGCCAGATTCATAGGGGAAAAGAGGCTCCAAAAGGTAATGGGGTCCCAAGCCTTATAAAGTTTTATAGGTAAAAAAATCCCAGCACTTTGAAGTTAGTTGCAATCAAATGAATCCTCACAACTTTCAATGAGACTTTGCTGTATCTTTAGCTGAACATTACCTATTTCAACATCCCACAGCATTAACAGGTATCAAATGAAATCATTATAGCATAAATAGATTTGCATCAAATACCTCAAAATCTCTCCGCTTTTCATAAATAGGAATTATAAGTTTATAGATGTCAGCAATCAGTTCATAACGTTCAGCCTTCCACAGCCCATCTGCACACTGTTCTAACAACTCCATCAGTACATCCTAGTTACAGAAAGAAAAGCACACACATGTGGATAGAGACTAATCTAGAGCAATCTAACTTTATTTTTCTCAAGCAGCATAAAAAAGGATTAATTTCCAGTACAGTGTGTTTCTGATCCAGCAAAGGCTCCTGACAGTGGAAGGGGAGAGGCAATTTTCACCAATTCTCCCTTCTTCCTACAGTCTGCAGTGTCACACTATTCTAAAGGGTTCTGTGGAAATCCCGTCTGGTTAACATTTAATTGCCAGGTCCAAGGTTCCTCAGTGCTCTCTCCCAGGCTCTCCCCAAGCCTGGCTTTTATAGCATCTCCAGCATAACTTGGCCTCTTTGTCTTAACATGCTATAAAGTGAGTAATGGTGTATGCTATTTATTATTTAGTTGTGTTTCCATGGGTTAAAAATATTTTCAATGTGTTATGAACTCTTCGGGTTAGACAGCAAGCAAGACATTTTAGAATTCAATAAAAAATAAATTAGTATTATGATGATACAGAAATAAATATGAATTAAGTTTACATACTTCATTAAAGTGAACATCTTGCATCCCAACATCTTCCATCATAGAAGCCTCTTCATCTATATTTGGAGTGATTACTCTGAAGCTTATACAGCCTTGTTTAAACATTCCTATTTATATTGGATGGGAAAAATGCAGACAACACTCTTGAAGTAGATCAACGGAAGAGAGGAACAGCAAAACCCACAAAGGCATGAAAGAAATTAACACTCTTAAAGTTGCAGTGAATAGATCTAATTTCAAGTTACGCTTGGTTGGGGGGTATTGGATTGAGTAGAGGCATCCCTTCACTAACTTCTGAAATCTCAGCTGGTTTCCTCTTGCCAACTGAGTAGTGCTTGTGCCACTATGCTGGAGCAGCCCCCCCCCCCCTTTTCTGCCTGCTGAATGTGTGGGCAGAAGGCGAACTGGCAGTATCCTTGCCAGCATGCAGTCCCCAAATAGGGCATTCAAGGGCATTCTGTTGGATCCCAAGCTGCTCTTACAGCCAATCCCAAAGTCCTGATCCACCCCCTGCCCCACTGCATATCTTCTGCTGCCACTGCCACTGCCAGTGGCTAGGCTGCAGCACTGCCATGTGGCAGTAGCACCACTATGCAGGGGGTCAGCAGCAGCAGCTTTGGATTTTATTCTTAAACAGTATAGTGTTTTAGTAAAGACTTGAATAATCAGAAACCATGCTCTTGGGTTTCTGAACCATAGGACAAAATTCTACTGATTGCACGTAAATAGTAAGCAAGTCTATTTTCACAACCATGGTTCCTTCAAAGCCTAAGATGGAAACTTGGGTAACAGGAGGGCCTCTTACACATGGTTACTAATGACTATTCAGGCTGGCATTGGATATAATTATCTTCAGTAACCCAGTGTGGCAAAATAGAAGTGAGGTGCCTTCACAGCAAACAGAAAAACTGTATGGGGGTCTTTAGACATTATAGACAAGTAGAGGTAAAGGTAAAGGGAGCCCTGACCATTAGGTCCAGTCGTGACCAACTCTGGGGTTGCGGCACTCATATCGCTTTATTGACCGAGGGAGCCGGCGTTTGTCTGAATACAGCTTCCGGGTCACGTGGCCAGCATGACATGGCGAACCAGAGCAGCGCATGGAAACACCCTTTACCTTCCCGCTGGAGCGGTACCTATTTATCTACTTGCACTTTGACGTGCTTTCAAACTGCTAGGTTGGCAGGAGCAGGGACCGAGCAACGGGAGCTCACCCCGTTGCAGGGATTCGAACCGCCAACCTTCTGATCGGCAAGTCCTAGGCTCTGTGGTTTAACCCACAGCGCCACCCGTGTCCCTACAGACAAGTAAAGAAGCTGTTTGTCTGATGGTACATCCTGTGATGCTGATATGTTTAAAAGGCTCACCAGTGCAATAGAGCGGTCCACTGAACAACTATTACCATGCAATCACTGCACAGACAAGATTGTTGCGAGAATAAAAGGAGGAGGGAGGAGAAGAGAACCCTAAGCTTTTTGGAGGAAGGCAATGATGAAACTAAAAGAAACAAACATTCTGAGTGACAGTTTAACAGATGGAGTGTGATGAGATTACATTGGATTTTCCTTTCTGTAACAGTCTTTTCTTAAGATATTTCTTCAAATGTTTTATTGCTATTTTTTAAATAGAAATAATAATAATTTAATTGTTATTTATTAAACTATTTTTGGACCTTTATCCACATGGATGCTAAGGCAATACACAATATGCGTAACTACAACTGGTTAGACAAAACGTAAATGCACAAACTATAAAGCAGACTGGTATATAACCACTTAAGCAGCAGTTTAAAATATCCCAACAACAATGGAGTAGGTGCATGATACATACCTTTTCGGAGAAGGTACTCTGCCACCAGAGCTGTTACGTGGACATAACACATTGCTGCCTAAAATACAAACAATAGCAACCATTACTACACAATTTTTGTTGTGACTAAGTTCTGTATACAAGCAAGCCTGCAACATTCAGCTTTACATGCTTGGCAATTTAAAAAAAAAACAACTTTGGCAATCCCATCTACCATTGTACCCATTATATTTTGACTATATGCAATTTTGGCTTTAGGCACAATCCCTGGAATGTAACCCCTGCATAAGTTGTGGGCTTACTGTATATCTTGAATAAAACTAAAAACGCTGGAGCAGCACAGCAATTCTTTCTAATTTCTGTTGGCACCTTTTTCTCCAACCTCTTCAATATGTGTGTGATAGATTTATAGAATTATTTTGAACTTTAAGAACAGTATTGCCAGATCATCAAAAACCAGCGGAGTACTTTCTGTCTTGCTTACCTCTGAAAGATCTCCATTTTTAACATGAATTCTTGCCATGCTATCCAACCATGTCTTCCTGAGTTCAGGCGTACTGGCATAAGACTTTGCCAAACTGTACTGAAGATCCACAAGCATTTCTGGATCATTCTCATGCTCCTTCATTTGTGCTGTAGCCATTAGGACTGTACGGATGCGTTTTGTCAAATCCTTGACATCGGAAGGAAATGTTGTGTGCTGTAATGTGAAAACAGCGGCAAGATATGCAAAATGAGCTCAACAAGGGGAAGCTAAACTGTACCTATCCACTTAGTGACCTATTGCTTGAAATTCCTTTAGGAATAATCAAGTAGTATGAAAGAAGAGTAAAGTTGTGTGGACTGTTCCTCAGAATCCTAACCGCATGAACATGGTCTTGGCTATTAGTTGCATCTACTCCTGTTAATGTTACATTGTTTCCTTCAAACAACTCTAAAATGTAACTATTTTAAAAGCTAATTTTGTATGTACTTGTATTATACAATGAATACTATTATATAATATTGTATAATATACCTATGTATATTGTATAATATACTTATATTATACAATGAAACTAGTGTCTCAAATACGGACCATTGTGATCTGAAAAGATTTTTACAGAGATTTTCCTTTTTCTCTCAAGCATCAAGAATAACTTGGCATTTTTGGCATTTTCAAATAAGACTTCATCAAGGTCCCTTTTGTGACTGCTTCTGCATTTTTCATTCTACAGCATTTCTGTACATTTTGTTCTCTGCTTATACATGACTATAACCTTCTTATGGTTGATCCATACGGGCTGTTTACATGTTGAGGTTTTAGCATCAATGCCATGGGAATGAAACTGATGATCCAGACCCTTCTTTATAATTTCAAAATGAAATGGAAAAAGCCTACTACAAACCTTAGTAAGTCTGTCACTGTTAGCACAGTTATTGATGATGGAAAGAGACTGCTGAAATCTGGTTCCACCAATTCCGACAACATCTGCAATCAGCTGACTCACAGAAATGATAACCTTGTAAAGAAGTAGAAACATAAATCTTGAAGATTTCAGGTTGGGGTTTATATTGTACGCATTATAAATTCTGTATACAGTTTTGGAACTTTCCTAAATATTAAGCAGCCTGTAACTTTGTGTAAATAAACAAATACATAAAATAAATAAATAGATTTGTAGACACTTCTGGGGAAAATGCAAACCTGTATGTGAATAATTTGCATTAAAACTGCAGTGATACAATAGGGCATGAGTTTGAATATCTAGAAACATCAGTTACTTGTTCCAAAATTTGTGTATAGGAAGTACACATAGAGAGTGCAGCAGCAAGGGTGACCTTTTCACATAGCTGCTGGGCATGCAGCGTTTATTATCACACATAACTTACAGTGTGTGTGGGTGCTGCTCGATGCACTATGTAGCTGAAGTCTGTTATAATATTATGTTGCTAAGTACACACAATCCAGTCTTTAAGACATGATACCAGAAAAGGTCAGCATTTCATCTCCTTAAAACCCCTTAAATACATAAAAACAAACTGTACTCACTTGTAGGTGTGTCCTCACAAACGATCTCTTTCCTGTGTAATCAAAATTATTCCTCATCAAGAAATAAAGGAGCTGTGATGCTTCTGTTCGTATTGAGCTCAGTTTGGAATTGCAGCACTTCAAAATTTCATAGCACAGTGAAGAACACATGTCAGCCCTTCCTTCATAAAATGTAGAAGGAAACTGTAGAACACACAGAAACATTTACTCTTTAAAAGGTAGGATAAAACGAAACCATCAGGTAACAAGTTTCAAATAGCAAAGTGTTCAAAAAAATGTCACATGGGAGTTGGCTGTTTAATTTGTAACACACTAGAAAGGGTCCCTGAAAACAAACACCCTTGATACAGATACAGTGGTACCTTGGGTTACAGATGCTTCAGGTTACATACACTTCAGGTTACAGACTCTACTAACCCAGAAATAGTACCTCGGGTTACGAACTTTGCTTCAGGATGAGAACAGAAATCGTGCTCTGGCGGCGCGGCAGCAGCAGGAGGCCCCATTAGCTAAAGTGGTGCTTCAGGTTAAGAACAGTTTCAGGTTAAGTACGGACCTCCGGAATGAATTAAGTACTTAACCCGAGGTACCACTGTATGTGCATCCGTGTGTTTAGGAGTCCCAAAGTCAGCTTTGCAAATAAGTGTACAAAGAGTTTGCTAGCTTGCCTACCTCACAAATTTAGTAAATTGTAGTCTATGAAGAATTTGCAACTTTGTAAAGCTTCACCCTTAAAGTGACTAGAAAATATATTTTGACAGCCTGTCAGAAGGTAGTGGTTGTCTCAAAATAAGACCAAAGCTTAGACAGGAATTCAGTGTTTCGGGGCTGTCAGATTTCAGATCTGCAACTCCATTTCCCAAAAAGAAAGCAATTGTGACTTTGTCACCTGTTTTAAAGGGTGGGCCATATGGCCCACATTCTAATCTCTCCCATGACACCCGGAGATAACCACTGTAAAACTGAATGGCCGAACACTATGTTTACATATCGGACTAGCACTTGTTGGTAATGCAGTTCTGGGTTCTGAACATACAGTGGCCTGCTCAGTTAATGGGGTCCACCTGTTCCATCAAGGGATTTGGGAGCCTGCTTCTTTGCACTGGCTGGACTGGAATGTCAGTCTACTCAACAAGACAATGATTTGTCCAAATTCAAAAATTAACCTGGCATCTAGTTCCTAAGCTAAAGCTCCATGAACACAACAGAGTCTTCCTTCACTCAGTTTCAGAAATATATACTCTGATTGAACAAAGAGATATGCTGTCTGGAGAAAAGCAATACCCTGCCCTAGGCTCTCTACATTTAGAGGCAGCATATAAGTAACAAAACAGAACTGCCCCCCCATCAATATAACATACAGAGAGAAGAAATTATAAATTTAAGACTACTTACCTTAAAAATTAGTGATCTTAAGGCATTGAAGACATTTTTTAATGCAGTTTCTGACTGATTTTTTTGCAGAAAGCAAAGGTACACATCGAACACCTTTTTCATCAAAGGATTATGCCCATGATCCATCAGGAGCTGATTCTTAAAATTAAGAGAAATATATTTTGATACCTACACAGTTGAATTACTTTAAGGCCTCAAAAGCCATTATAAACCTTATGGACTTGTTGATGGAATGCTTCCCTGGTGGCTATCTGAGCACAAACATCTGGGAAAGAATTATTGGTCTTACTTGAATTGCAGATTGGTAACGTGGACAATGAAGACACTTGATTGGGTAATCAAGTGATGGAGGCAGGAGCACAGACTTGTGCTCGGCAGGCTTAATCTCCTCAGTTTTTTAGGCTCACCAAGCAGCAGTAATCAATGTATGTACATAGAAAAGAAATCTGAATGTACCTGCCTACCTCCCCCCAGCTGATGACATGCCGCCAAAATAAATAACATAACCCCTTAAACATAGGAACAAAGGGAACCCTTAAGTAAAGCCTTGACAGCAGTCTGAAATTAGCACAACTGCAGACCACAGCAGGGAGGGCTCTGGTGTTTTCATCTGTTTGTCACCTTACAAATCTACTCTTCAGGTAAGACCAATCGTTCTATTTATTGCAGTGGACGATGAAGCCCACTGGATTGGGACATACCACAGTGATTCCCAACTGGATGGGACCCAACCGCAGTGGTGTTGCTTAAAGTGCTTGATGAACAAGCACGAGCGTGACTATACACATTGTGTCAAACTCAGAGGTGACCCGGAAACATCACAAACAGGGGTTGTTTGAAGGGTTTTTCAACGGGTGTTCCGATTATACATGATTTCACGTAAGTGTGCGGTGCCTTGGGGTGTAACCCAGGCACAAATTGGTTGCTGCCTGTACTCCAGATGTTGTCAGATGACAGCTCCTATCATCCCTGATCATCAGTATTGCTGACTGGGGCTGATGGGAGTTGGAGTCCAGCAACATCTGGAGAGGACTATGTTGGCTAAAGGTAAAGGTAAAGGGACCCCTGACCATTAGGTCCAGTTGTTGCCGACTCTGGGGTTGCGGCGCTCATCTCGCTTTATTGGCCAAGGGAGCCAGCGTACAGCTTCCGGGTCATGTGGCCAGCATGACTAAGCTGCTTCTGGCAAACCGGAGCAGCACACGGAAACGCCGTTTACCTTCCCGCCGGAGCGGTACCTATTTATCTACTTGCACGTTGACGTGCTTTTGAACTGCTAGGTTGGCAGGAGCAGGGACCAAGCAACGGGAGCTCACCCCGTCATGGGGATTCGTCCTAGGCTCTGTGGTTTAACCCACAGCGCCACCCGCGTCCCACTATGTTGGCTACCTCTGGATAAAAACTATGGCTACGCCTAACTATACCGGTATCTAAGCACATACCTTGAATGCCATTGTGAATAAAGATAAAGTGTCCAGAATTGTAAGGCAAACTTCAGTGGCAATGTTGGCTTCAAGTAAAGATTGGTGAAGGACATCTGCTTCTGAATGGCCATAACCTGTGGAAATTTGAGGCAGTTGTTACTTTGAACTCTGTACCAGACTTTGACTCCAACCTTTTAATCCCAACACTACTAATCAAATAGTAGCAAAGCTGGAATTCTTATGTGTCTTACAGGAATGCTGCAGTTGCAGGTATATAACATGTGCACCTATTTGCAAGCTTGGGTCGTGTAAATGATTGCTTTATGTTTCAGATCGCTTGAAGCAAAAAGTAAGGGCTGAGAGTACATAAATAACAAATGAGTTACAGTAATATTCCAATTGTATCCCAGACCTGTGGCCTACACATAGGCGGAATTAGCCTAGGTAAGTGACAACTGAAAAATAATTTTCAAAAATTCTGAGACCCATTCAGTTTGGTCTAGGACAGTTCTTTTCCAGACTTCTGATAGCTGAAGCACATTTTTTCATTTTTTTAAAATTGAAAGCGTATCAAAAAGTTTTACCCTCATACTAAGAATGTAAGATTAAGAATTACCCACCTTCAAAAAACACAATCCATGTGTTTCTTAATGAGTCCTCATTCTAGGATATGCCTGCTTGTTGGAAGGTGACAAGTCCTGAGCAGACTCATGCAGACAGACAACTGTTAGCCTCCTCTAAAGGCAGATAATTCTGCTGCATCAGGAGTCTTTAAATGCTCTAATCATTTACAACACACACAGAGGGAAAGAAGTCCCCCAGCATGCATCTCTGAGAGATGCAATGGGCAATCTCCTTCATGGTTGCATACAATGGGCTCCCAAGAGCAGTTACTTTCATTCTTATCTGAATATATAAATGGAACCATTGTAATACTATGCCACGGATACTCTTCTCACTAAGTCAATCCAGGAGAATAACATGGCCAATGGTATCAAAGGCTGCTGAGAGATCAAGCAGAAGTAAAAGGGTTGCACTCTCCTGTCCCTTTTGTGATGAAGGGCATCCATCAGGACAACCAAGGCTGATTCAGTTCTGAACCTATGCTTAGGAATAAGGTGGCCCTTGAATACCTTTAACCCTCCAGATGTTGCTGAACTACAGCTCCAATTATCCTTGGGCATTTGGGAATGTTTGCTAGGGCTGACGGGTAGTTCATAAACATCTGGAATGCCAAAGCTTCCACAGCCCTGCTGTACATTAAAGGAAGCAGCAGAGAATAACTGTTATCAGGTGAATGGCAAATGAATTTTGGCAAACTGAGAAATATGGCTACAAGAAGAAGAAATCTAAGGATCTCCTAAGGCTCAAGCAGAAACACAGCGGGATTTGCATGCACCCATTTTCCCCCGAATACCTTCCTTCTCAAAAATTGTCCCAACCAAATTCCTGAAGTGCTCTTTAAATGTCTGTGTTCAAAATAGGATTTGACACGAGGGTTTTAAAATAGAACAAAAATGATGATTTTGGTCCTAAGTTCCACTTGTGGAACAGGGGTTTTCTGCCTTCCGTCTGCTGCTCCTGGGGCCCTCCAGAGAAGGTGGTGTGGGAGTTCCAGATGGAGGGGGAAATCCCCCCACTTTGCTTGAGTGGAAATTACTTCCGATTTCACAAAGGCAGTGTTCAGTCAAATCAATCTGCATGCAGCAGTGCCATGTCCATATTTAAAATGTGTATTGGAAAATCTCTTCGCCCCCACCTAAAAAAATTGAACTCAGGGATAGAAGTCTTCTGGCGAATAATTCTGGGGATTCTGTGAGGTATTTTTGAGAAAGATCTGTCAATCTGTCAAACTTTTCTGTGTCTGGTCTGGGTGATCTTTCCGTTTTGGGAATTTTGAAAAATGGGGAATACACTGCTAGATTATAGCCTTAAAAACAGGCTAGAATGAAGAAAAAGTATCCAAGACTAAAATCAGCTCACTACTAATTTCCAGAAAAACAGATGCATTTGTTAAAAGTATTAGGCAGTACACAGTTAATGTGGGTTTTATTATTTCAGCAAGCTGCCCATTCTTGAATACTGTGAAGCTTCACAAAAGTCAAGTGATATTCTTAATGATGCAGCTGAAATATTTCCAAAGATTACTTAAATCTAGATTTCATTTCAAGAATTCCAACAGAAGCTGACTTCAACCTGATTGTCTTACCATTGTCTACAGAAATTCCAAGCAAACTTGATATTTTTCTCACACTGAAAACACAGAAAAAGTCACTTCATTACTGGGTGCTTCTTCACATCCAAACTAAATCATGGACTTTCACAGTACTTTTATGCTACTTCAGAGTATTTCCCCTTAAAAGCTTTATGCCAAAACATGGTCACATGATCAACCAAGCACATTTCACCGTTTTCAAAATGTTCTTGAGAAAGAGTATAATGAAAGTTCTCAATGGCAGTTGAAAACGTTGTTCAAGATGAACACCACAGAGTGCATAAATTTGAAGTAGTATACATCAAATACCAGCGTATACAAAATTTTGAGTATAGAATGTTAAAATGCTGTAGTTAACCATGTTCCACATTGTGTCATCATTTGGTACTTCCACTCAGCTGTGAACGGAATTCATGTTGGTGCTTGACCTTGAAAAATAAAGTCCATGACATGCTCTGGTGTGGGTTTCGACCTGCCTCTGGTGTTGTGGTACTGGATGAGATTTCAGGTGTTATGTCATGGAACTTACTGTGGCTAAATGTGAGAGAGTTATCCAGGCTGCTCAGCTGCTGTAATCTGGCATGCATCATCCCTGTTCTGTTACGGGAAACAGGCAATGTCTGAGATTTTCGATCATGAACTATGGGTCCCAACCCCTCCTGGTTCCTGCAAGATGGGTGAAATGGGACAGAAGCAAAAGTTAAACATGTTGCACTGCAGCAAGAGAGGGTGAGAGTTAGTTAAGCAGGCCAAGCAAAAACTCTACTAGAAGATGAAAATACAATGCAGCCTATTATCTATTTTAGTTAAAGTTTTGGGAAATTTATCCAGTCAGTCAAAGCAGTACATAAAGGATGTGGACTATAGTATTTACTTCTTGACCACAATGGACTATTTACAGTTGGACAGACTGGAGGTAGGTCAGCTATAGTGAGAGTCTTAGGAAGACAGACTCAGTCAGGAAGACTAACTCTACCTGACCACTGTACTTTGGTCATTTTACATTAGCTTAAAATAGGCAGAATTCCGAAAGCATCACAGCAAGTACCTTCTCAGTCCAAAAGCTTCAAAAATGCTTGAAAGCAGCAGCACACAACTTGCTTTAGAAACATTTAGTTCAGAATAGTAAATGTGCTACCGTGTATACAAATAATTTTAAAGAGAGCTTTGTGTGATGTGAGTTTGTTATAGAAAGTTTAAGGAGGATCTGAGAGAGTATTTAGTAAGCACACATGCAGTAAGAGCAAAATTACGTGATATACTAATGCCTGTATCTTACCGAGGCAGGAAGGGAGTAGAGCCATATACTTTGTTAAACTTGCCAGCAATCAAGTGAAGGAAATAGAAAAGTGATCTGTGTTAGCAATCAGTACAGACTAACCTCCTAGTGTGTACCACCACCAGAGCTGACAAGAAATGAAAACCAATACCAGAATTACACACATCCCTGTTTCCTCAACCATAGGGTGTGTAAAGATTGCATGCACTATTTTTTTGCTAGCACATTCCTTTGGTGCATCTCAGTGTGAATATTTGTGAATCACTTCAATAATCACAATTTACATCAGAAACGTGCATAGTTTTCAGTTCAATGTTTTCACATGCAACACAACCAAGTGGTATGTTATTGGTGAAATAGTCTCTTAACAAATTCATCAAGAGCTATTTAATGCATTTTCATGCATTATGAATATTCCTACTTATACAACTATATCAAGTGGGCAAAAGCTCAAACTAATTTCAGGAGCAGCAATATGTATTATTCTTAAATAAAATGGTTAAACATCATGTAGTACATTAAGAAAAATGCAACAATAAAGAAATAAAGGATATTTTACTCCAGTCCAAAGAAATAACACAAGTACCAGTGCCACATTAGAAATGTGTGGCTTAATTCTGGATGGCAAAACCATGTATGTGCTGTATCACTTCAGTCTGCATGTGAGGTCTTACTCAAGAGTAACCAGCACAATGCCCTCCAGATGCTGAACTTTAATTCTCATTAGCCCAGTCAACATAGCCAATAATCAGGATAATGGACACTATAGTTCAACAATGTCTTGAAGACAAGATAAGTCCTTCTCCCTGACATCTAATTTATTGTGTGGAGGGATCTTTTGGTCAGAAGAGCCCAGACCTGCTATCTGAATTGATTTACAGATCATACACTGCTTTACCATCTCAGCTGCTTTATGAGAACTAGGCACAAACATTAGGAAGCAGGCAGAACAAATCTAAAGCTGGGGGAAAATCCAAGGTTCAAAGAACCCCAAATGGCATTTCCCCCTGGGAGTAGGCTGGGGAGATGGGGGATAAATAGCCATATAAGTGTTGAAACACTTTTATGTGAGTTCAAATACATATTCAGTTTGATTCACAGAACAGCATGCTTTATTTTGATTTTTCCATGCCCCCTTTCAAGACATTGTCAAAGATTAAAAGCAAAATCAACCAATGGCAATAGGATAATCTTTGGGAGAGAAAGAAAGGCAATGTATGTTGTATATTTCTCTTTCATATATCCAAGTCATAATTTCCTGTATTTGTGTCTGGTGTAAGTCACAATAACATCAGCTAGCAAGTAACAGGCTTGTGCCAAAAGTCCATGTGGAGGCTGTCTCTAACATCAAAATATTGCAACAAACGAGGTAAATTTCCATACAAGCAGCTAATGGAACTAAGACCAGTGTGGCCAGCACTGGATAGGATGAAAAGATACATGTGGTGTTACAAAGCCTTGTTTAGTCTGACTGGAGAGTGCACAGGAGGTAGGAATAATTCACAGGCTATCATTCAGGTACTATGCACGGTTTTGAGAATGTCACAAGGCAGTTTGGGCAAACCTCCACAGTTTTAATAGCCAACACAAAAATCCCTAACTATGTAGTGCAGCAATTTGGGATGAGTTTTCAGTGCTAGTAAGGCAACACAGCTAACATGTGTCAAGCACTACAAAGGCCGTATACTTACCTTCTAATACAAAGACATCTCTTTCCAGTATTAACTGAACATTATTCAAATGACAAGAATTTAAGGCATTCTGTCACAACAAAGTTACACCATTAGGTTATACACAGTACCTGGCGATGTATCGTTTTCCCATGTATTGAAACTGATGCAAGCACACTCTGCAAAGAACACAGTAAGGGTTAGTTTTAAAACTAAGGCATAATTTTAGTAAAAACTTAACTGGAGCCAGCTCATGATATGATAAAATAAAATCCCATCCCCAAACCAGAGTCTCTACCTCAATCCCATGTTACAGCTGTCACCTTTCTGCCAAACAAGTTATGTTCAACACTTTCTGCTCTCATGCAGAGTGAAGCCAAGATGCAGTAGTTGCTATGCCTGTCTTGTTTATTAAAACAGTATAGGAATTATCACTGACAATTTTTTCCACTTTCTGTAGTACTGTAGTGCAATCCAAACCATGTCTAATGAAAAGTAAGTTGTTAGGATTGTAGCTGTGTCTTCAATGATCTCTAGTACATTTAAATTCCTGAACCACCAACAGTGAAGAAACAGTTCACAGCCAATCTGCTTTCTTCACAAAAATATTTATGCCAATGCTATGGCAGCAGCATCAGTCAAGTGAATGAATGAAAAGCCTACAGGCATGTGGTCTTCTTTAGGGTCAAAATGCATTCTTACCAGGATCTGTCTTGGGCTCTACTTATGCTAGAGAGGTCATGATAGTAACCTCTAATTATAGAAGGCAGTCTACAGAATATCTCCCACACACAGATACTGTGTGATGGGGGCATCATAGAACATGTTGTTGCCCTGCGGAGCGACCTTTCCATAAAAGTTCACTACCATGAACATCTTCTCAAAGAGCTATAACAGTGTACTTATTTGGGTTTCTAGTAGCTGGCATCCCATCATTAATAGATAAGGGAGCAGAAGTAGTGAGTGTTTTATTCACATTATTAGGTAACTTCATTTAAAACATTAACAGGCAGTCAGAAATGCCCAGAAAACAGGCAACCTAAAATATTTAATAATAAAAGAACTTTGATCATGACTTAAAGGTAAAGGTAAAGGGACCCCTGACTGTTAGGTCCAGCTGCGAACAACTCTGGGGTTGCGGTGCTCATCTCACTTTACTGGCCGAGGGAGCTTCCGGGTCATGTGGCCAGCATGATTAAGCTGCTTCTGGCGAACCAGAGCAGCGCACGGAAACACCGTTTACCTTCCCGCCGGAGTGGTACCTATTTATCTACTTGCACTTTGACATGCTAGGTTGGCAGGAACAGGGACCGAGCAACGGGAGCTCACCCCGTCATGGGGATTCGAACCACCAACCTTCTGATCGACAAGCCCTAGGACTCTGTGGTTTAGACCACAGCACCACCCGTGCCCCTTGATCATGACTTATAGAAGACAAATTAGTTAGGGATTTGGTATATCAAGAGATACGACCTATGACTGATAAATGAATCTCCATATTCCGAGGCAGTATGGCTGAATATGATATACTGCAGAAACATAATGCAGAAGAGCTATTTCCTCCATGCTCTGTGGTCTTCCTGGAGTCATCTGGTTTGCCACAGTGGGAAGCTGGGTAACAGACTTGATGGATCTTTGGTCTGATCCAGCAGGGCTCTTTTGCTCTTCTTAGGGACAGACAGATTGATGCAAACAACCATGTGTTAGTTTTGTATCTGACTGAGGGCCTTCAGTTCCCGTCAATGTTTATAGAAATCTGATAGCACCTTAGGTGTATCAAGGGTATTCACAGATTTTTGAGGAGTCACCAGTGGATTTGCAGCTGGTAAGCTAAGGGATTCATCTTTTGTACTCTGTTAAACACAATTATCCTGTGTTTACAATAAAATGTTCAAAGCAGCTTACAAGACCTTATTAATATACTGTATAATGATAATAACACTTGGAACAACAGAATGCAGCAAGGTAAGATGGGGAAAGGAAATATGTTTAATGTCCCCTCATCTGTGCATCCCTTTTCATGAAGTATAAAATGATAATTTCCATCTCCAACTTATACGTGAACAATAGTAGAACAGTATACACACACAGGTTTGCATACATCTCGTTGGAAAAACTGCAAGCTGATTTACTTCTAATTGCCAACATGGTATTAATGTTGAATGTGTGGAGATAAATGTGTGCATGTGGGAACTTGTGAGATGTATTGCAGATTTCTCCATTACCAGGACATTTTGAAAAGCTGCAATGCTATATAGTATATGCAATATTTACTGCGGACTTTAAGTTCATGTCTGAAATGCAATAACTGTACTGTACAAAGAATTATAGTAATAGCCAAGCCAACTCACTCTGCAATTGTGAAAAAATCCATAAGTTCTGATGTTGAGGCCTTGTTCCAGTATGTGAAAAGGGCATCTACAATGTATTGGAAAAAGCAATTAATAAAATGTGAGTATCACTGATGTGAATAGTTTTAAGGACACAAAGCAGGAAAGCTAGTATGTTACACAAAGCAAAACCTGGTTTGAGACTACACATCTAACAGCAGACAGCCTTCTAAATATGCATTTGAGGTACAAGTGCACAGCTTATTACTCCACAGCTCTTCTGTATAGGCTCTCTACTCTATACTGGTCAAGATTACATAGCTTGAACTAGAGATGGGCCAATCTATCAATTTCTCTGAGTTTCTAATTTTTCCACTCTTAAGCTCAGTTCACCACATTTCCACATTAAAGGTAAAGGTACCCCTGCCCTTGCGGGCCAGTCATGTCCGACTCTAGGGTTGTGCGCCCATCTCACTTAAGAGCCCCGGGGCCAGCGCTGTCCGGAGACACTTCCGGGTCACGTGGCCAGCATGACGAAGCTGCTCTGGCGAGCCAGCACCAGCGCAGCACACGGAAACGCCGTTTACTTTCCCGCTATAAAGCGGTACCTATTTATCTACTTGCACCTAAGGGTGCTTTTGAACTGCTAGGTGGGCAGGAGCTGGGACCGAAAGACGGGAACTCACCCCGCCGCGGGGATTCGAACCGCCGACCATGCGATCGGCAAGCCCTAGGCGCTGAGGTTTTACCCACAGCGCCACCTGCGTCCTATTTCCACATTAGCTTGTGATTAAAAAAAAACACTACTCAGGCATATTGCTCTGCATTTCAGCGCACATTTCTCCTAATGTGCAAGCAATACCCCCTAACATGAAGCATTTCTGTATTGTATTTTTACCTTTTGCTCACTTTTTTGATTGAAGAACTGGATTACAACATTTGTAGAAATGTGAAATTCAAAGGATATTTTGGGAGATACCCATTCGGGAAGGATTAGGTAGGTTTTGCAGGGGAACTAGGATGAGATATCACCTAAGTGTGTAAGCTGAATGATGTGGAAGGAAGCATTCCCCCAGGTCCCCAGCCATGTAAATATATGCCAGAGCTTTGAATTGTGCTTGGCAATTGCCAGGAGTTTCTGAACAGTCTTCAAAACCAGTCCCTTATACAATACATAGCAATAGTCTAATATGGAGGTTTAGCAGAGCATGGATAACGGAGCCAGATTCTCCATTTCAGACCGGAAGGAGCTTCAGCTGGCGGAAGATGCTCTGTGCCACTAACACACATCGGGTATCCAGGGACAAAGCTGTAGCACTCCTAAACCACAAACCTGATCCTTTTGTGGGGAGAGGAATCCCATCCAGAACAGGCTGAAGTCCACTTCTATAGAGGGATAAACTACCCACCAATGGTACCTTTGTCTTGTCTGGATTAAGCATTCATCTTGTGGGAATTTTCTGCTCATTTATATAAGTTTACATCCCCTAGCAAGTATTTGGTTGGTAGAATGCCAAATTCAGAGATGAGTTCTGGGGCAGGGAAGCAGGAAGCATTGAAGTAATCAAGTCTTCAGCCCCTGATAAATAACAGCAGAACCAGAAAACTTTTTGCAGAATTAAGCACGAGGAATACAAATCAGAAGAGAATCAAACAGAGGCTATTACATTCCAAGTTACACATGACATGTTACAGCTGTTACTGAAGAAGGGTTTAAAATACCAAGTTATTGTGTTAACTCACTGTCAGAATTTAAGAAGTGAAAAACTTTTGCTTACCATCTGACATGCTTTTTAAAATATGAAGGAAACACATCAGTAGACTCCTGATTTCAGCTTGATCAAGCTTGTCACATCGAACTACAGAACTTCCCAAAGGGCAAATCTGCTGGTTCTGAAAAATACAGGAATACAGTCGGACAAGAGGCTCATCTTAATGCATTAAGGCACAAACACAGCATCTCAAAACCGAGAGAGTGTTGGTTACCAAGGACAAAGGTTGAACACTCCTAATCATAAACCAGATCCTTTTGTGAGGAGAGGAGCACTCACATGTTGATAGTGTAAGTTGCTAAGACACACCAGCATATAGACCGATCTAAGTTTGTACATTGTGCCCAGATCCAATTCCCTTTTTGTACACATTCCATGGTTACCTCTCTCAAGCCTTCAATTTGTAAACAAGAAAAACTACTTAAGGATAAGAGTTAAAGTAAATGTGTATCTTCTTTAGGGCAATTGGTCAGTATCTAAAGGTGTATGATACAGCCATGCTTCAATATGTGATTTGTATGTGGAAACCATAAAGCAATTACTTCTGAGCCTCAAACTACAATAGCAAAAGTACTACACTGCAAACGCGCACAAACAGCTTAAACTAATGTGGAATTAGAGAAGACTACGAGCAAGGAATGAAGTGTCATGGTATAACTTTGAACAATAAAAAGAGCCAACACAAATAATGCCTCATCATAACTGTCAAAAATGGAATAGAAACTATATGGAAGTTTCAGAATATTTGGTAGGCATGCATGATCATCTGACACACAGGAAACAGGAATATCACACCAAAGCCAAAGACAATTTGACAGTAAATGCTTAAACCTGCATTAATTAATTAATTAATTAATTAAGCCTTACAGATGTTTCAGGCCTTCTTTCAAGTGTTTGCCTGCATGCCTTCCCCCAGGCATACTAATTTTGAGATAAAAATATACAATTACATATGCAGAGTAGTCTGTCAATCCTATTAAGATCAACTCAGGTCTTCTGACTTCCATTCCTGAGTTGTAAAGACTTTCTGCAATATTTGTTGCTGCAGGAAAGCCCTGCACCCATCACTGTAGCCCCAAAAGGCAACTTGCTTTGAAATCAATCAGTCCAAATAAAATATTATCAGCCAGGAGAAAAGCTTAGAAGTAAGTCAGCTAGGATAAGTACCATCATGAAATGTATAATAAAATAGCAGCTATGTTAAGCAAGAAACGAGTATAACTTGAACATATGATATTCAAAAAGGCTACACCAAGTTTTAAAATTTCAGTACTACTGTCAATTGCTTCACACTGCAAATCAAGCCATTACCATGAAGAAAAAAAATAATCAGATGACAATTTTGCCATATAGCAGAAGTAGCCTTACAGTGTGCTGATCATTAACAAATTTGATGGTGTGGTTTTTTACATTTCAGTATGCCATGATACTTTCAAACAATTAAAATACTGTTTCCTCTCCAGTAGAAGCTTCTTCAATGCTCAGGGCAAACTTGGCAACAAGCTGAACTCAGAAACTAAACCAAATAAACCACACAAAAATGAATACTTCTTGTAATGGAGGAGACACAACAGCATGGAAATCTCTCTCTGGTAAAGTTGGAACTGTCAATAGTGAAAAATCCACTGTAACACGCTTTTTCTTTGATGAATGGTAGTGTTCTCGTTCCTCTCCACTAGTAAATAATGTATGAGCAGAATGCCTTCTGAGAAGTTTCTCCCTCTGCCACAAGGCGGCATGTCAGGGTCAAGAAGAAAACATTAAACCATGGTGTGACTGCCACAAGATCCAACCTCAAAACTTTAGAAATATGACAGGTAAAAGGCAAATGCAACTGAAGGTGAGAAGCTAAATACGCTTAATTATTAAAACTCTTTCACTGAAAGCAACTATGTGGATTTATACCAGTGAACTAAGACAAGTAGGGCTGTATCCAATGGTAGTCACACTCTAACCAGACCCATTGATATTAATGAACCTAAGTTATCCCCCTTAATTTTAAGAGCTTTACACTGAGTATGGCTACTATTGGAGACAGCCCTTGGTGAATTAAGAGTGTCCTTCAAAGAATGGTACTACATTTTCTAAAACTATTAATTTATTGTAAATTTTCCTGCATTCATGCAGTCTAAAAATAGCCAAAATAAGTTGGTTTTATATATACACATATAACATATTTATTGAGACAGTGGCATGGTTTTCTCTAGAAATTAATGTTCACCCAATAGGGGCCTCCCCTTACAGCTAGACACATTTTATTTAATGTAGAATAAGAGAAGAAATAGAAATGGCTACTCATTTTCCCTCAGCAGAGTAAGTTATACAGTAGTAGCAAAAAAGCAAGATTAGAGTGTGTAGAAGCTTCACTTACAGACACAAATATATAAAAGTACCCTTACCTTGTCAAGGGAATTGCTCTTTTCACTATGTCTTTCTGGGAGACTGTTTCCTGAATCTGTACTTATAAGAGAACCTCTTGAGTCTGCATTTCTTACACAATTAACATTTGGAGTCGAAGAGGTATACGGGGATGCTGAATAATAAGATGGTAGAAAAGGAATACATTAGCGGCTCTGCTAGTGTGAGATTCAACCTGCATTCAACTGCCCCTCTTTTATTCAAATGACCCTTCCAGTATCTAGATGCTAGGTAGATGCCAGAAACCTGGCTTGTAAAGGGATTGCCAGCTGGGTGCATGTTTCAGGTGACCGAATTCAACATCTGGATTTATCAGTAGGAGATATCTGAATGCGAAGAAATACAGACTTACCATATTTTCCCGTGTATAAGACTAGGGATTTTTCCCTTAAAAATGTCAAAAATTAGGGGGCATCTTATACACAGATACATCTCCTCCCCATTTTCTTAAATCTGAGTCCCCCAAAATAGGGAGTGTCTTATACATGGGGGCGTCTTATACATGGAAAAATACGGTATTTAGTTATAGGATATACATATACATATATATGACTTCATTATTTTATATCCCATTCAAGAATGAGTACCCAATTTTTCCCTTATAACCAACTGATAAAGTAGATTTGGCTAAGAGAGTTTCATGGGAACAAGCTCTGTAACTGTGTGGAAATTCGATATTTTTAAGTAATATAAGGGCTTAAAGGGACGTGAAGTTAGAAATAGAACGTAGAAATGGAAAGGAGAAACCGTAAGGTAAAGGATGAAGAAGTATATGTGAAAGTTATCAAAATTAGATAGAAAATTAATTTAAAAACCTAACTGAAAAGAGAGATCAGCGAGAGCAGGAAAATGAACTGCTCTGTCAGGCAGGAGAGGAAAAACTGAGGAGTGACCATACCTGCCTCCCAGAGTTCTTTGCTCTCCTGCCTCCATCACATGACAAGATAATACCCAACCCATTTATGGTATCAGCAACAGACTCAAATTTTGAACCCATGTTTCAGTGGCATAAGTTCAAACACCATCCACTATGCCACATCAACATTACATCCCTCAAAAGATCATTTTCACCACTAAAAGATCTACATGTAAAGTATCAAATTTCATTTCTTAGAAGGCTACATTTTGCTGTTCACAATGAGACATTAAAAGCTTTAATTAAAATAAGTGTAAAAAATATTTTTAAATAGTTACCAATGCCTGATATAGCACCAAACACGTCCTTGTGGAGGTTGCTATCAAGGGTATTCACAGATTTTTGAGGAGTCATCAGTGGATTTGCAGCTGGTAAGCTAAGGGATTCATCTTTTGTACTCTGTTAAAAAAGATATAATTTCACTTCCTTTGATATGTCTAAAAGTGGTATATTTTTACACTAGAGTTTTTTCAAGCTTTAAAGTTTCAGAAATAAAAATATCCACTCACACTGCTGGGAGCATTAATAGGGAAAGGTGAAATATCCTTGACATCAATTCGATGGGCATTTTCTATCAGCACCCCAAAGGTTGGCAAATACAACGTAGCTATTCTTGCTTGATGGCTCTGTACCAAAACATTTTAGTTCTCATTATTCAATGGGAATATACACACACTCACATTTCAGATATTCGCTGTTGTGGAACTAGAGTTATAACTTGATTTTTGGTTCTTGCACATTTAAAAGGAACAGATGTTGGCTGTTCCTTTTAAATGTGCAAGCCCTCAAACATATCCTTTTTGCAGTCAGGTGGGAGTCACAATCTTACTGAATCTGAATTTGCTAATCACGATGTTAGTAATTAAGAAAAAGCTCAACAAGTATGGCAAGGTGAGAATTAATAATATATTTTATAGTGCGAGAAGCATATTTTGCCAGGTGAGCAAGTCTATCTTTGCCCAATGATTCACTCTTGCTTGAGCTGATAATACAGGCAAAAGGCTCTTTGATCATCTCCCCCAGCGTTCTCGAACCTCATCTCAGAGGATCTCTGCTTACAAAGAAAAAAGAGTTTTGGTGCACAGACAGGCTCCCCCTATTCAGAGAAGTGCAGTAAGTTTAGAATCCTGTATTGGCTATGATCTCTGCATCTACTATTAAAGCATGAGTAGAGGAGCCCTGGGATTAGACTGACTTTATTTGTGAAACTTCAGTAAATAAGCACTGCAGGTATTTTGTAACATACACAGGCTAGCTTTGTGAAGTTCAGAGAGGGAAATATTTCCATCCCCTCCTCCCTCTTGCAGCTACCTATAACCTCCACAAAGCCTCTCCAGAGAGGTGGTGCCTCCTCCTGAACAATGTCGGGACAGAGCATGGAGGCCTGTTGGGAGAAGGATGAGAAGGTGGGATTTCATTTCATGAACTTCAATTTATCTGTGAATTGCAGCCTAATATGGGATTCCCAATAGTCCCATATACCCACATTCCACATTGTTCAGGAGAGCCCCTCAATCTCCTACACAGAGGATTCTCATGGGGCACAGGAGGTTACAATAAGGAAGAAGGGATATAAAACATTTCTTCAGTTCACTTCTTTAAATTAACTTTTCTTAGGACCCAAGTCACAAAAACTTCTGCACTTAATATAACTAAAAAAGCTTCTGAAATACACTTACCCTGGAAACATATCTGTCATCCAAAGAATGCTTTATCATCAAATTCTTCAAAACACTGATTGCAATTTGACGGATGTCTCTGAACTCTTGCAGTGCATTTCCCACCTCCCTCAGCAGCAGTCCTACCAAGAAGTGATGCTTGCAGAACTCATCTGATAAGGAATAGTCAAGCTGAAGGTCTGAAAGCAAACACCACAGTTAAGAAAGTGTATATTTTAATATAGAAAGATGCAATCCATTGCCATTTGGAAGCACCACAATGTTCACTACATTCCATGTCCTCTTATTTATTAGAAAAACAAAATAGTGTATCTATAGATTGTTCTTTTGCTTTTTATAAGCAGAGCCAAGACGAAAAATGAAAATATTTAAGCAGTAATGAATTACAGGCAATTCCCAGTTTATGTACATTCTATTTGTGCACTACCATGCACACACACTGCCAGATACCCAGAAGTGGTACCAGGAAATGGGGATCACCTGGTCAACGGAGTTGGAGGGATGGCGGAGCTTCCACAGCTGACATGAGTGGTGAAGAAGCTTCCCCACGCACGTCAGCTAGGTTGGTCAACCAAGACCTGCCATCCCTCTGGCTCCCACAAGCCAGAGCAGCCTCAACAAGCCTCTGGATCACGAGGAGACCCTTCCCAGAGCCCAAAGAGGATGAGATGGGAAGGCTGAGCATCTCAACAAAGCCCAGCAGCCCTTCCAGCTCACGAGGAGACCCTCCCTCTTTGGGCTCTGGAGTAGGTCTCCTCCTGCTGAGCCAGGAGGACTCGCCAGGGTGCTCTCTATTTTACGTGATTTCGCATATGCGCATGGGAGCCTAAAACGGAAGCCCCGTGTAAATGGAGAGTCATTGGTACTGACAGTAATTCAGTAATTTGCTCTCTTGAGTACATGGTGGCTTACTGACTAAATATGAACTCTTGGAAAAGAACTCAATTGGTGGTCTGCTGTGGTCCAAGTCAATCTCTTTCATGCTTTATGTGGCTACAGAGCAACATTTATGCATTTTAAATAATTTTCGCACCACACTTTCGCACAAATATGTTCTGCTAAAACCAAGCAAGTGTGGGTGACTACAAGCAAAAGGTCAGCTATCTGTGACAAAACTGAACATGCATTTTTTAAAAAGAAAACAACCAATGGCACACCTAGTAATTCAGTGGCACTTGTACTATCAAACTTCTTGTTTTTAATATTACTTTTTTATTTAGCCCAGGAAGCTAGCTAGCCTTCCTTTTCTTGGTTGGAAAAAAGGCAAGCACCGCCCCTAGAATGTGATGCATTGGAAACAGATATTTCCAGGAAATACATCTAAAGAAATGTAAATCGAATGTGGAAAATGGTGGGAAAGGCCTTATTTTGCTTACGAACTATGAAACAAAAGAAAAGCAGGAAGAAAACATCCCCCATGACTCCAGCTGTAGTGAGCATCTACCATCTGTGTCAGCATGTCGTAGACAACAAGAGGCTGATGAGGCAGCTTTTGGAGACCCCATAATTAATATATCCTTAAAAGGCTAGGCCTTTATATTTGTGTGCCTCACTTCTTGCATAATAATTCCATTCTGTTGGTCCAATGACACCACCAGGGTGCATATGCGTATAGAATACGTCCAGTAGGGGGAAAGACAGAACGAGTCCTTTTGAATTTTGAGAACTTTGCTTTAAAGGATAATTTAATATTTATGACTGCTGGAGAAAGTTAGGTATGTGATTCATTGCAAAGTACCCCATAGTCTTCATTGAATCAGAGTCACTCAAAAATGATTCACAACTAATCCCACCCCTGCTGCTCCACAATTAGCATCAGCAAAGCTTGCTGACACAAAACAGGTTCCAAAGAGAGCATGGGCATACCCCGAGGGAATTTATTCCCTTTGAGTAGCAGGCCACATCACAAAATACTTTTGAAAACCCTTTCTGTATCAAGGATTCTGCAATGAAGTGCAGGGGAGCTGCTATACAATACACACAAGCTTGAAGCATCCATGCAAGCACAGGACAACTGAAAGAAAATAAGTGTTTCTTGATACTCTGGCTTGTACTAGCAAGATGAAAGCTCTGGAATGTTTTCAATCAATTTATAGTGACATGTTCATGCATTTTCGATTTGTTTCCAAATGAGCACGTCAAATTTATTTTAAAAGCTTTATTTTATCCATAGCAGTGTAGCATGACTCACAAATGGATTTACTGCACATTCTTCCTTTTTACACAAGTCACCATGGTTTTTAAATTAGAAAGTCAGTGTAGGATCAAACAGCACACTCCACACCTACCTATAGGAGTGTCATAGGATTCCACTGTTGGTGAAAGAAAAGCTAATTCAAAGGAAAAAAAGAAGCAAAGTAGGACAAAACCAATAAGTAACAAATAGCTTTTCTGGTTTGAGACAACACAAAGAAACAATGCTAATGAGACAGTGTGTGTGTGTGTGTGTGTTACACCAGAACTAAATTACTTACCTATCTGCTTTGACTCTATCACTTTATTATACAAACTGGTGAAAATTAGAGGAGACAGAAATAAAATCTCCGTCTCACAATTAAAGAACCCCAATATACATGTACCAAGTCACAATAGATTTCAAGATTTTTCTTACAAGACAACAATGTCAAATTAACTTTTCAAATGTGAATTTACCTTGATATCGCTGAATCCTGCCTTTTCCAAAAGGCATAGGCAGATTCAAAGGAATGTAGTGTTCATGATTACATACTACTCGGAGAAATTCAAATTTGAATTCAAAGAGGGTCTGCAAAAATATGTTGAAGTCATAAAATTGGTTGTTTAACAAAATTAGTATATTTAAATTCAATAAGCAAGCAAAAGATTTTTAATATCTGGTTTCAGTTCTTTGAAAGGATGGCTAAGAAGACCCAATAAACAAACAGCACACTGTCTGATTTCCATACAATGTTTTCATACAAGGACACACATATTCTGATAACATGAGGGCTCATTATATTTTTTCTAATTTTATTAGAAATATGAAATATAGCAGATCTTTTTGTTTAACCGATTTCCAGCTTACACATGGTGCAATCTTGCCTGCTTTGTGAGACAAGATGAAGATATTCTTGGAAACCAAAAAACAAGCAAGCTTTGCTTTGGAAACGTATTTAAATATTGCAACTAAGGAAAAAAAATCACTGCCCATAAAATATATGTATCAGAATGCTACATGCATGAAGGCTGCACTTACAGGACACAAAGTTACGGACACAGACCTTTCATGGGTGTAACAAGGACACAACTTTTATTGGTTACAGCAAACTGGGTTTGGTCTAGCATGGGGACAAAGGAACTATCCATCGTGCAGCCCCATCTGCAGAACTCAACCAGAAATGAGGAGCTGGCCTGAGTACAGGGCAATCTGGGTGTGGGCACATCCAGTGGGCCTCTCAGGCAAACTAGGATTCATGCCACCCGTGAGCTCTGTTTTAGGTAGAAAGCAACAGTCCAAGATCCCTTAAGGAGAGCTGCTCAGTGGCAAGTAGGGTTAAACTGCCAGGCTCTGGTCCTCAATCAACCAAATGGAAGCTCACATTAGTTCCCCGCGGAAGACCTGTCTGTGCTATGAGTCAGTCAGCGCTGCAGAGCGGATCGCATCCAGGACAAGTCTTTCCCACCCACTCTGCCCACACAGGGAGCCAAATAGGGTTCTCTAGGTAAGCTGGGGACCTGGGACAAACAAACAAAAAAACCTCCAAAATGACAATGGCAACACAATTTCTTACAACAAAGCTATTCAGTACCTTTGGATCTCCTGGAGCAAAGAAGCTGATATAGTTATTAATTTGCTTGAACACAAATCCTCTGTCCATAAAGGTGAAACATCTCTGCAAAAGCAGAAAAAGTCACAAGAGCATTCTAAAGGCATGGTAGTTAGTAAGTTATATTTTTATAGCTATTTCCAAGAAAAAATCTATAAAAACTAAACTAGCCTAAAGCAACAGTCGGATGCCAAGCATCAGATGCTTAATAAATGACTCATAAATTATATATTTCTAAATTAAATCAAAGATTTAATAATCTCATCTGAACTTCTTATTGTACACCACATTTCAAACAAGTTTTTATTGTACATAACCACTTATGATGAGAGACTATGAATTCATAGTCTTCACTATCAATCCAGGATCAAAATACCCCAGAACTGCAGGATTTTTATTTCAAAAGTGCTGCCCCTTCTATCATCTCAGTACTATCTATAATTAATAGCAGAACATTCAAAACCAGCTTTAATCAAAGATTTACATTATCTATTTTCTTGACACATACTTTTCTTTCATATGCCAATTTATTGGGGGTGGGGTAGGGAGAGAGATTGCCAGCTATTGCTTTCTAAACCTGCTGTATCATGTTGACCATGAGAGAAAAGAAAAGCTTAAGAACAGTTTGAGTTCTGCATGAACAATTGCTAAGACAGTGGTGGGGCACACCCAACTACCTGTCAAAATCCCTTGCTTAGGGTTCCCAAGCCTGGTGGCTGTTGGGTGCTTGGGAATACTGCACATAGGAGGTTGCTAGCCCTGTGTTCAACACTTTCCAAAGCATCAAACACAGGACAAGCAAAGTGGTTCTTTCTCCCTTCCCCATGGGGAGGTGGGGGCACAGAAGCTGGCATTTTGCAGGCATCAACATGTGCAAGAGAGGTCTCTCCCAAAGCCAATTTGCCAAAAGCTGGTTTCTTCCCCCTGCATTTTGCAGATCAGCTGAGAAAAAGCACTCCTCTCAAAAACACAATGCAAGAGCTTGTAAAGTTTTGTTTCTGAGATGGCTGCTGCTGTTTAGCAAGAGTCCAATACAACCCTCCTCCTGAATGAGGAAGTAGTTTCCATGGAATCCTGTCAAACTGAACAGGATTTAACCCCTAGTCATTAACTCATGACAGCAGGGGAGTTAAAAAACCCCAGCCGTGCCTTGGCTGCATGCAGCCTGTTCCCTACTGGATTTAACAATGTGCTCCCATCCACCCAGGGGCATGGTTTGGGGCAAATTGGACCTCCTGCCAGGCCAAGATTGGCTTGTGGGCCAAAGAGAAATTTTCGTAACACTTCAGGTATTGCTATGTTGACTAAGTGAAGCCTTCTTCAAGAAAGGCCAACAAAGAACCATACTCACTTTTATGAAGACAGCAAGGCTATGGTTTGCATTTTTTGAAGCTTCTGGGTTATCTTTATACTTCTGAGTAATGTGTGGCATCAACATGTTTACTACAGTTTCTACAGCGTGATGATAAGATGCTGGAAATCTCTGATTTCGTAACAACTAGGGGGGGAAATTAACCAACAGAATTTGACAAAATTATCCTTTTACCCTTACGCGGTGTTTGAGAATTGGTAGTTAAAAACTCAAACCAAGAGGAAAAGGCAAAAAAAGTTTCTGAATATCACTGGCATCTGTTTATTATTAACTAGACTTATATCCTGCCCTTTCTCCAGCCAATGTGGTTCTCTTTCCCCTCTCTCATTTTATACTCTCAACAATCCTGTTAAGTAAGAGATAGTGACCAACCCAAGGTCATCCAGCGAGCTTCACAGGTGAGTATGGCATTGGACTTTTGTCTCTCTGGACTATGTCATGCACAACTATTCCACGTTGGTTCTAATAAAATGTATGCTGTTGGATTATTTAGAGCAGGAACATCTTTGATATAATTCTGTTTGATACTCCTTCATATGTTACAAAAATATAAAAATAAACTGGCCAGGCTGGCTGGGGCTGATGGGCACCAGGTTGGGAGGTTGTGGAAGGCTGTACTAAAGAAATAACTAGACTTATGCATTGTTCCGTTTTCATACAGCAAAAAATCGGAAGTGCCTAGAATTAAGGGGACTAAAAGCCTAGCCATTTACCAAGCCTCTTCAGAATATTATACGTACCTTTACTTTAGCATTTTCTAGCAGGTGCTGGGCCATTGATTTGATTAGAATTTCAAAGAAAAACCAGGAGTACTATTAAAACAAAACAAAATCAACACATTATACAAGCAGTCCATTTATACCTGTAATACATAAAATGTTTATTGTTAATGGGATTATTGTTAAATGGTTTTCACTGGAATTGCTACTCTTTGTTTACTCATTTTTTAAAATAAAAAATGTAGATAACTTTGTCAAATTGTTGCAGTCCATCTTTTTCTGCCTTATCTCCTCATGCTTTTTAAAATATCTGATTTGCCACCATTTTTATCTTTTGCAACAGCATGCAGTTGCAGTACAACCAAAGTACAGTGGTACCTCTGGTTAAGTACTTAATTCGTTCTGGAGGTCCGTTCTTAACCTGAAACTGTTCTTAACCTGAAGCACCACTTTAGCTAATGGGGCCTCCTGCTGCCGCTGGAGCACGATTTCTGTTCTCATCCTGAAGCAAAGTTCTTAACCCGAGGTACTATTAGCTAAAGTGGTACCTCCGGTTAAGAACAGTTTCAGGTTATGAACGGACCTCCAGAACGAATTAAGTTCTTAATCCGAGGTACCACTGTAGAAGGTTCATAGCCATGAAGAAAGGAAGATCTTGGATAATATATCTGTATATTATGTGCAGTGTGGAATCTCCACTTAAATTCCACTTTGTGGAAAAGCAATGCCTCAGCAGCACTAAAGACTCCAATCTAGTTATAGAACAACCCCGCACAGTTAAATAGGTAATACCAAGAAAAGCAGCAATCAATGATTTTTTATATATATACCTTTAACAGCTTGTTGCTTGTGAGAAAGTCAGCAGATGGCTTCAAGATTGTTGTCATGGATTTGGCAAGTTCTTCATGTACGGTCTTATATTCAGTAGCAATGTAAGGCTCTGCTTTGTAGGCATACTTGGCAAGACAAAAAGTGAAATTAGCTTTGCATAATGCAGAAGTAATTATTACAGATGTTAATGGTACAATTTTTGATAAAGCAACTTTGTATGAATCCTACCTTGACATAGGACCTCAAGTAGCTATCCAGCCCTTCTTCATGACACTGGGCAACTACATGGATAATAACCCTAAACAAAATGAAGTGACCATAAAATATCATTGCAAAGTACTCTGACAAAAATTAGAACAACCTTGGCAAATTAATACCCCAAAATTGCTTTTTAGGTGATTAAATGTACCAGGACTGTTGCATCAAAATGCTTACCTTGTCACGTTCACTGCAACTTCTTCTTGGTTTGCTCTAGTAAGGACTCTAAACAATTGGTTTAAAATAGTAGGCAGGAAAGCTATCATCACATAGCCCTCCATAGCATGAAGACTCTAAATTAAGAAAATAATAAAATGAAATCAGAATTGTATGAGAATCAAAACGTACTTTATATATATATATATATATATCAGAAGTGTAAAGCTAACAATCTTCAGAAACTTTACTTGGAAGCAAGTTCTATTGAAATAACAGGACTTACACATAACTTATTCTAGGAGGAAACATGGAAATCTAAGAATATAAGTAAATGGTTTCCTATGCAACATCTGATGCTATTTCATAGCCTGTCAGATTTCAACCAGATGGGGTAAATAAGAGAGTGCACTGGGAGTTGAAGGTATACATATACAGGATACATTATTAAATAGCAATTCAGCAGAGAATACTGAAATCAGCACAAAAGCATCATGCTGTGGGATAAGATGACATGTGTTCAATATGATAGTGGCTAATGCTGCCTTGTTAAAATACTTGTCAAGACATTTGTGAAATAAATGTTGATTAAATGTTGAAAATACTTCGCAGCCGCAACATTGCAAGGTGCACATTTTGCATGGCAAAATATAATAGTATGGCTAAAATATAAAGGAAGTCTAAAATATGTGCTAGTTACACGTGATCACTTCCTCCCCACATGTTGCATTGTGGCATACCACAGGAAGACTCAAATTCAGGCTACATGTCAAGCCACAATTAAGGAAGATTAACTATAATTTAGTATGACAGTCTACACTAGCAAGCCATGGTATATATCAGGGGTCAGCACACTTTTTCAGCAGGGGGCCAGTCCACTGTCCCTCAGACCTTGTAGGGGGCCGGACTATAATTTTTTTTGGGGGGGGGGGAGAGAACAAATTCCTATGCCCCACAAATAACCCAGAGATGCATTTTAAATAAAAGGACACATTCTACTCATGTAAAATCATGCTGATTCCCAGATTTCCCGGATTTAGAAGGTGACTGGGCCGGATCCAGCCCCCGGGCCTTAGTTTGCCTACCCATTGTATAAATTATATACCTTAAGATACTTCACAAGATCAACTCCTAAGGCTTGAGCTCCAGACTCAGTTTTTTGACAATAATGAAAGAAATTGTTTAAGTGCTGGTCCTAGGAAAAGAAAGACAAAAACAGGTTAAGTCAATTAATACATAATTCAAATTGATTTGATCAAATGTGCCATTGCAATGTCACTTCCTCTAGATAAAAGAAATCCACTGTAAATATGACCAAAATGCTCCTCCTTTCAAGTATCCATTAAAGTTAAGCTTAAAAAGAATAAAGCAATGTGACGGAATTCTCAGCAATTTAAACTTTGCATAACTCCTGATTCTTGAAGCTACATTAATCTCACAGCCAAAGCTTATGAAGTTTGCTTTTGCTTGCTTGGTGTGCTATAACAGCAAAGATTTTATAATATGCACCAGAAGACCAAAAATTATTTTTCACTTCTCTCCCCCCTACCTACTCCAACTCAGCCCTACCATCACTGAACACGGACTTTTGTCATCCTGCCCTCCAGTTATGTACAATCTAACAGCACAATCAACTCAAAAAATGTGGTAAAAAGCTCTAGTGGAATAGCCTACCTGTGTATATACAGTGGAAACCAGATGGGTTGAAATCTTTAACAGTGGTTTGCCTCCATCTACCCATTTAATTTCAGAACCAGAATGCTGTATATAGAGAAGAAAGTTAAAATACTGTTGATATTACGTAAGTATTGTTATTACACCAAATATGGACATGTTGGCCTGGTCTGCACACGCAGAAAAGCCATGCTTTTTTAAAGCAAACCATGAATTAACCATATGTTGTCCAATAATGGTTTGTTTCTTTCGCACAAATGAAAGATTTCCCATCTACTCTTGAGTTAACAAATGCCAAATATGGATATACTGGCCTGGTTTAAATATAACACTAAACCATGGCTTGTTTGGCAAACCAAGGATTCGAAATGCATGGTGTACTTTCTGTAGCAAGAACCATAATAAATTATTGGTGCTTTCATTTATTTGCAAGGAAAAATTATTTCACAGTCAGTCAGTGACACATGACAGTGAACAGGTATACAGTAAGCAGGCTTGACACTTTAAAATTTGAAAATGACAAAAATTTAGTAATGCACTTTGAACATCTTGCATATTTAGATACAAAAATTAATGTTTGCTTTTGTGTGTGTGTTTTAACAACTCTGCCCTATCAAGTTCTATGAAAAATAATCAATCATTATTGTGTTGTTGGGTTTTTTTACTTTGATCATGCCAGGTTCTTGATTGTTGAGATATCCACATGGAAGGTATGCAGCTACTGGGATATGTTGTTCATTTGTCACTACTCTTCCATCTTTCAACAACTGAAGCCAAGAATACCCAACTAAAAAAAATGCAAAGAAAAAACATTTCTAATATTCACACCTTTAGTATATAATGTAACACAACACAGCCTCATCTAGCAAGACTTGGTGGGTCTTATACTTCACCCGCTAAAATCCTGTTAAACATGTAAGAAAGGCTCTACCCAATGGAACAAAGCACCCATTTTTATCTATAGCAGTTAAGAGTGAAATTTCAATTTTAAAAAGCAATTGACAGTCAACTTATTTCTCTAAAAATGCTTTTAAGTCAGTAAATATATTTAGCATTGGACTCTCTTTATTGTAACCCAGCAACAAGAAAATGATAGATTTAATGATAAATCTTCAGAAGCTATGAAATGAGTGTCAGACTTTGAATTCAACACAGAAAATCCAAGTCAATCATACCTTGTGCTTCAATTATGTCCTTCTTTTTGGTAGTCCCTTTGCTTGAACTATCACAGCTGACATGGTAGAAGGTAAACAACAAATGATGTTTTTCGTGTAACTGTGTGGGCAACTCTATTTTAATCTAAGAAGAAGAAACATATAAGTTTGGCTTCAGAGAATATTCCCAATAGTGCCGTGGTATGCCTCATAAAATGTACATATAGGAAATAATTTTCAATGCAATTAAATCAAGATTTTGAACAAGAAATCATACATTGGGAGCAATTGGTGAAAAGTGGATTATATGCACTTAAAAAAAGACAGATATATGTGAAACTCTAGAATCATTTCAATGGAGGTGGCAGCTGCGATCATGCAAAGAAATACACACAGGGAACTTTCCCTCCAATATAGTGGAGTGCACTGCATGATCAAATGAATTAGGTGGGGGCTATCTAAAATGGAATGGGTAGCATATACAGATTTTGACTAGCTTGCATAATTTTAGCTTAATATAATCTTAAGTGTACAGTATTAAAATACATTAGTAAAGTGCTACCCTTAAAAGTTCTAATTAAGTTACAAAAGTGAATATATGAGTTTAAATATGCAACAAGGCTGAACTAGAACAATTATACCCAACAGACTTGTAGCTTCATATGTGTAGAAGAATTTTAACATGAGACGTATCAATGACAATGTTTTTCCATATGTATCTCTGAGGCAGTTTTGAGACCTATTTACCTTGGGACTCAGCTATACAGCTGCAAATAAAACGTTTTAAGTGTGCAATATACAATGTGGCACTAGATGGCGATGGTGAGCCTTAAGGAAAATTCAATGTATTTTTAAAAACGCTTTTTAAAAAAAGCATTTTCAGAACGTTTTTTATGTGTGCATAGATTTCACCTTGATTTTTGGCTCTAAAAAGGGCTCAAAAAGATGCTCACAATAAAGAAAAAAAAAAACCAATAAAATTCCTTTTTTTAAAAATTGGACATCATTCAACAGTTACACTAATGTAGTGGCTTTTATTGCACGCCCTAAATTTGCTCTGGATAGTTAGGGGAACCCCTGGGGTAGATTTAGGAAACATGCAGGGAAAGGAGCGGGACATGCAACGTTAAATCTCTAGATGATTTCTCCCAGTGGTTGCAGGTGCAACACAAACCTCAAAAATGGCAGATTAAAGACTTGTTTAGGATTGTCAAAAGTGCAGGATACAACACATTTTCAGCAGAGGTCTCTCTATAGCATTTTTCAGAATTGATGGTACTATACTCTTCATGATAGGCATTAACTTTGCTACCCAAGTGAACAGACCTCCTCTGGCAGCTTTCAGCAGCTACAATAGGCTTCAAACCTCAAGCAGATACCATGGGCACAATCAGTGACCTTCTTTAAATGAGAAGTCAAAATCAAAATGGATTCTAGCTGTTTTATCAGTAAAGTTTTCCACAAACTATTCATAACAGACCACAAAGGGTTCCTCTTCTTCTCCTAAACGATTTAGATATACTAACCCCCTTAGTATGCAGAAAAGCGTCACAAGTCAACGTGGAATTTATGTAATGGTGATAAGCAAGTAAGATCTCTTTTCCACTCATACATCCATAGAATAATCCCTAAAATGAGCTGTATCCTGTCCCCACCCCCAATTCTTCAGAAAACTATAGAGCTCTGGTTTTTGTAGATAAGAGAGGTAATCTGAGAGAAATTATACCATCTCATCCTACTATCTTCCAATATGTTTCTCTGTTCATTTTTCTGTTCCAGAGATCATCCAGGGCTTCTGACAGGACTGTCATTTAAGGCAGCAAGCAATTTCTCCAAAGTAGTCAAGAAACCGTTCAGATCCACCACTTATTTATTACTAGTTACTATTTTACTATACTTTCCTAAACACTCAAAGCGCTTAACATGCATTATTCTAGGTATGCTTACAACAGGACTGTAAGGGAAACTGAGGCAGACAGATGCTAGCTTGCCTACGCCTACCTGATAAATTGATTAAGACAGTTCCACTCTCATCTCACTATGTTTTTGGAAACTGGCAAGTATATAATGGGTTACCTCATCATAAAACTCTGGGTTTTGGTGATGATGCAGAACTGTAGCAAATGCTTGTCTTGTAAATACTGATCCACCGGGTCTGCCATAGATGCACTAAAAATCAAATAACAAAAGAAAGACTTATTCCATTGTATTTTAGGTCAAGAACATGAATGAAACATTTTTTGATGTGCTGTTGAAAAATCCAAAGAGAACTTCCAATAACATTACGTAAACACAACACTTGCAGCAACATGCCAAAATACAGCCTAGTGAAAGGATCTCAGGTAGCAGGGCTGGGAAATTTATCCGCCTGATACCTTATATAGCAGGAGAAACTTTCTCAGCCAAGAGTCACATTCCCTCTTGGGAAAGCCTCCAGGGTCTGCCTATGGGATTAACTGATTAACTGGGCCACATTCCAGCCATACAAAAGTCTCTCTCTCTCTCTCTCACTCACACACACACACACACACACACACACAACCAATCTCCATTAGGTAAACAAGAAGTGTTATCATGTTTCAAGGTCACATTCCAACCAAGCAAAAGTATATGAGGAGGATCCAGAGAAGGCCTGAGGATATGTAGGGAAGAGTCCTGAGGGGCATACTGAAGTTCATTGCCCCCTGCTCCCAAAGTTCCCCACCCCTGCCTTAGAGAACTGATTTTAGTCAAAGTATATAGTCCTGGGCCTAGATAAACCAATGCTCCCACTCAATGTATGACAACTACACAAGAACTATAGTTGTTTTATGCAACTAGACTGATGTCTACAATTTTAGACCATAAGTGCCTGGGGGCAGGAACCTGTCTTTTTGCCTAAGTTATTCTATAAATTCACATATATATGTGATGGCACTGCATCACCTAGAAACTATATTCAAATGTAAGGGACACATAAACCAAAATTAGGTAGCAGCTGTGATTAAAGCATACTCTTCATATTACTTTACTGAGAAAAGCATGTCTGAATAATCAGTACTCTCTTTTTTCACTGAAATCATCAGAAGGATCACATACTCAATACCAGGCTTCCTCAACCTCAGCCCTCCAGATGTTTTTGGCCTACAACTCCCATGATCCCTGGCTAGCAGGACCAGTGGCCAGGGATGATGGGAATTGTAGTCTCAAAACATCTGGAGGGCCGAGGTTGAGGAAGCCTGCTCAATACTTGTCTACAAGTACAAAAAAGCCCTACTAAAGGAAATGTTACTCAATCTAATTGAAAAGGCCATAAACATATTCTGAAGCAAACTAATTCCTGCCTTCAACTACTAGGGGGAGGTTGAGTTCCTACGTGAGGACACCTTACCTGCACAGAATAATAAGCAGTGAGTTTTTGAATAAATATCTGTAAGTCAGATCAACAAACCTTTAGAGGTATGGAATCTTCATCATCTGAATCCTTGAATTCAATGCAAACTGCAATATTTCTTGCCTAAAAAGAGCACATACAGAGATTTTTGTTTTTCCTAAGAAGTGCCAGATAAGCAACAAAAACTTCCAAGAAAGAACACCAAATTCAATTCAGATTCAATTTGGTCTTGAATCTGAATGTTATTAGTGGCCCATTAACTCACCTTTGCAAATGACTTTTGACTGTCATATTTCAAGTGCTTTGGATAAACATAAAGGTGATTGTTGTAGATGGTGAAAGGCTGAGTGTGTTTTGGTATACAGGGAACAAACTCCTCTACTTCAAACGTTACTACTGTCTTGGTACTGTTTTCAAACTGTTTCATGGGAATGTATGATGAGCTAACAAAATCTGAAAATATATTAAAAACCAATAAAAAAATTGAAGAAAAAATGCTTCTCAGCTATTTAAAAGTACTTTTCTATACTTACTTGGGATGTCTGGAGAAATATTATCAATTGTTATGTCTAGATTTCCTAAAATAACGGGTAGCTTGGCCATCTTTTCAGGTCTATGGAAGAAGGAAAAAACAAAGTGACTCAACAGAAGAATCACTCGGGATGGATAATACAGCAGAACTCAAATAGGAAAGGAAACACCCCAAAAGGCTTGGAAAGCATGACAAAGTCTTTTTCCAGAGAGATAGGTAAACACTACATTCCTTGGCAATACTTATATCTCCTAAATTTGTGCAGCTTTTCACTGAAACCACATCAAGCCCAATTTAGCAACTTCCCTTGACGACTTGACCCTCACAGACTTGACTTTTTTAGCCTTATGACAAGAACAGCTGTACTGACCACTGTCTCCAGTCCAGACTTTTCACCTATAATCTGTTTGTAAAAAAAAATTCATTCTTCCACAGCACCCATTTAACGGAAACCTTAAAACAGGAGAGGCCAACCCAGAGCCTTTGGTATGATGGCACCCAATAAGGCCTTCTTTGGTGCCTCCGCCCTCCATAATAAACAGCAAGCACTTGACAAATGTACAGTATGTGAAAACAGATTTGGCTCTGAAGTTGTACTTGCATGAGTAGAAAGCACTTCCACTCATACTCAGATTGTTTTCTTTATGGAAAGAAGCTTGCTGCAGACTCAGTTCAAGACATATTACTTTATTTGTTTGAATTAGTCTTAGCCACATTATTATTATTAAATTTCTATACCGCCCTGTATAGAAATTTAATAATTTACAATATAAAACCACAAAAAACCACACAACATAGTAGCAAACAAAAACAATACCCCATAGTTTAAAAGGCCATAGATTGTTTAATTAGCCAAAGGCTTGGGAGAAGAGGAATGTTTCTACCTGGCGCCTAAAGATATATAACAAAGGTGACAGGTGCTGCTTTAAGAGCCCTTAAGGACAATAATGCAGGATGTAAATATTCTAAATAATAAATATGTACAGTACTCACTTTTTGAAATCAGCTAACAATTTAAGCATGTCTTCATTTGAGAGCTTGTTACTGTCTTGTTTGTAGAGTGCTGAAAATCGTGCATTTTTGTCTAGTGTCCCAGATGCATCCTTAAACAGTGTCCTGAAACATGAACTCTTATATAAGAATCTCATTACAAAATGAAACAGAGAAAAAAGTAAAAGTGAACACTTCATATCCTGAAATTAGATTGGCAAACTCTGATCCACGGAAATATGCATAAATGCTCACAAGAAAAGAAGCCAAAATTTATTGTGTAACAATACATATTACTCCCTACACCAGTGGTTTCCAAACATCTTTCCCTGTGGAGCATTAGAAAATTGCTGAGGGTCTTGGCAGACTACTTAATGATTTTTCTGCATGTTGCAGCAACTGTAATGCAATGAGCAAGAAGCAACATGATTTTTAAAAATTGTACTTTTAGTGCTTCTTTTATTTCTTATATAATGCATTTTATTGATTATAATTTGAATGCTGTAGAATGCAGATTGTAATGAAATAAAATACAACAAGAAGCAATAAAAACACAATTAAAGATCACCATGAATATTTAATACAGTGAATTTGTGTTCTCAGCCACAAATCCACAGAAACACCACAGACCACCTAAATAAAGCTCACAGACCACTGGTGGTTAACAGAGCACAGTTTGGGAACTCCTAACCTACACAATGTATTTTTCTAAAATAGTATCTGGTTTTTCCCAAGTCCTGTGATTTAAATACAATAGGTTGAGAGTGACTTTAGCCTTGCCCACTAAATGCAAGGAATTCTGTCCCAAATACTAAATTGAGTTTTGACTAAAATAAAAAGGCACACAAATTAATACACTTAGAAGAAAAGAAGCCCCAGTCTTTACCTAGCTGCCCATGCGAATGGCATTCTGTACTGTCCTAGCCGCTGACATGCCTGCTTTGCATTTTTCAGAACTTTTTGAGCAACCTGCAAATGATAATAGAAATACATAAGTTTTTCATCAAATAACATTTGGTTTATTTATTTAACCTCACTTCCACTGATAATGACTTATCTCAAATACTCATCCTTCATGATACAGTGGTACCTCGGGTTACAGACTCTGCTAACCCGGAAGTAGTACCTCAGGTTAAGAACTCTTCCCCAGGATGAGAACGGAAACCGTGCGGTGGCGGCAGCGGGAGGCCCCATTAGCGAAAGCGCGCCTCAGGTTAAGAACGGACCTCCGGAACGAATTAAGTTCATAACCAGAGGTACCACTGTATTCTTCTTGACAGGACCACAAGAAGGATCTCTTTCCCAGACTGGGAATTTTGGATTGGAAGGTACTGGTGAAGATTTTAGGTTCTTAACACTATTACTCACAATAGTAGCCAAGACACAGTATGGCACAAGACACATACACATCTATATGTGTTATAATTATTCTCACCAAGTACCTGGGTTCCCTTCTTCCTTTTCCCGTTTCTGTTACTTTACTTGATTATTAAAATGCATATATACATGGTATTATTTGGATTCTGCCTTTCCACAGTTCCAACCATGCTCAAAGCAGCGTACAACACAAAAAATACATAAGTACAACATAACAAACTATAGGTAGAAAAAATCAAAGGGGAAGAGGAATCCTACACACAAATGGTAAGGAGCCAGTGGTGTTCTTAAGTTTCCAAATATGATTTGGAGGACCAGGTTTATAATGTCTGAATTGAGCTAGGGGCATCAGAGTGAAATTTTGTATGTGTGCTCAAGGCAACCATGAACCTCAGCCCAAGTTCTGCATGGCCCGGACTGATTTCAGCTACAAAAGCTAGGGCTGCTGAACAGATTATTGAGTTGGGGTGTTGTTTGGTGGTGGTGTTGGGGGTCGCCGCTTAGTTTTTTGTATCTTTATTTTAGATCTTGTGATTTATTTGGAAATTGTTTGGCTTGGTTGTGTATTTGTTAATGATTTATTTCTTGTTTACGACTACTTTTGTTATGTTAGTGCCTTTGACTATGGCAGGTTTGAAGTGGGTCAGCAAATGATGGCTTGAAAGCAAGGCACTAACAACAGTTCTCCAGCTCTGGTAAAGGTAAAGGGACCCCTGACCACAGTCATGACCGACTCTGAGGTTGTGGTGCTCGTCTCGCTTTATTGGCCGAGGGAGCCGGCGTACAGCTTCTGGGTCATGTGGCCAGCATGACTAAGCCGCTTCTGACGAACAAGAGCAGCACACAGAAACGCCGTTTACCTTCCCGCCGGAGAGGTACCTATTTATCTACTTGCATGTTGACGTGCTTTCGAACTGCTAGGTTGGCAGGAGCAGGGACCGAGCAACAGGAGCTCACCCCATCGCGGGGATTCGAACATCCGACCTTCTGATCGGCAAGTCCTAGGCTCTGTGGTTTAACCCACAGCGCCACCCGCGTCCCTTCTCCAGCTCTGATGTCATAGCAAATTACAGTTAGAAAAAGCCAGGAAGTGAAAGACTGAACTTTCAAGAAAGCAGGGAGAAAAGAGGGAGAAGGAACAGAACCTGAAAGCCCCTAGTGTATCTCCAAACCACAGCTGAGAAGACCTGGTTTGTGATGTCTGCACTGAGCCATAACATTCAAGGGAGATATTGCACCACATTTTGAACTTTCATGTTTAACAAAGGATTCAGAATCTGATCTGATCTTTGACCCTGAAAAGTTCATTTGCCTTGAATATATGTACTACATTTTAATACTCCAGTGTATATGGCATTGCAAACAAACTGAGACTTACAAATGGGATGTCAAACAGTCAAGAGTATACCTTAGAAGAATCAGAACTTTTCATATATGGTTCAGCACAGTGGGTAATGCTCCCTTGCAGGACTTTCTCTATTCTGGCCACTAGAAATATATCAGGATGTGGACACGTCACTGAGAATATTCCCTGAAAATAAATGCTTGGTTTATTGACACTGAAATGAAAATAGAGGTCTTTATTTTGCAAAGAAGTGGAAATAGTGACTTCTTTATTCCTTACCTGTTTGGGATATTGTAACATTATCTCTGGAATAATATCTTGAATCCGATGTAAGCAATCACTGCTGTCATTTAATACCTGTTGAGATGCACTACCTAGCATATTCCTCACTGTGCTATGATTCAAATCCACATGGAAATCTGATGAAATCTTCCGGTTCTCTTTTATATCAAAAAGTGACAGCGTTATGAAAAATGGCTCTACCTGGGCATTTAAAAACAAAACAACAGTAAACATGGCCATCAGGCAAAGAAATAATGGGTACTTGATAATTGGCACATAGAAAGAGCAGTTATTATATTATACAGTGACTTTTACTTTATAAATTCAATGTGTTGGAATTGTATTTTAGAATCTCTATAATTTAGAGAGCCAAATACCTTATACCACTGAATATGTAAAGATTTTAGGCTCTCTTTTAGGAAAATGTATTTTATTCAACAACAAAAATCCACACACTATAATATGACACTACAATGTTTGCTATGTAATCAACAACTAACAATTACTCATGAAGTTCCGCACAACTAATGCATTTCCTGTTTTCTCTCTTTCTGCTGGCAATAGCCACTCATTCTGCTTCTGGGCTGGTTCATAAAAATCTTGACAAACATCTACAGGTGCAGTTATGTCCCTCATTGTTTTGTTTTCTCTAAACATCCATTAATATATCAAGGGGGTAACTGAAGGAGAGGATTTAGGCATGATATTGATTCATCATTCCAACATCAAGAGACTTGAGAACTCTCAGAAGTATTTACATTTGTTGTTGGTCCTTCCTCATTTTCAGCCACACAGCTTTGCAGATTGAAAGATAAATCATTGCACTTCACCAGAATCTTCTTCCCAAACTTCTCTTCAAATGGTTTTACTTCTGGCTCAATACCAGAGAAGTCAAGTTTCTTTAAAATAAATAGAAGAGAGAAAGCAATGTCTCACTTGTCAAAAAAGAATAATTATTTCTTTAAAATTTTCAATTTTCCTACCAAATTATCTAACCTGTGCATCTGGATCCAATGCAAAGAGTTTCACTCTGCTTTCACTTTTGAATTTGATTTCAGAATCTCTGGAACTCTGCAAAATAATAAGTTAATATTTTAAAACAGGATTTTTACTACAAACACAAAAGGTTGTTTCTTTAACTGTAAACGTATGTTACGATTTTTCTTTGCAATAAACAATAGTTTACTTATGGAATATTACTAGAGAGAAGTGAATAATTGGTACCATTTCACAGAGTTCTCACAAATATAACAGATTAAAACAACGTAAAATCACAGAAGCAAAGTGGATCCTAAAAATGTACATCTCAAGTGTCAAAAACCAGAGTAAAGAGGTGCATCTTCAGCATTCACTGGAAGCTGTATAATGAAGGTGTCATATGCACCTCTGTGGGGAGAGAGTTCCAAAGCTTTAGGGTATGCCACGGGGAATGCCCTCCCTGGGGAACCAGGCACAGGGCTTTCTCGGTAGTGGCACCCGCCCTGTGGAACGCCCTCCCATCAGATGTCAAGGAAATAAACAACTACCTGACTTTTAGAAGACATCTGAAGGCAGCCCTGTTTAGGGAAGTATTTAATGCTTGATGTTTGTAGTTTTAGTATTTTGTCGGAAGCCACCCAAAGTGGCCAGGGTATAAATAAATTATTATTATTATGACTATTCTAATTATTACCCAGACACAATCCAAGTGGGTGCTTCCAAAAGTACATCCTCAGAGATTTTGTATCCCTGAAGCATACATATTTGCTTACATTGCAAAGTATGGAAAGGTATATCAGGTATATCAAGAGTGTGAGCAGTTGAAAAACAAAAAGTTGAAAAGGAATCACTGTAACAAGTGCCAAGGTTAAGGAAATAGTGCAGTGCCTGTTCTTTTGAGAAGAAAAACTAATAAAATGAAGAGGAAGTATTAAGTCATTGAGACAAAGTTTATAGTGTAACAATGGGGCAAACTTTCACATTTGGCAACATATTCAGTTCTGCACAGTTCTCCAGGAATAAAGTTTATTTTTGCAAGAACTACTTTTCAGTTATTTTTGTACTAAAACACAACCTTCCTGACCAACATACATCCTGTCTAGAATTATTTTGGTTCGAAACTAAAGAAGACGACTGTGACAGGAGATTTTGGCACTACACTAAGAATTAGGATGGCACAGTGAACTCTGCAAAACAAAACAAAACCTCTGCAATTATACTTTGTAAAAATTAAGAGAATAATGTATGATAAGTAGCATATTACAATTGGAAATTCTGCTACAAAGTTTATTAAAAACCAAGCAAAACAAGAAAGCATCCAAAATATATAGGGCACACATTGTGTCACTTTTGAGAATGCTTAAGACATGGATGGGACACCTGTACATGCTCTCCAAATGCTATTGGACTCCTTTAAATCCTCTGTATGGCCAATAAAAGAGGATAGGAGTTGGAGCTCAACAACATCTGGACGGCTACAGGTTCTCCATGCCTATGCAAAATGTAAATTTGTTTCTGTATAGAAAAAGATAGCTAACAGATTGATGGTGAGCGTTAGAGCCTAGTTCACAGCACTCAGGAATTCTCTGGAGAGGTTCCGAAACAAAACAAAATAAGCTGATCGTAAAGAGCAACTAAAAGTACACAGCCCCTGGAAGGCAGGGGAACATACAAGAAAAACATAGATGCCAAAATAGATTCTAGCATTCACGGAAACAGGAAGCTGCATTTGTGGCACCAAGATTAGATATAATAAGCAGGTGTTCAGACTTTCAAGGAGGAGCCAAATCTCAATTATTGCCTATAAACCAAAACATTTCCTATTTCACAGTATATGTGCATATACAATTCTTCACACTTTAAGTTTTATATCCAGCTTAACTTCAATAAATTAAAAAAATGTAGTCCCATCTATCACAGATAGATGATTAGTTTATGCTTGTTAAATTCATCCAGCATCACTGGGTACTGGATGAAGGCAGCAACTTTCTGTAGTAGGAGGAACTCCAAGGAGATGCAATTCTATGAAGAATGCTACTAATGTGGCTCTACTCCCTCTCTTTCTCACTGATCTTGCTACCCAGTGCCTGGAATCACCAAGCACTGTTAGATAAGTAACTTTTATTTGTCTTATTTTAGGAAGTTCAAGGCCAGCATATTGTTATCTAGGCACACTCATGATGGCACAGAGAAGCTTATCTTAAAAGCTCCGTCTTTCCACTGCCCAGACAGAACAAGAAATCTGTTTTTGAGCAGGGAATGCTACCTTTTAAAAATAAGTGAATAAGTTGAAGCAGCAAAAAAAGAAGATGGCAGAGCACAGAGGCTTTAGTTGATGAATCACAGATCTGATACTGGAAACTATCATCCGTCTTACAGTTGAGCCTCCATAGATTGCTTTAGTTAAACTGGACAGACTAGTCCACCCATTACATTCTTCAGTGTAAGTGGTATAAATGTGCAAAAAAGCAACTTCATGTTGGGGTGGTTTTGGTTATCAACGGAGGGGAAAACTACATTAACTTCTTTGTAATATTTAGAGACTATTAAATAACTATTTCAAAAATACTCGTCTGATATACATTCAGCAAAATAACATTTATGGTGTGAAGGTATCATAAATCAAATTGCAACACAGTCAGCAGTGCTCCCATAATTAGGATTAGATTTTGTAATTCCTTTATTGACATACCATACTTTAAAATTTTTAAAAGCACAACATTACCTTGGCACTTTCAGGAAAATAGCTATCTATACTGGATGAGGAGTTGTCCATCTTGCTTTGCTCATCATCTGGAAATTTTAAAAAGTGAAATTATAAAAATTCACTGATGACTTAAGAAAGTGCTATAACCAAAATGTTGTAAGGATTAACTTGAAATATGGAGAAGGCAAATTCTAACTTGAGATGTTTTTGCTGTAATCAGCAATTCCCTCAATACTTTTTTCTATCCTTGGTACCATCTAATGTACCAGCTGCTTTTTACCGTGATAACTTTAAGCACTTCCTATATAAAATGGTTCACAGTTTAGTCATCTCCAAATCATTCAGATAATTCTTTAAGGCCACTTCAGATGATGGCAAGCATAAATCTTAAAAGGACTAGACATAGTCATGGTAGATAGATTTATTAACAGGTATTAGTAATCACATATAGATAAAATCTCCGTGTTCACATTATAACTCTGAGTACCAGATACTGGGGAGAAGCAACAAGGGAGGGCTGCTGCTTTCAGCCCTCTGAAAGGCTTCTGCCTGGCCACTGTTGGAAACTGAATTCTGAACAAGATGCAGATTTAACCTGACCCCTTCCCCTTCCCTTCATAAGGTTGGCAAATCTAAAGGGAAAATGGTCCAACCTAAGAAACCTGCCACCCCTGCAAATGCAAGAAGACAACTGGGGCTTTAGTGGAAGGGGTAATCCCTTCAAGAATGTTGATGTTAGCTAACAGCTGCACAAAGAAAAAGTATTTCATGCAGTGGCTGAATAAAGTGAAGTGTGTAGTTACTATATTGTATTTAGTAGCCACAAATCCTTACAAATCTTTATTTTAGTGCATCACATTTTCTAAATTACTGAGCAAATGTAACTCGCATTTACCCTCATGGGAGTCTCCATTTCTTTTTTCTTGCATTGCAGCTTCAAAATTTAATTGGAGAATTTTATTTAGAGTTGCAATCCATTCTTCCATTTCTACTTCACTGTCTGCTGCAAGAAGATAGCTACTCTTGTCTTGCATTTTAAGCTCAAAGGCAAAACGCCGGACTTTGTTGTTCTGCAATAAAATAAAGGATATTAACATGTTACCTGCAATGGATTTATTTATTTATTTTTGTCATCTGAGGTCATCACACATATATAAGCATTGGGCAAATGTAACTGTTTGAAGTGGAGAAAAGTATCGTGCATAAACATGTTCAACATAAATCCCTGGAGCTTGTAGAACTTGTTAACTTTTTGAAGCCCTTTTTGATTGCTTTTTCTTGGCAAGTGGAAAAGAGATTCTAGCTTCACATTCACAGAATTAAATATAAGCATATGTTTTAGGTACGGTGTAATTTTTGGTGTGTAGCTCTAAACATATAACAATCAAAACAAATATGAAATGTGTAGATATAGGATGATGTAGAGCCAATATAAGAATTGCTTTTAGGTTAAATTAAGTTAAATTAAGTTTTGTGATTGAGCTATGTTTCAAACTTTCACACAGATAAAGAATTGGAACTAGTAACCAACTTTATCATATGGGGAAGAATACTTACGACTATTTTCTTTTAACCCTAAGATAAAATTTCACACATGGGACCATTTATAAATGAATGAATGAATGAATTAATGCATACATACATACATACATACATAAATATCAATTTCACACATTCTGATGCAGGTCTACAAAATCTGTAAACTAGAATACTACAAAATATAAGCAAAAGATGTTTATTGCTGCAAAGCAATTTGTAAGAATATATGATTGCCATTATGACTGAAATGCAATAATCACTAGGAGAGATCCAAGAACCCAATTGTTTCCAAGTTTGTTCCATCAGAACAAGTCCATAGTGTTCTTGAGCAGAACACAGATGCAAACAGCCCATTTTTGGCATTTGTTACTGGCAAGATTTAGACTTGGAGTTTACGTTATGTTTTGCTTCAAAGGGTTGGGGATTTTTTTTATAAAAAGAAGTTAATATCGGAAAGGTCAAGTGAAAACATTTGGGAGTACAGCTATGAATGTGATGAAGCTCCTACAACTGAAATCCCACACAAGAAGTTATGCAAAACATTTTACAGTCATATTGCAGCACTGTTTGTGCTTCTATTAGATCTTCATGCAATCTTAAATTCCATTCTGTGATTTATTTATTTTTCCATTCTTAACTTCAGAGACATAAAACTTAAGTCAGCAGATAATCACAAATAATCAGTTGACAGCAGCAACCAACAGAACACTTAGTGGCAATATTTCTTGATTGTTTTATATAAAAACAGAGCACTCTTTTTAAATAAAAAAATGCACACATTATTTTAGACTATTTGCTCACTAAAAGCACAGAAACACTATGTTTATCTAAATCATCCCTATTATTCAATATGCACTGAGGGAGCAATCGTGTATATTCAAAAGTAAGACCGTGTGTTTAACGAGGTAAACATCCTACTATATTTATGACTGCCACCTAAACCTATTTATCCACTCCAAAAGTACTGAAGAGAGACAAAAGGAACATATAGATTTAAGTTTGTACAATACTTAAACAACATATTAAACAGTATAATTCTCTACTTACCTGGACCACTCCCATGCAAGAATCCAAAAATATTGACCCTTTTGGTTCTTTCGATATTTTCTCATCTTTGTAGAAATTTAGGTTATATGATCCATCACCAAGTTGGAGTAGATGAAAAAATCTTCTTTTGAAAGACTAGTTATGAAAAAGTAGTCACATTAAAAATATGAAACTAACAAAACACACACAAAAGAACTCCATTTCCGTACACCATAATCCAAAGACCCTATTAAGAACATGCAAGGGCTTGCAAGCCCCCAAACAGGAACGGTCATATTGCCTGGCCCAAAAGCAGCTTCAGAAACATCCTGTAGCATTGTGAAGAGTGGTTGTCAGAGGAGAAAGTGAAAATGCACTTTCACAGATCGTTAGTAGGGAGTTCTTCGGATTTCAACCCCAATGCTACAATGCACTACACACGCTGAAGTGCTGTTGAAATCAATAATACTGACAATGTGCAACTGTGTGCACTGAAAGTCCAGTAGAAGAGGACCAGAGATATAATAACAATTGGAATAAATTTATTGAATATATAAAGGAGAACAACAAAAATATTAAGACACTAGCAGGACTGGAATAACACCTCCAATGTAAAACAGTAGAGTTATGACAATAATATACGCAAAAAGTATGTGATGTATATACCAGGGGCCAGGAGGGAGGGAAGTCAGGACTCGGCAGAGTCAAAGGGATCATAATGTGACAATAAGGATGGTTGGAAAAAGAACAACATGTTGAAAACAATAAAAATTTATCTGAAAAAAAAAGGAAGTCTAGCAGAAGAGATAAAACCTACCCGCATAGTAACACTGATAGCACTGTTCATGTTGCCTTTGTATAGCCATCCTTGTTTTGTAATTCCTCCCTTCTGAGATCCTAGAGAGGCTGCATCCTGGGGATTGTTTGTTTTTTAAAAAAGAAAAGGCTACAATAAGACAGTGATACATATTTGGGTCCTTTATCATGAGCTGCTGGTTCTATATATACAGTGGTACCTCGGAAGTCAAATGGAATCTGTTCTGGAAGTCCGTTTGACTTCCAAAACATTCAGAAACCAAGGCATAGCTTCCAATTGGCTGCAGGAAGGTCCTGCCGCCAATCAGAAGCCGCAGAGGACGTTTGGGTTCCAAAGAACGTTCGCAAACCGGAACACTCACTTCCAGGTTTGCATTGTTCGGGAGCCCAACTGTTCGACTCGCAAGGCATTTGGAATGCAAGGCACAACTGTACTAGAGATCGATAAATAAGTCCATTTCAGTTTCTTTCCGTTTCTCATTTTTCCAACCTTAAATTCATTTCACATTTCTACATCTTTGAGGGCCCTATTAACTTGTCTGCCAATTGTAGTCAACAGTTTGATGTTTCTGTGGTAGATCAAGACTGCATTGGCTTTAACATATGTTTCCTTGAGGGAATAAGGCAGGATATGAGAATAAAGAATTAGTTTACAAACTTTGAAAGTACCTCATATCACGCCATCTGTTAAATCAAGAAGACAATGCCCTAACTAATTACACAATAATTTTATAACAGAAAGTGACTTTCTGGTTCCTGTAGGTCAGGTCATTTCCCGATCAAAGTTACACACAGGTCATGTTTTCAAATGTCTTTTGAATCAAGCAAAAACTACTTAATGCTGATAGGTTGTGCCAATGGCCATATTAGATTATTATTTAAAATTTTGTTTGTTTCACATTTAACTACTGAGATTTAATGACACTTTCTCTAGTTTTGAGTTAGAGAGACATGGCCTGAGAGAATTTCCACCAGAGTTAAAGTGAAGTCAGCAGGAGCTGACAATAGCGCTAGGATTATTAAGCTGCCAACTCTGGGACCAGATATGCACCACAAACTAAAAACTGCATTTAGATGGATATTTTACACATCTCTGATAACCATCTGACATTCTACCATGCTAGAATATCTGAATAATTATTACATTACAAGAGTTTAAACTGACAAGTTGAAAACAGAAGTCATATGCTTACCTCATCCTTATCTGCTTCTTCATCAACTTCATAAACATGAACTGGAAGTTTATCTAATTTGGTCCCTTTGCTAAGAAAAAAAGAATACCACATCCCACAATAATCAGTTCAGGATCACTAGAGTAATGAATGGTCAATGCATATATGCACAGTAAAATAGAGATGTATACTTGAAAGAACATATATTATTAGTTTGCCTAAATGGAAGTAAAAGTAGTGGGGCTTTTTGTGGGGGCAGTGGCAGGTGAGACACTGTGCATGGTGTTAGCCTTTCAGGTTCAGCACAATTGTATCTTATTAGAAAATGGTATTCTATTTCTCTTCAAAAAATATAAAAAACAAAGTTCCTATTTGCCAAGAAACCATTAAAAGGAACTTTTCTTCAAGCTGCAATGATCCTAATTATGGCAGAAAAGACAATGTGTTTGGGGCATACTCGCTATATATTCTGCCAGTACTAACACACAGATCACATTCACCCCTTTCCATGTTTACTGGGGTTTTGCATTATTTGGCACATTCTATGCTCTTTAATAAAATGGAGTTGGCAACAAATATGTCCTCTCAAAGGAGAATTTGTTGTCTTCTAAAAAATGTTTGCCTCTCCAATCATTCCCATTTTGTAGTACCTCCCAAGTAACAAGTTGCTATTTTCAGAGGTGCACTGTAAAGGTAAAAATGAAACGAAGACATTAAAAGTTGACATTCCTTATAGTATTCCCACCCATAGCAACTTCAGATACAACATATGGTGGTACAACAAAGTAGCATAAGAGCCCAATGACTCCTGTGTCCTGCATTGTTTCCATTAAAATATGTAAGTTGTATCTACATCTGGAACTCGGGGATCTCAAGCCCCTTTCAGTAGTTCCAAAGAAGACGTACCAAACATGTTTAGGGCATGCAGGCTTTTTCTTTCAACAGGCCTATAAATCTCCCTGTGATGTAAAATCTTGAAGAAACAGGGTTCCCAGTCATAGGCAGAAGTGCCTAACAAAGTATGTCTGGGACATTGTGAGCATATAAGGAAGCACACGGATACAGCCTACTACTACAGTGCTACTCTGTGTTCATTGAAGGACCTCTTGAATATCCGAAGGGGGCAAGGAGGAGAGGCAAAACTATTTCAAACATTACATAAGCAGCACAAAGATAAGGAATTGTCACTCACCAAATCACCCACACAGCCTCAGATTAGTTATCCAAAGTTTACAAAAATCTTATTGCAAGTACAAAGGTTGTATAATCCTAGAAAACCCTACTCACTTTGGAAGCTGTCGAAACTCTCCTGAGTAATCTTCATATTTATAATTGACAACATGCCAGTCCGAGTTATATGTTTTAATGCACTGCAAATAAGGAGAAAACATATGATAACTTTGAGTGAGATTCTTTATAGAACAGTGTGATTTTCTTAGCAGTGCGAGAGCTTCTTTTTATTTAAATTGTTGCCTTTAAAACTGTCAGTTAAAATTTTTGATGAGATTTGTTAGTAGTGAAAAAGCATTTCTCCCCATTAAATAAGGATACTGTAGTAAGAAAAAGTATAAAAATAAAAATGCACCCATATACTGTATAAAATTTATCACAATTAATATTACTGAATATCCGTCTGAATATACAAGTAGCTTGTTCTGCTGCTAATCTGGCTAAAATTGCAGCAAAACCTTTTCAACCCTCGATCAGAGGAAGTACATTTTTACTCCACCCATGCTCTGCTAACATAACAATTCTCATTTATTTTCGCTTCAACACTAGCTTATCTTGCATGTTGGTCAAGCTCATTATAAGAACCAAGGCTATGCTAGCAACTAATTTTTCATAAAAGTTAATTTAGTAGCTGTCCTTGAAAGTCCTATAGTGAAATGATACAGCTAGATAAACCATACAATTCTCAACTTGTAAAAAGTACCGACATTCACAACTGTGAAAATAACACATGTATGAACAGACTAGAATGGGTGATTTAAAGCAGGACAGTCAGAATGTCTTTACCACTTCACAGAACAAGTGAGAGCTTTTTAAAATTCTTCTTAAAACTCCGAGAGGCATCAACAGAACTACATGTCTTCTGTTCCAGCTAGCAGGAGCCCTGAACAGGACCATTCCTTTTAGGGTTGATAACTATGTAACAACATTTTGCTGCATGTTCTACTTGCTACAACATAAAATTAAAAATAGAAAGCATGGGAATCAAGTAGCAAATACACCAGAAGCATTACCTCTTTAACAAATAAACTCTGAGCTTCTTTCTCTGCATTATCAGGAATTGTAGAGCATACATATCGATGCTGTCGTTTCAGTACTGCTGTCTTTAGTGAGAGATCAAAGTATAATTAATTGCAAATAGTTTTCACTTGTATTTATAAGTGCTAATTACATCCTCCAATGCAATTCTATCAAGGTCTAAGACCAAGCACTGCTGAGTTCCATGCGGCTTACTCCCAAATAAATATGGCAAGGACTGAGGCTGAAATGAATATAAAATTTAACTAAAATGATTTCTAAAATCAAATAGCTCACAAGGAAAGGTTTGTTCTTCATCAATTTGTTAATTCTTTTTTTTTTTTTTTTTTGGAACTATATGTAAAATACCAAAATACACACTATGGAAATAAATTGTCATTACAGTATTATTATACTGTATACATTTCTATCCCACCTTTTTCTCCAAGGAGGTCATGGTGGTATACACTCCCCTCCTCATTTAATACCCACAATAATGCTGTAAGATAGGTTAGGCTAAGAGGCACAACTGGTCCAAGGTCACCTAGTGAGCTTCAACGCCAAGGGGAGATTTGAACCATGGTCTCCCAAATCCTAGTCCAACCACTACACCACACTTTATAACTAATACGTTTTTACTGTAGCCTGGATTTTGTTAGTTTAGTCATCATACATATCATTCTGAGACAGGGCCCTTAGTGTTCACAATCCTGTTTTTGAAATACGAAAAAAGCCAAGAGAAATTGTCCCAGTTTTCCCCTACCTCTCTTAATTCAGATTCAACTTTTTAAGCATCTTTATTCTACAGTTGTTAAGGCTGTGTATGAGTTAACAAAGCTGAAGACTAATTTTCACAAGAGTGTAGACTGCCTGGAAGTTTAACTGACCACAGATACAAGGAACCTCAGGGGCGGCTCATCCTGATTTGCTGCCTGAGGCAAAATGAAAAAGTGTTTTGCCTCACCCAGCCACTACCGCTACTGCTACTGCTCATCCCTGCTGAAGCCCTCTCCCATCAGAGAAGTGGTGGCAGCAGCAAGAGCTCACTAGAACCCACTGCTGATGCTGTTTCTCCTTACTTCTCTCGTAGCAGCTCCTCCTCTTCAATTCCACAAACCTATGTTTTATCTGTTGGGGTCAACAGAGGGATGGCCTTCATTTTCTTTCACTGAGTGCAGATGAAAAATGCCCTCCCCTAATTCATCACCCCATTTGAGGGCAGCAAATTTGGGGAAATATTTTGGAACTATTCCTGGGAGTGAAGGTTAATTAGTATTTAAGCTTCAGGGAGCTTTCCTCCTTTGCTTTAAAAAGAAAAAGAAAAAAAAAACAACAATCTTACTTTGCCCTCACAAGATGTGGTGGACTGTTACAGGACTATGTTATGACATATAGCACTGGAAGAGGGAATAGCAGCTGACAGAAAAGCAATTTAAATAAAGAGAAAGCTGTAGTTGCTACTGAGAGGGCCCCTCCCTCCCAAAATGACGGGGAGTTACCCAAAAATATTTTGTAAGGGAAAATCAGCCCCCACTTTTGCCTATCCCAAATTCAAACTGAAAGAACTTTTTGTCTCAGCTCTACTTTTAGTCAAAATAATTATTTCCTCCCCTAAATCAAACCTCCCCTGGCATGTCCTATTTTCCCCTCCTCTTATTAGTGTATGCCTGAACTATGAGACTCATGCCTCTCCTATCCTTCTACACCACAATAATCCCTCATCTACAAATCTTCATATACATAACTTCACTCAAACAAAGGATCCCCAAGTGATTTGCCTCTTTTGATGTAATAGTCCTATGACTGTCTCCGTAGCTATTAGCAATGGAGTGTTACATTACATATTATATGGAGTACAATAACATAGTATGGCTACTACTGTATTACAAATCAAATTGTGAATCAGAAAGTCAGCTCTGTGGCAGAACTGGTAGTTTAATTTGTTTTGTAAAGTACATTATGTGTATTAACTTTGATGTCTTCCCAATAATTCTTATCAAGATTATGGCCTACACTCTAGGATGGTTTTAAGCTTATTTGGAGTCTTACTGGATTGCTAACAAATCCCAAGATGTTTAACTTTCTTTGAACCACATATACATTTGCTATTGTTTGCAGTCACACCTGCTTCCTGCATTCAATACTGGTCTTTCCATGGATACTCAGCATACTTCTTCCTTTGTTCTGCTAAAAATAGTATTATCCAAACAGAGATAAACATAGTTCAAACCCTTTAAAGAAGGAGGGCATCCTTCTTTAAAACAAAGGCCATTTACCAAAAAGAAAAAAGTAACATGCTCATATTCAGAAAAAATATCAGCATTCCATGAATTAAATCCAGTATTTATATCAAACATTTAAGGCAAATATCAACAAAAAAATCACTCATTTTACTTTGCATCAGGATACATGGGGCTTCAACAAGAAATAGAGAAATCTCACAGCCAGAACTGTGATCATTTTCTTAAAGGAGTTTAATGAATAGTAAAACCCCAGAAGATCCTGCAAGTCTCAAGAAGATACAGCAAACACATGAAGCAGGTCTGCCATGCTATGTTACATGTTCATTTTTTGCACCATCTCTGTCAAAGTGGTTACATACTAATTTGAGTTACTTCCATGATGGCTGGAGAGCCTTCAGAATAGTTTTTGCTGTGTGTTTTTTAAAACAATGTCACCATGCCACAGCCAGTTATAGTGGTCAATCCCAGAGCAGTTAAAATACTTTCACATGGCTGCAGTAAGAAATCCAAGTCTTCTTGTGAGACAAACTAACACCGCTGGTTGTTTTTTTATGCTAGCTGTACAACCAGGTTTTAAGTAGTGGATGGAAGGCTCTATATCTGGGGTGGGAACCTCTGCCCCAAGCGACAAAAGCAGTTGTCCAAGCCTCTCTATCTGGCCCTTGGGATTCTTCCCAAACTGCAATCTCTTCCTAACCACCTCTGACTCTGCCCTCTAGTCCTGCATTGCAACCTCCTTGATTGTTTTTGACTGGCTGGAATATGTCCTTGAACTCTGATGATGCATTTTGCTTGCCTTGACTAGGGACAGAGACGGATGCATGAGTTTGTGTAGAGAACAGCCTACTATATAAAGGGGGGAAATTCATTTTTGGCTCCACATACTTTTGCCTCTGTGTGCACCACTGGTGTATGTGGCCCCTAGAAAATTGCTGAGAAGGAAATGTGGCCCTCAGACTAAAAAAGGTTCCCCGCCTCTGCTCCACATACAATCTTTTGTGGTGAGGTGAAGGAAGAAGAAGTCACTGAAGAAACGCACACAATTAAGTTAACCTTATGCTGGAAGCAGAATATTTGTTTATGTATATTTTTAAATAAAGAACTCTGTCTTGGGGAAATATAACTCCTATAGCTACACTGAGGTGATTAAACATAGTAAATTTCATAGTTTACTTTTCCTTTTTTATTTAAAAATTGTATTCTATTTTTCTTTCAAAAAAGAACTCCAAAATTGATGTATTTTGTATCGCTTATTAATTTGATTAATAATAAAATTAGTAAGAGTTTTATAACAAAAAAACGAACATGACCAAAGCCACAGAAGCAAACAAAAATGAAAGACACAAAAAAGACAGTGGAGAATGCCAAAAGCCATTTGCCAAAAGCCAAGTTGTGCAATCCCAAAGACCCTGCCTTAAGAGCCAAGATGTCACTATATGGCAAAACCACACAGTGATGGGAGTTACATCAGCATCCCTAAGGGCAGCTAGATTCCATGACTGAGAATCTGTACCTGCCTGCACATCAGACACACAGAGCAAGACACAGAACCTCAGATGTTGATCTGAGCATGCAGACACAAATGTACAAGGAGTCACTCAATAAAATAAAAAAATTAAGATTAGGACCAAAACATTGAACAGAGTCTGGAGTCAAGCAACTAAGCAGCACAGAATAAACAATAGCCTTGTTTCTTCATAATGGTAAATCATGAGTTTACCATATTTCTAATGTAAAAGTACTAAAAGATATATATATATATGTATATATATATATTATATACACATACACTGTGTGTGTATACATATATACACACATATATATAGATATATAGAGATATATATATACACACACACACACACACACACACACACACACACACACATACCTAGGGGGAGGGGAAGCAATAGTAACCAGTAAAATCAGTTAGGATATAGCCTGAATCTAAGTTTAAAGGAAATAGCATTTGATGCTTTATAGCTAACCAGGTAATACACAATAACTTTAAAAAAAATTGTTAGTGTTGGAATTAAAGACGCTACCTGGAAGTCATCATAAGGGAAAAGCAGCATCTCACGCAAGGCATCATTGAGGATTTGAGTTTTCTTTTGAACAATGACATTTTCATAGTCTATTGGTTCAATGAGCTTTGGTTTTGCCTAAAAAGAAACAGAAATATTTAAGTTATTAGATAACACAAATTTATTTATAAATATACTTATGTGGATTTATATATACCCATGGGCTGCTGCAGCACAATTCTACACATTAAGCTCCATTTAAGTGTGTATAGGATTGCAGACAATAAAGTTAGAATACCATAGAAACAGAGTTTGAACTGAACTACAGATAACAAAGTGTTTGTATAAAAAACAATACAGCCAACATGTGTGGAGAAATTGCTGTACACAATGGAGACACAAGTCAAGTTTTACTTAAGTTCAAAATGCTTAACAAATGCAGGTTTATGTATATAAAGTAATCCATTCCTTTTAAATCAGCACAGTATTATGTCATTAGGCTGATGCTTCAATTTTATCTAATAGCTGCATTATTCTCAAGTATTCTCCTAGTTTACAAATGAGATATTTTACTCTTATCACTGAATATTGTGCAGCCTTTCTTAACACAAGGCAAACACCTCTAGTATATTTTGCTGCAATTAAGCAACCTGATTCTAATGGCTTGGAAATAACTGTAATACCACTATCTAATCTATCTATCTATCCATTACACATACATACAATTTAAGCAAAATTACTCGACATAACATAGATAAAGAAACTATGCCAATTATTGCCCAGCTCCAAGTGAGCAACTGATTATCTTTTATAGAATCTCTGAACAAAAAAACAAAAAAAACCTTTTGGATCATGGATCCAGGTAAACCTCTAGCTGAAACTGTGAATACTAATTATGCTGCAATAGGACACTTCACATGTCTTGATAAGGTTTTTATTGCTATCTAGAAAGGCTCTAGTTGTGTAAATACCATGGAAGGAAGCTTGCAGAAAATAGTACGAGAATGGTTTAAGTTCACTTTTTTTGCTTGAATTCCCATAAAGTATTTTTCTTCTGAATGCTCCTTTCACTGGAAAATATGTAATATTTCTCTGTATCAGCAACACTATGTGGGAATTTACCGTAAGTCCCAATATTTAACAATTACATGAAGTAAATTAAGGCAAATCAGAAGACTTTCTATCAAAGATCATTTTTTCCTATCTCAGGATTCAGAGGAAGATACAGCATATGTTAAGATTTTCTTCAAAAAAGGCTTCTTTGGAGACACACTGATCTGCACACAGGTTAGTCAAATTTAATTCAGATTTTCTAATATCTACCACATGGGAACATTCCTGTTAAATAAAACGTCATATTGGATGGAGTTCAAAAGAACAAAATGTTATATTTGGAAAGAAACACTATCAAAGGAGAGGCTAGAGAACTGGGAGTGTGCAACTAAGTTTTAGTTTTTGTTTTTTTACAGAGAACACAATACATTATCACAAAAAAGAAAAGTATGCTTTAATTGTTTGTATAGCGGAGCATACTTAGTTCAAAGAATAATAAGAACACCCACATGCAAAAGAATAGGCAAACTTAACTTCAAAAGTAAACGGAGAAACTCTTGACGACATAATAAAATAGACCAAACCCTAAAGAAATACAAGGCACACACACACACACACACACACACACACACACACACGCACACACACAGTTTTTCTGGTTGAAATACAACTTGACCATAATATCCCACTTGTTACTCAACAGCTAGATAACTAAATCATTACATCTCTAGTTATACAGACATATTTTCGCTGAAACCACCAGCAAAATCTAATGATTTCTGCAAATGAACAAATCAGGATGAGACTTATTAAAGCAGTTGACCATTGCCAATGAATGTGAAAGATAAATTCCTTTAATCAAGGAACACTGATTAAAAAGAACATAAAGGTAACTGATCCTACTCTGAGAAAGGCGTACTGCAGAAAAGTATCAAAACTTTAACAGACATGATATAGCTACCCATCTAGGTTCTATTAGAAACAGATTGCCGTGACATAGGTATTTCACACAACTGTATGTGAAAGCAATAACCGCATATGATAGCAAACCAGAAATGTTTTTATTGTGCTATATAGGAATAAATAACTTTTATGTGTATTATTTATTTATTTATTTATTTATTTATTTAAATATTTCTATACCACTGTATCATAAAAAAACATGAAAGCAGTTTACAATAAAATCTATATAAAATACAACACATACACATTTAAAATCAGTGACCATCAATTTTCTTAATTGCCTGCATAAGCCAGGTGGCAGATTTTAAATGCTAGAATGTGTACAGTTAAGAGTTGCAGCAAATTTTCTGCCTTGCTTCTAAGACAGAACCATGAAGGACTCCAGAGACATTTTCCCAAAAGAGTATTGTAGACACAAGTTTACTTAGTATCTTCATTTTTCTCTCAGTGTTTCAAACAGCAACAGCACGGCGCAAAGGAGTAAAACACAATTGAAGCCATTTGGCTTGAACATTCTAGTATTAGGACACAGATAGATCAACTTTTACTTGAGTTTTTGAGCCAATAAAAGCCAGTAAAAATCTGTGGGTGAACTATTTTTGTTTACTCCTAATCTAAATTTAATTCAGAATCTTTTTCAAAGGAAATTGTTTCTCAATTTAACAGTATTGCTGCTAAATTTGTTTCTGGTTTTAAATAATTAGCCTGCCTTATAAACAGAGGATGGAAAGGGCAGCAGCAGAGCAAGCCGATCAGGCGCCTGGGGGTGGTCGCGTGCCCTGCGCCCGGGAGTGGGGCCAACCACCCATGGAGCAGGGCCAGCCGGGGCAGGACACTCTGCGGGGCCTCTGGAGTCTACCTGCCTCCTCCCACTCTGCTGCCCTACAGCTGAGGGGGAGGCAGCGGGCAGACCATTTGGCAGAGCGGAGCCCGGGCATGCTCAAGCCCCATGTGTCTCCCAGGAGAGACGAGTGGCTCGGGCGCGCTGCAGGCCCCGCGAGTGCCGCCTGGCATTTTGTCACCGCCCTCAGTGGTGACACCCAGGGCAACCGCCCCCACTGCACCCCCCTTCCTCCACCCCTGGGAAAGGACACTACATGGAGCTCAATGACAGCATCATTCTTCTAGCTGAGATCCAATCACACCCCTTCATCTCAATTAGTTCCATTAGGTGCTACTAACAAATACTAGTTCTTCGTTAATCTCAAAAAGGAAACAAGCTACCTAAAGAATCTGTTACCCTTGTGCATAAACTGCTAACCATAACAGTTATTTCCTCCACCAAAGAAAATATACACGAACAAATGGAAGAGCTAGATTCTGTAATTTGTATTTTTCACACCACTGTTTAGATTAATGATACTATGGGGTGGGGAAATAATGACTATTAATCCATGATCAAATACAGTGGTACCTCGGGTTACAGACGCTTCAGGTTACAGACTCCGCTAACCCAGAAATAGTACCTCGGGTTAAGAACTTTGCTTCAGGATGAGAACAGAAATCGCGCTCCGGGGCATGGCAGCAGCAGAAGGCCCCACTAGCTAAAGTGGTGCTTCAGGTTAAGAACTGTTTCAGGTTAAGAACGGACCTCCAGAACGAATTAATTACTTAACCCGTGGTACCACTGTACCCACTTGTTACCACTGGGAAGCAGAATGATACTGAAGCTCTTTCACAGGTAGTGAAAGAACTTCCAGTTGCATACATCCAGAGAATGCAATTCACATATGCAGATATCTTCCAGATCAGCCATACTACAGGTGCAGAAGCCAACTGTGGGGAGGGCTATGGGTGAACCAGTTAGTGCTGTGTCTCAGACACAGCTGCCTGTATGTGCACACTTGAACAAGTGCCATCTTTGTGCTCTCCTCACCAGTCTAATAGGTAAACATGCGAGAGTCTTCATTCTAAAGCTTCATAATCCCAATCTGCAATAGGAGAAACACAAGTAGAGGCACACCCTTCCCCTGTTTATACTCCTTCAACTGTGGATCAGCACTGTGTTAAGCTCCTGCTTCAATTCCAGTTGGCACTGTAAGAGAACAAGCCCATCTATGCAATGTTCTCTTGCTTGTGTGGTTCTCTGGACAAGGGCCCAGGTCTATTAGCAACACTAAGAAAGAACACTGGTTTTATGGTATCAGGTGGAAATATCTCCTACAAACACAGCTCAGACTATTGTTTTTAAATATGCTTCCTGAAATTCTATTTCCTGAAAGCTTCAAAATAAAGCATATCATGGAAAGTTTCCTATGAAAAAGGCATCTGGTGAGATTACAAGATACTGATAATAGCACGAAAAGTTCAAGCAAAGTATACGCACACAATGTAAATGAGAGGTTCAAGCCCCAATAAATACACATTTCCAACAGAAAAATAACCAATTAAAGCAGCTAGAAATTTTACCGTTAAAGCCAAGCCTGGAAAAAGTTACAACCTCCTTCTTTCTTCCTCAATGTGGACAGTTATATTCCAGATCTCTACCCACAACCAGTTTTAAACTCCTTTCCTCATTTACTTTACTATAAAATTTGTTGTTTGAATACAAGTAAAAGTTATTCTTCCCTATCATGACAATATTTTAAGATTTAAGGCACTGTACATATTTACTTCTATGTTCTAGCAAAGTAGTTAATCTGTTGAAGAAAAAGCTAAGGTTTACGAATAACTGGGAGATTATTTGTTGTTTGTACTGACATGCGTTGATCCAACAAAATAGGATTATTTCCCCCTTTCATCTTGCAACCACATGTAGGTACACAATAAAATAAAGAATGTATTTCAAAGCCTATTGTCCCAGAATATTAATAAAGCAATAAACTGAAGCCAAATCCTGGTAAAATGGAGACTCTGTGGGTGAATGGCTGTGCTGTTCTGGATATAGGTCAGTTACCTTTTCAGCATGGGGTTATGCTACCTCTGAAGGAATATTTATATAGTCTAGGAGTACCTCTTGATCTGTAATTGTCACTGGAGGCTCAAGTGGCCTCAGTGGCTGGGAGTAGTTACTGTAAGTTTTGGCTGGTGTGCCAACTACAGATATTCCTAGACATTGGTAACATTGGTAAAATCACAGCTGAATTATTGCAATGAGTTCTATGTGGGACATAATACCTGTGTTGAGAAACTGTCAATAAGCTACTGGGCCAAACTTAATATTTTACTGTTTATATATAAAGCCCTGCTTGTTCACTGTGCTCATCTATGGGGGGCCCTGCTTGTGGTGTCCCATGTACCAGAGGTTTGTTTCACAGTGACTTGAAGTCCTTCCACACAGAGTACCTGCCTTGTGGAATACATCGCCCATTGAAGTTAACCCAGCTATGAGATTGTACATATTTTGTCAGGTGCCAGAAACTCTCCTATTTCTACAGGCTTTACAGGAAGTATGAGCTGACTCATGGGCAGTAACTGATTTCTCTTGGGATAACTGCTTTATTTGTTGTACTTTATTTGTTGTTGTAAGCTGCTTTGAAACCTGCATGGTGGAAAGCAGGGTATGACCTTTAAACAAACAAATAGAAATGGTTGTAAAAACCACTGCGGTGTTTTGTAAGGTTTAGCAGTTTATAAATATAAATAAAACCACCCTATAATGCCTACTAGCTATGATGGCTATGTTGTATTTCCACTGTCTTAAGTGGGAAGTGTTCATACACTCAGGTGCTGCTTGTGGTCTGGCTGGTCCTGTAAGAGCAAGATGCTAGACCAGATGGTCTTTTGGCCTGATCCAGTGAACCTGCTCTTATCTTCTTTTGAATAGCATGGATTACATTTGGCTCTAATGGACAAGATTCCTATCCTTTCTACCCTACCGAAACATATGGAAATCTACTAACCTTAGCCACAGGGCCCTCGTTAAGACTGCATGCTATTCTTGAAACTAATGCCTTACACACCTATTCATAACCCTAACAATAATCATCTCATTTAAGAGAATATTCTGATATGTTTTCTAGAGTTCACATCCTCAGTAAGAGGAAGGATATTTCATCATTCTCAACAAAAGAATAGAGGACAACATATTGACTTTGGCACTACTTACAGTGACACACTTTCCAGGAAAGCAGATTCTCCCCTGTGCTCCCTCTTACAGATATTTTCCATTCTATAAACCATTGTCTAACAGGGAAAAAGTTATATAGGCTACATACAATACTACCTCTAAAGCGATTATTTTTGGGCCTCAAGATGCTAGGAAATAACTTCACCCCTGTAAAACACACACATTTGGAAGCACAAGCTCCACTCTTTAGATGTATTCAGAACTACATATTGTGACCTTTTGGGGTAAGTAGTGAACAGAGGTATTTGTAGCACAAGAAAAGGGCCTGCTGAAAAGTAATGAACCATGCAGCAGGTGTGGGGCAACTCCCACCCCCCTGCCTGGAGAGCTACATTCCCTCTGGGTCTGTAAGGCTGCAGTTCAGCACTTGTACTCTCATAAGAACATAACACAAGCCAGTGACCTATCTAGTTTAGCATCTTGTTCTTGCAGTAGCCAACCAGATGCTTATGGGAAACCTGCAAGCATGACCTGAACTCAGACATACTCTGCCCTTCTACAGTTTCTATTAGCTGGTATTCAGATGCATACTACATCTGACATACTACGTTCAGACTACATCTGAATCAGCACAATTGGTATTTTTTCCACACTGCATGTGCTAACTGGCTTATCAATGCCATAATTTCTGTATTATCAACTACTTTTGTGAATGGCCATTCTTAACAAGGTAATGATCAGCATTTGTGATCACCACCATTTGTATTTTTCTATATTTCATTTCCTTCTGTCCTCATCTTTACAATCCTACTCTGTATACATGTGCCTGAATTTGGAATCTGAGACCCATTCATGTGAAGTAAAGTCTGAAAGGTCTCAGTAGAGTCTGCATTTCTGCTCCTTCCTCACTACTTTGTTTTGTACAAACCATACAAGAGAAGTTATGTAATTAAGGACTCAAAAGCATATTGGTTAAAATAATTGTGTGTCCAATGTGGTAAAAGCATTTAAGCATTACTACTCTAACATGGGATGCGGGTGGGTAGGGACGCGGGTGGCGCTGTGGTGTAAACCACTGAGCCTTGGGCTTGCCGATCAGGTCGGTGGTTCGAATCCCCGCAACGGGGTGAGCTCCCATTGTTCGGTCCCAGCTCCTGCCAACCTAGAAGTTCGAAAGCGCATCAAAGTGCAAGTAGATAAATAGGTACAGCTCCGGCCGGAAGGTAAATGGCGTTTCCGTGTGCTGTTCTGGTTTTGCCAGAAGCGGCTTAGTCATGCTGGCCACATGACCCGGAAAAACTGTCTGCGGACAAACGTCAGCTCTCTCGGCCAGTAAAGTGAGATGAGTGCCGCAACCCCAGAGTCGTTCGCGACTGGACTTAACTGTCAGGGGTCCTTTTACTCTAACATGGATTACAGCAAGAAGGTGATCCAGTAAAGGAGCTGCGGAACTTGAAGAAAGAAGAGAGGGAAGCAAGATGTAGGAAAGCAGCATATACATTCCCTTTAGTTACACAATTAAAGACCAGTCTGTTCTGCCTCACCACCATGATTTCCCCACCCTACAGCAAAAACATGGTAAGCTATGAGCAAAGTATCTGGAGCATTCCTCTCTCCCTTCATGAAAAGTATGAATGGCGAAGAGGTAGGAGATAACGCAGCATTTCCATACATGACTTATCCTTATCAAGCTTACTTTCATTTGGTAGGATTTAAGTATAAGTAGTTGTGTGGGCTTTTGCTAGCAGGTCCAATGAGTTGAATTCTGCCCTATAATTTTTCTAAGAAAATACACAAAGAAATAACACTACAGTACTCAACTTTCCACCTTAAACTCACATTTATTTATTTTTGTCAACCATAATGGACTGACTTTTCATGTTACTGTTTATAGTTTAGCACTACATGCACAATGAACCCATGTTCTGAAGTTGGTTTGTTTAGAAATTGTGTGAGTGTGTTTTAAACAACCATTTTTGGTTCATACATAATGCTGCAGAAGTCCTTCACCCAGTCGCATGGGGACAGGATAGTCCCAAGGCTTTGCTTGGGTTGGTTCTAACTTATGTACATAGAGTGAAGCAATGGCTTACTATTATGTTGAACAAGGAGATTATTTCTATAGTTAATAGAAATCCACCTTGCGATATGGTTTCATTTGTGATCTACCTTTAACCATTACAATACATTCTGAAATTACATGTGAAAGGCAACAGCCATGATTGTTTCCCCAGGTGGGAAACAGAAAGCACTTCTTTTTACAACCGTAATTGGCATCTTCCTCATGAGCATGAGCACAAGCATAATACGTAACTTGCAGATCTCTCTACATAGTTCCCACTTCAGTGTTACACAACAAAAATGAAGTTATGAATGTTTTGTCTCCCCCTTTAACTCATTTGAAATGTACAAAATAATTTCAATAATGAGCATGCAGAATAACTTCACTTTTAACATTTAATTTGTTTATAACTTAAGGGTGAAAATGCAATGTGTCTAAATAAAGAAGCATTGCAAAAGAAGGGCTGAGAGAAAGAAAACTTGCTTAGAATATCTCTGATGAAAACCTGGATGTTATTTAGAATATACACCCACTGATTACTAGTTTCTCAAAACAAGGGATGTGGCTCACTTCTCCATTCAATTTTGTTAGCAGTGTGCACTTCCTTTGGGGTCCACTCATGAGCTATTAAGACATAACATGTCTCCTTTTCCATCCCCCACTGCCCTTCCCAAATACTTAGGAAAGTACAATGCATCCAAATATAAAATCCACAAGGATTTTACAGGAAGGATATTCAAAACAGAAGCAAGCAGGAATCTAGCACACTGCTCATTGCTTTCTCCTTAAAATGCATCTCTTTCTGGCAAAACATTTGCCGTGTTTATTTTATTTCTCCATGGAGAACATGCATGTTTGAAAATTGTCTAGTAGATATTAGCCATTTATATATTAACAAACAATACACCTAGGTCTAATGAAGAGTGCCTGCCATTTGGAACAATTGCTCACTTGCAGCTGTTTTGTTTTAACACAATGTTCTAGTTAATGTCTTGCCAAACAGCTGAAAGAACTAATTATCTGAGTGCAGAGTGTTGGTGGACCTCGCACACAATAAGGTCCAACCATACTTCCTTTGGTGTCACAACTCATGAGCTATTAAGACATAACATTCTCACCCCCCCCCAACAAATGAAAACAATACATATCAAAATTAATGCAGATTTTACAATAAGAGTACGCAACCAGAAACTTCTTGTACAACTTGTACAACTATACAGGTCGCCCGTGGAACATAGAAGCTCATCAGTCACAAAAAGCATAATATTTTCAATGATTCCTCAGAAGTGCATTGCATGCCTTGTTTCCGCACCCCTGAATATAATCAAGCTAAACAAGAGGACTAGAATTCTCAGTCTGCACATACAAAAAATGTTTTCCTTAAGAAATGTACTGCAAGATAACAAAGGCAACAGTATCTGTACTGTACATTTCAAACACTCAAGTATTTTAAATGCACCCTACACTGAAAATTAAACTGGAGACAGCAGAACATTTGCTTCATCATATTATTTATAATATCAAAGGATTAAGAGTTTCCACTTTAGATTGCTTATATTAATTTAATATTAGGCAGCCGTTTAGAAAAGAAATTAGAAAGTGTTTTTACCAACTATAAAGAGAGACCAAATGTTTCATATAGAAATTAGTCACTGAAAGTCACACTAGCAGATTGCAACAGAACTGTGAACAGTAGAAGATGCAATTGTTTATCACAAAGAAAATTAACTTTACAAGCATTCAAGGATTTCTAAATAGAAATGTTTCTGCATAGCCTCTCTCCCTTTTACACACACACACACACACAGAGAGAGAGAGAGAGAGAGAGAGAGAGAGGAGAGATCACCTTACCAAAACTTCAACTGGACTGTCCACTTCTGCCTCAGAACTTGCTGCGTTTGGGCACTTTTGTGGAGATTCTATAACCAGTTCCTTTTTCATATTTTTACTATTTGTTCTTGCCAGCATTCTTAACCAAAAGGTTTAACACAATTGTAGAATTCAGCAATTTTCTCTTCCAACAGCAGCATACCAGTGATCTCAAGGAAATGAAAGCTTCTTCCACCCTCAAGCTAGAAAGAAAACCAAGTATTTGTGCTACTCTGCAGCAGTCTGAGACAAGTTAGGGTGGGAATGCATGACATACGAAGGCCAACCCCTTGGGAGGGGGAGAAAAAGAGTGTGGGAGAAGAGAAGGCGGATCCCTTTCAGTGTTGGGAACAGAAAGCAATTTTTCCCATGAAATAAAGCTAGCAAATCTTACAGTTCAGTATTGTCATTTCAGTAGATTTTCAAAATTATTAACTTAAACCATGAAATTAATTACTAACTCAAGTCAAAGTTCTCTCAGTTAACACTGCTGTTGATATGAAATAGCCAACTTTTCTCAGGAGCATGCAAAGAAAATTGTCTGAACCTTTAATGTGGCACCTCTGCACTGATATTACTGAACTGAGCCACCCAAATATGTCTCTTTCTACAATATTTTGCAGAGTAAAGTATTGTGGCTACTGTGGGGAGAGGAAACAGTGTGGTCAAGTTTTAAAGAGGATGTGGGCAATATATGCATATCACAAAAGGTTCAGGGCAGCCACAAGATTGCAGTAGTGGCTTGTGGTGGGGTGTCGCACTCATCAGGATGGGGAAGGCCAAGGTGGAGGTCAGGTCAGGAGAGTTCTGGTGATGGCTCTGCAACTGTGTGCCCACCTGCAGAGCCGCAATTACCAATAGCTTCTACTGTTCCCCAACCCAGTAAACAACATATACGGTAACTCGTCCTGATAAAATTACAGACCTTTGTCATGCTATGTAATAAAGTTTCATTTGACTGCTCTAAAAGATCATACCACATTCTCCCATGAATATTGGGCGGATTTCTGCCACAGTCTGAACAAATTATGGATTCAATAAACATTTGACATATGTTACTAGGAATAGGGATTGTGTTGACATTTTAGTTTCCGATATGGAAAATTATGAGTTTACTTCATATCCTCCATACCTTGAAGTTCTCACTTCAGAAGCAGAATTCATTCAACAGGAAGAAGGATGTCACAGATAACCCTACCACTGCTTGCTCTCTCCTCCTTCTCACACCCATTCATTTTCTTCTTATTCAGGATCATATACCTTAGACAACTTCACCTCTCCTTCACCCCAGATTAGTCAATGGTCCTCTATTGAAGCTGAAATAGGAATGGTTTCATACTGGTTCAGCAGCGCTATTAGCCTAGGCCTTGTCAACAGGTCTTCTAACTCTCAGCCTTGGTTCACCCCAGAAGTTAATGAACCAGTGATAGTTTTCTGGACACAACCTGAGAGCAAAGCTTCAAGGACTCACCCCTGTTGCAGCCTAGCATCAGTTTTTGAAATGTAGATAGCCCTGCTTAGCTTGGTGATGCAATAAGTCAGGTGGCCCAGGTATTTGAGACCAGAACCTCATTTTCTGCACCTAACTGTTCCAGCATTCAGCACTTGGAGGAAGCTGAAAGTTAAAAATAATATATTCTCTTTCTAGAGTGAAGTTAAATAGGCAATAAATAGATGTTAATATATTTATTGCCCATTTAAATATACTTAGCGATGCTACCAATATAGTACTTTCTCTCAAACAGTACTTCCACTGCTATTCTGTTTACCTTGTGGAATGTGGCACATGTGTATGCATGTGTGGAGACAGAAAGAAGGGGACACTTGCTGCACATCTTAGTGATGATGGTAGTGATGAACAACACAATCCACCACATTCTCCTGATCTTGCTTTCTAGCTTGTTTTAAAAGGTGTTTTCACAGAGTACCACTGATCTGGAAAACTGTAAAACAAAAACTATTTGATAATCCCTCTACCCATGTAGGTTCCCTTTCACCTTTCACCTGTATAGCTGCCAAAACTATCTGACAGAAACAAGCTGATCTGTATTTGGGGATAGCGAGGCCTGGCTTCCCTTTTGCAGTCATGAAATTTACAGGTACTTTGCTAGTAAAGATAGCCATTTTTCAGTTATAAATCGATGACCTACGTACCACACTGAGGAGATTCTGATATTACTGATGGGTTTAACATTTGGCTGTCAGCCACTTCTTTGTATAAACATGTATCTGCACAAACTGTCAGAATTTCCATTTGTTTAAAAAAGCCCAATCATTAGGGATTAAGATCTGGACAACAGCCTGATGCTTCCTCTGCAGAGCTCTGCATAAACCTACACATGAAGTGGATCTCATCATGATAAAACACAGATGTAACATTAAACATTATCTAAAATGTATGCTAGTGAATTTATGTTTGACATTTAAAAGACAAACGAATGTATTTAGTCACAGAAATGGGTTAAATTTATCACTGATTATTTTAACAACAATAAGCCACAGTAAGGTGCAGAAAAGAGTTCAAGATAAAATGTGATGTCATATTTCTATATAAGGATTATTGGAATGAATAGCATCATTTTGTAGATAAAGGAGATCTGACTGCCTAACACTATTGTCAATGTTGATTTATAAGAAAAGCAAACATAGTGACTTAGAAACAATGTTTCGCCTTAAATAGAAAGCTGAAGGATTATACAATTAAAGTACTTATATTCCAACTCTCCAGTTAAAGCTTTGAACCAATGAAGGCAGCTAAAATAAATTAAACACAGAAACATAAAATATGATTAATAATCAGTTGATAAAAACTGCAAAACAAAAGACAGAAGAGTAAGCAGAATTAAAGAAGTGACAACCTACTGAAAAAAAGAGAAATGTTCAGGAGATAATGGGATGCCAATAAGTAACTTATTTAGTGGATTTATACCCCAAATATTAGAAAAAAAGCAACACAAGGTGGCTCTCAAAATCAAACTAACATATAAAACACATAGGGTTAGTCATACTCACGAGTATGACCACTGAAATTAAATTTAAAAAGTTAGTCGAGTCCATTAATTTCAATAGGTTTACTCTGATATGACTTGGGACACCCACCACCACAAATATAATCTACTACTACATACTGATGGCACTTCAGTCCAAATCTCTGGATGACTTCTCCCAATGTTTGCATGTAGATGTTAAAAAACATGAGTGACAGAACAGAACCTGGAAACGGTCATTAAGTCAATTGTCATTATGGGGACTGACGTCTTCAGCACTGCCTGAGAAGAATAATCCACAAAGGACCAGAAACACCATCACATCATGCGTCTCAGGCTGAACAACAAGTGCTCCAAAAGGTTCTATGGGCAGTGGTATTGAAAACTGCTGAGAAGTTCAAGAAAATCAACTGGCTTGAATTTCCTGTATCCATTTCACCAGTGTGAGTCATTCACCAAGGTAACCAAGACTTCATCTATCCTAAAACCAGGCCAGAAACCAGATTCTGCATCTTCCAACACCGTTTGGAGTTGAACAGCCAGCATACGTTTCAACACTTTGTCCAAGATAGAATATTTGAATCTGGGTGACAATTATCCCAAACCAGTAGGGCCAATGCTGTGTTCACATTACCACACTGTTTAAATTCGAATTTGCATGTTGTTTTATAGTTCCTCTGCTTTGATGTGTTTCCACATCTCCTGCTGTCTGTCCACACCAGAGGGTGAAGAGGGAGTGAGATGTCTTTGCCTGATATGAATTGCCTGGTTGGTTTCCCTGCCCTTTTCATGACGCTTTCATCATTTCAACCCTACCCAACTAGAAATCATCTTTGTGCAACTGTCATCTTACTTCCAAACAAGTGTGAAAGCATAATATTGCAGCCTCAGAGTGCAACCCTGTACAATTCAACTCAGAAGTAAATCACGCTGAATTCAGTTCTCCTGGGAAGACACAACCAGCAATGCATCTGGTAGGACCCCGCCTCTTCATGGGAAACCCAATGCTTGCCTCTTCCTCCTGCCTGATGCCCTACTGCATAACAGCCCCAGATCCTTTGGGCCATCCAACCCAACTTAAGCAGTCTGTGGCTGTCTCAACTCACTTTGACTGAGGCCCAAATCCTTCTGATCTGATTTGGCCTGAGTCTGAGGCAGAAGCCAAATCTGGTGCACGGCCCTACTAAAAACAGATGCTACACTTGATGAGAAGGGCTACAGAAAAGGAACATGGACCGTTACTACAATGGATATTCAGCTGTTAAGACTGTGTGTGAATAAGTGTTATGAATGGGTGGCATTCGCAGTGTGTGTTGCTACTGTGTAAATAGAGAATGGATACAGAAGGTACATAATATAGAAAATAAATTTTCACTAGTCTCCGCTTGTAAACACTGAGGCATTGTACTGGGTGACATGTGATTAGCATTAACAAAACTAAAATATAGAAACATGTGTATTATTGTACTTAACAGAAACTTTGTTCATATCTGCTTATTAAAATCTCTATAAAAAAACTATTATTTGTAACCAAACTAGTTTAGCCATAAACTGCTTTTTAAATCACAATGACAGTGGCATTTTCAATTGTAAACAGGATAACCAAGCATATGTTTTTCAACCAACCGCAAGTATTACTTCTACCAATTTATTTTATGCATAATCACATATCTTGGCCTGGTTGGCAAATTACAATAAGTCAAACTATCGTTTATCAGGACAACACAAACAAGCTCTTGATTACAGCATGTGCTTAGGGATGAGAGAGCTTGATGATAATCGAAGAGAAAAGCAGCTGTGAGTGCCTCTCTCACAGCAGCCTACATGTTTGCAAAGTCCCAGGAACCTGTAGCCAGGCCACTGTCAGAAATTATGTCAAAACTCACTTGTTTAAAGGCTTCCCCAACCGTTTGCCCTCCAGAGGTTGCTGGGCTACAATTCTCACCATTCACGAGCATTGGCCATGCTGGCCGGGCTTGTTGGGAGTCACATCCACCAACATTTGGAGAGAACCAGGCTGCGGGAGGCTGTTTTAAACCAATTATTATTTCCATCAGCTAGTGGGTGGTTCTTTCCCAGTAACTGGGGAAATGATTGGAGGCCTTGCAACAAAATCTCTTCTAGGTAATGCTATCATCAAAGATGCATCATATGCTGAAACACAATGAGCCAGAATAATTCACATTTTTCAAAAATAAAATAGCCCAGAATGCTGAAGTGCATGCACTTGAATATTACCACCAACTCCACACATGGCACATATAAATCTGCATAATCCAAATTGCCAGGCATTCTATTCCTTCACAACACAAAATATTAGGGGAGTCTGCTGAAATAAAAACATTTTGACCTGTCACCTAGTCACACAAAGTGAAGTTGATTACCACAGTCCCTAACAAGTATATAATCTATGTGCTTTTATTGAGAAAGCCAAACGGCACACACCTATCTTCTGCATCATACAAGGAAGGGCATACTATAGTGCCTTGAACGAAGTATATTCCCAAAACAGGTAAGTTAGGAATGAGCAGGCTCACTAGTCACAGAGTGTCTGCTTAAAAGAGAGAGACATAGAAAACGAGGAGAGGGCAAAATAAAATGGAATGGAGTAGTCTGGGAGGAGGCACAAGACTACTGAGTGTAAATTTATATTAGAAACTAGCTTCAATATTCATCCTGGTAATGTATTCCCAAGAGCATAGAGGAAGAGTAAGGAGTTTCTTTTAGGACAAAGTCATGATTCAGTCTTCTGATCTGCTCCTAGGCAAATTTTATATTTGCTTACATTTAAGAGATAATTTGGAATTTTTCAGTGTCCTCAGAACAGCACCCAATAACCTTCATGTCTAAATATGCAACTTTTTCTAGCCAATATTTCCTTTCAAACTCAAGGAGAAATTACATCCACTGATGTGGTAAAGATTAAAGAAATTCAGTAGTGTAACCTAGTTCTCCTTATACAGCCTTTTCAAACCAAGGTGTCTTCATAATTTTTGCTTTTTGCTTAAGCATATTCAAATGAACACACCTTTCATAAAATATCAGTGTGTCAGATTTGGGATTGACACTTACCTCCACAAGTCTGCAGGCATCTAGCTACTTTAATATATAAATATTAGCACAATGCTATTTTAAAAAGGTGAATTAAGATGATTCTATATCTAGATTTTCTTTTGACACTGGATGGTTATATGAATCAGGCTCATTAGCTACCTAATTTCCAGAACTTCTTTCTTCAATAAAATTGCTTGCACTGTATCAGTAACCCACCCAGGGGGTCCATGGCACCATTCACACAAAGAAACTACCATAGAGACACCTACATTTCCAAAAGTAGGGGGTCCATGGCTTGGCTTTTAAAAACAGGGGATCCACAGTGCATAGCTAACTGGGAACCACTGCACTTTATCATTTTCTGTTCAACATTTCTGATTTTATTAGAAAATGTTAGACGCATAAATTCCATAAAAACTAATGAAATTACTGTCTCCTGCTATCTACAACAAAACCTAAAAGTACAATCCATATTGTGTTCAATGGGACTTGTACAGGATTGCATATTCCCAAAACAGCCATGCTAAACACAAAGGAACAAGAATCAGCCTTAGGTAATTCCAAAAACTATTCAAATGAGCTTTTACAGTGTATAGTTAGGCAAGTGGTACCTACCAGCCACCACCACCAAGTAATAGTTCATTCACTGTTATGCCAAGAAGCATCAGTAAATGAGTGATGCCTATTTCCTAAGCAGCCCTCGTTATTAACACTTACTTACAAAACACCTGGCCGTAAGAAATAAAAACCTGCCTTAGAGGCTATGACTTATTTTTGTTTTCTGTGCATTCAGTTCATCCTTTCAATCAACCACATTAAACCACATATATCGTAGAGGAAAGAGAAATAACTTTCCCATCTATCCCAATCATGGTTTAGTAATACCAATATATCCAAATGTATGATTTGGACATTTGTACAACAACAAAGAGCTTCCTATAATTATGAATAAGCATATCTATGCAAGATATGTTACTTTCCAAATAGCATTTATAGTGCCAATAAAGACTCAACGGCATTGTGTTCAGTAGTTGTTGGACCATTTCTGAAACACCAGATATAAAAAAAAACCATCATAATCATATTAAGTCAGTTTAAAAAAATCTTAATGAAACAAGTGAACATTTACCAGTAATGAATGGCTCAATAGTCCAGAATCTTCCTTTGTCAAACTATTTGCTGCATATTCCAGAGCACTGTTTTCTCCTTGATGTTTGCAAATATATGAACAGTTTCTCTCAATAACTGTACGAATACCTTTAAATAAAATCACGCTAGTAGTGCAACCCATTCCAGAAACAATTCAGCTTGCATTTCTTGCTAAATGATCTCTTCAGAGACTAATTCCTTTGCTTCACAAGCACAGTCTTCTTTACCAAGTCCAGCTAGTAGCTATTCAGATTAAATACCATCAGTGACCGTATTGTAAGCTTGCTTAGCTGAGTGCTAAAAATCCTGTGGTTTCAGCAAGAGCCACACCTCACAATATAACCCTCTCTCAAAGAGAATGCTCTCTCAAATGCTATTAATACAATAGACTGAAACATAATATTGTTAAAGAAATTGCCTCAATTCCATTTGTCAAATATCCTCAAATCTTATTAAAGCAAAGATGCTGCTGCAGCTTCTACTGTCAGGCACAAAGAATTCTCATCTGCTGCAAGAAAAGGCTAGCCCAGAATGCTTAGCTTCAAATTCAACGTTTCTTTGCTTGACCTAAATATTGCAGGGTGGGGGAGTACTGCATTGGGTGGGGGAACTGACAGGGAACCATATCCCTTTCATAAAAATCAAAATTCAGGAGAATTGTCCCACCTACTGCTGCTATGGAAACACTTTAACACATATTAATGTGCAAGCCTATTTCAAATCACTTTATTATACGCTTGTACTGTAAGTAGAAAACCACTAGGGAGCATAAGATTTTGTTCTGTCGTTTTTGGTTTTTCCCCTTGTCCAAACAAAGAGGACACACCTTGTTATTTTAACTGGGGACACACACAAACAAAAAATATATACTAAACTCTATTTTCTGGTCATAAGCCCTACTGAATTCCATGTGACTTAAGGTAGACAAGTATAGGAATGTGCTGTAAACTTGCAATCCTATGTACACTCAGAATGGAACAAACATATTTAACACTTCTGAATAAAACTGTATTTGAAAGTAACTCACAGTGAATACAGAAAACAAGACTATGAGGTGTGTTCAACTAAGACCCATTTATACAAATGAGCATGTCCACATTAGTGCCATTAAGTTCAATGGATCTACTCTAATTAAAACTTAATTGAATACCACCCTATGGGAGGAATTCATCATCGTGCTGAAACAAACATTCTGTTAGCGCACATTGCTACTTGCGTAATGGAGCAATCTTCACTCTACTCTTCCCATGCACTGTTTTCAGGCTTCTACCAACACCCCCAAGCCAACAGGGCGTAGCAGGGAGAGGGATGGGGAAGAAACACCGCACTAGCGTACATTATTATGAGGGCTTCTGCTAGCAAGACCAGTTAGCCAAATCCAATCCCATATGTTTAATATCAGAACTGAAGTCTGAATTTAAATTTAAAATATTACTGCAGAAGTCGCGCACCAGCAGTGGGAGGCCCCATTAGCGAAAGCGCACCTCAGATTAAGAACGGTTTCGGGTTAAGAATGGACCTCCAGAATGAATTAAGTTCGTAACCGGAGTTACCACTGTACAATAAGGGTTGATGAGGGCTATGGCCTTGGGAAGAGAGAACTGTCCTGGGGAGAGCTCTGAGGACCAGAGAGAGGTTTGGAGGGCCACGTTCAGCCTCTGGGCCTGAGATTCCCCTCCCTGATATCAAAACAGATATTTTTTCTGTTTCCAGGGTTGGAGACAGGGTTATGTTGGTTCCCCCAAATGAGAGGCAGGAAGGAAAAAGGAGGGATCCCAGGTGAGAGCTGGGATTGGCTGCTACCTTCTGTAGCTTGTGGGGCTGAGAATTGCCTTTAGGAGAGAACTCGGTATTCCATTTGTTCTGCTTGTATTATGAAAATCTTTAATAAAAAAACCATTTTTTTTGAAAAAGATATTTCCTGTTTCTTATATTCATGTATGTTGCATCTGTGCTTATTTTTTGGTACCTGGCCCATGCAGTATCATTTTCTAGCTTCCTGTCCCCAATTTCTTTGTTTTGTCTTTGAGAGAGCCTTTTAAAATTTGTTAGCATATGCATTAAAATTGGTGAAACAGCTATTGACTTCTACCCGTTAATGATGTGCTGGGAGGCCACTGCACCCAGCCCGGGCTGCAAGAATGCTGCTTGGAAGCATCCTCACTCGGTGTCACCTAGCCGAGAGGGGCAGCAGTTTGACCCAGGAGTGGAGTTGCCAAGTGCAGACCAACTGCTCGTCGGGAATGAGGGCTGGGTTAAATAGAGGGTTAAGACCGTGGGCAGGCGTGAGGCACAGAGGGTGGTCTTCACTCTCCGCACTCACCCAGCTGCACACCGAGGATCTCTGCGGGGTTCAGGCACCCCTCTCTGTTGTGCACCTAGGGCAATGCCCCCCCCCACACCATGCCAGTGGACAGACTACCACCAACACATAACTCTGGTGCCTAAAAGTCTGCACTGGCTGTGCCTGTGTTACTTGGCAAAGTAAGGGGAGCGGGTGGCGCTGTGGTCTAAACCACTGAGCTTCTTGAACTTGCCAATTAGAAGGTCGGCAGTTCAAATCCACACAATAGGGTGAGCTCCTGTTGCTCTGTCCCAGCCCCTGTCAACCTAGCAGTTTGGAAGCATACCAGTGCACGTAGATAAATAGGTATTGCTGCAGCAGGAAGGTAAGCGGCGTTTCTGTGTGCTCTGGCACTCGTCACAGTGTCCCGTTGCCCTAGAAGCAGCCTAGTCATGCTGGCCACATGACTTGGAAAACTGTCTGTGGACAAACATTGACTCCCTCAGCCTGAAGTGAGATGAGTGCCGCACTCCATAGTTGCCTTCGACTGGACTTAACTGTCCAGTCCTTAGACTTCATCTTTTTACCTATTTGGCAAAGTTCAAGTTTCTTGTATTAATTTACAATACCCTTGACAACTTGGGCCCAAATACCTTAAGGACTGCAGAATTCCTCACATTCCTGCCTAATAATTGAGCTTTTGTGATGGGGGAGTCTCTTTTAGAGGTTACCAATACATAGATAGATAAATCACTGTGGTCAAGCTATCCCTGTCCAAGAACAGCTATACAGTGGTACCTCGGGATGCGAACGGGATCCGTTCGGGAGCCCCGTTCACATCCTGAACAGAACGTAAGACGCGACAGCGCGTCTGCGCGTGCGCGAGTTGCGTTTCGCCGCTTCCGCACATGGGTGTGATGTCATTTTGACCATCTGCGCATGCGCATGCGCGAGCGGCGAAACCCAGAAATAACACTCCGTTACTTCCAGGTCGCCGCAGAGCGCAACCCGAAAGTGGTCAACCTGAAGCGTATTTATCCCGAGGTATGACTGTAATTGGCATACCAGCCATAGCTGATCAAAGGCACTCCTAGACTCTGAGGCTACTTGAGCCTCAAGTGAGAGAGATGGATCTGCAGCACTCCCAAACAACAAACCTGTTCGTTCAGAGCAAGTGCAACCCTATCCAGAACATCAGTTTGTATTCCCTTCTCTGTCTATTAATTATTACAGCCACTCCAAGCAGGCGTTTCTTCTTACAATGCTTGATAAGAGCCTAGAAATTGGAAATATTTTTTCCAGCCTTTAGAGTAAGCACTAGAGACAACTGCTTATACTCCGTTGATCTTAATTTATTTGTACATAAGATCTAGGAGTACATAAGATCAAGGATAAGCATTTTTCTTCTATAGTGTATAAGCTATGCTGTTCGAAAGTTTATTTTAAAGCAAAGGTAAGTGTGGTTGCTGACCTTGAGCCAGACATCCTGGAGAGTGAAGTCAAATGGGCCTTAGAAAGCACTGCTAATAACAAAGCCAGTGAAAGTGATGATATTCCAGCTGAACTATTTAAAATTTTAAAAGATGATGCTGTTAAGGTGCTACACTCAATATGCCAACAAGTTTGGAAAGCTCAGCAGTGGCCAGAGGATTGGAGAAGATCAGTCTTCATCCCAATCCCAAAGAAGGGCAGTGCCAAAGAATGCTCCAACTACCTCACAATTGCACTCATTTCACACGCTAGCAAGGTTATGCTTAAAATTCTACAAGGCAGGCTTAAGCAGTATATGGACCGAGAACTCCCAGAAGTGCAAGCTGGATTTCGAAGGGGCAGAGGATCCAGAGACCAAATTGCAAACATGGACTGGATTATGGAGAAAGCTAGAGAGTTCCAGAAAAACATCTACTTCTGCTTCATTGACTACACAAAAGCATTTGATTGTGTTGACCACAGCAAACTATGGCAACTTCTTAAAGAAACAGGAGTGCCTGATCACCTCATCTGTCTCCTGAGAAATCTCTGTGTGGGCAAGAAGCTACAGTTAGAACTGGATATGGAAGAACTGATTTGTGGAAATTGGGAAAGGAGTATGACAAGGCTGTATATTTTCTCCCTGCTTATTTAACTTATATGCAGAATTCATCATGCGAAAGGCTGGACTGGATGAATCCCAAGCCAGAATTAAGATTGCCCAAAGAAATATCAACAGTCTCAGATATGCAGATGAAACAACCTTGATGGCAGAAAGTGAGGAGGATTTAAAGAACCTTTTAATGAGGGTGAAAGAAGAGAGCGCAAAATATGGTCTGAAGCTCAACATCAAAAAAACTAAGATCATGGCCACTGGTCCCATCACCACCTGGCAAATAGGAAGGGGAAGAAATGGAGGCAGTGGGAGATTATACTTTCTTGGATTCCAAGAAAAAGTGATGACAAACCTAGACAGCATCTTAAAAAGCAGAGACACCACCTTACCAACAAAGGTCTGTATAGTTAAAGCTATGGTTTTCCCAGTAGTGATGTATGGAAGTAAGAGCTGGACCATAAAGGCTGATCGCCGAAGAATTGATGCTTTTGAATTATGGTGCTGGGGGAGACTCTTGAGAGTCCCATGGACTGCAGGAAGATCAAACCTCTCCATTCTTAAGGAAATCAGCCCTGAGTGCTCACTGGAAGGACAGATCCTGAAGCTGAGGCTCCAATACTTTGGCCACCTCATGAGAAGAGAAGACTCCCTGGAAGAGACCCTGATGTTGGGAAAGATTGAGGGCACAAGGAGAAGGGGATGACAGAGGATGAGATGGTTGGACAGTGTTCTCGAAGCTACCAGCATGAGTTTGACCAAACTGCGGGAGGCAGTGGAAGACAGGAGTGCCTGGCGTGCTCTGGCCATGGGGTCACGAAGAGTCGGACATGACTAAACGACTAAACAACAACAAGCAGCTTCTTGATTTGAATACTACCTTCTACTAGAAATATTTTGGTTTATTATCCACAAGCTTAAAAATGTTACAGATATGACTTGAAAAATACGTTTCTCACTGGTGATAAACAAATATTTCATATAAAACCCAAAAGAATACAATTTGTCTTCAAATATAGTTTTTTGAAGTATGATGCATCTTATTTAAAATGCTTTCATATTACTCCATCTAGTGGTTGGAGTACATACATTTAAAGTCATGTGCAGTACTATTCTATGCATATTACTTCAAAACATTACAGTGAATTCACTGTTGCTCAGTCCAATGGGGCATTTTCTCAGCACTATATTAAAAATACAATATTTTAAAAATCAACAAGCTGTACTGGTCAGGAACATGGAAGTGAATTCACACAATACAAAATAAATCTTCAGTGCTTCAGCTACTAAAATGTTCAAGTGCAAATTAATTATAAATCTTTCATTTAAGGATATTGTTCCTTTTCTCTCATTATAAAGTACACTGTTGCCCCAAATTTCAATGGTTGGGGAAACCTTGAGGTTAATTAAAATGAGCTAATAGTAAAGAGGTTGTTGTTGTTTAGTCGTGTCTGACTCTTCGTGACCCCATGGACCAGAGCATGCCAGGCACTCCTTTTTTTTTTTTTTAGAATTGATATTTATTAAATTTTCAAAAAACAAGTAACAACAAAAATTTCCAAAAAAGTTTGAAAATACAAAAAAAAAAACAAAAATAATACAGAAATAATAAAGAAGAAAAAGCCCAGCCGCAAAAAAGAAAAAAAGAAAAACAAAAAAACAGAAATATAAGATCCTTTACGATCTCCATTAACTTCCTTTCTAGACTTCCTCCTCCTCCCCTCTCTTGTTTCTTAGTATTTAATTTTTACAGCAAATCCTTTCTGTTTTTTCATAACAATCTATCATTGCGTTCCCTTATTCTATTTTTCCTCTTGTCATATAAAAACTTTAAAACTCAAAGCTTATATTCAATATTTAGCAAATTCTTACATCATTACCTTTTATCAAATCATTTACCAATCCTTACTTAAGCCATATAATTTCATTCAACATCCTTCAAACATTTATAAACATTCCCAATATTAAAAATAAGAAAGAAAAAATAATAAGTCAGATTCAGTCCAGTCAGCTTCCAGCCTCCCCTCCCCTGGACCCGGGATTGTCAGTCCTTTTAACCTCAATAATCCGGCTCCTTAACCTGGTTGTCTCGTGTCCGAGGCCCTCAAGTCTCTTTCTTGCCCTTTCGCCACTCTTGTTGATATTTCCTTTCAGTCGTGGATACTCCAGCAAAAGATGCTTTTGACATTTTGCAGCAAGTCCATCCCAAACCCATTACCCAAGCCAGACAGCAGATAATACCACTTCCAATTTCCACAAAGCTTGGAGACTTCGACCACTCCAATCCTCTGATGGCCCATCACTAGACTCGGAAAGTCCAAATAACCATATAGAGGGGTGTCAATCCATCCCCCATTTCCAAATCTGACCGCATTTCATCTTTCCGAATCAGGTTTGTCCTAAGTTCATTTATCAAGTTCAAAGGCTGATCTTGCCCATCCATAGGTCCCTCCATCTCTGAAGCCTCCGTCGCTACAGCAGGTTCATATACTTGTATAGACTTTAACTGAATTTCATTTGTTTGCTGCTGTGCTCTGGTAACTTCCGTCATCATCAAGGTCGACTCCTGACGCATCTGGTCCAGCTGGGCACTTAATTTTGCAAAACCTTCCAGGAACACTTGTTCAAGCCTTTGTACAAGCATTGTCCTTCAAGGTCAAAGAGAATTCTTTCCCACGAGAATGGTCCTTCTCTTTTAAACTCTCTGCATTGCAATTTCACTCAGTTCCACTAGATGGAAAACCCTTTTTTTTTTTTTTTTAAGAGGGGGAAAAACAACAGCAACAATCTTTCTTTTTCCAGAAACACTTTATCCAAAATTCCCCCTTTCAAATTCAAGAGGCAACAGTAGAATCAAAATGTTACCCTTCTTTTAACTATCTGTCGAGCTGGATAAGCTTCAAAACGTCAGTTCTGACAGCCCGCAGAGCATGCCAGGCACTCCTGTCTTCCACTGCCTCCCGCAGTTTGGTCAAACTCATGCTGGTAGCTTCGAGAACATTATCCAACCATCTCATCCTCTGTCATCCCCTTCTCCTTGTGCCCTCAATCTTTCCCAACATCAGGGTCTTTTCCAGGGAGTCTTCTCATGAGAAGAGGTACATTATACATATAAAGCATATTTTCAATTTAGATAAAAGTTACCGGTATTTTAGGGACTTGGTAAATTGCAATGTGTAGATGAAAGCAGCCATATATTTTTGTCTATTGCAACCAATCTATGTTCTAGGGTTAGATGGCAACATAGATGTATCAAGGATAGATACAAACGAATACATTTAACTCTAAATTTACTACTCTGTGAAGCCTGGACATACAAGCCTGGACACTGCTCTCAAGTTGACAGGAATTCCTATTAACTACTGGGCAGGCACTAGCCCTCAATCAACCAGGACTGGAAGCTTAAAGGAAATAAGCAGCCCATCACTAGCTTCCGTTCAAGTCTTGGACTGAGAGAAGGGGGCTGGAGTGGACAATGGGGCTCTTGAGGACGCAGTGCCTTCTCCTCTAAGGATCATTTGGTGAGTGAGAGGAGTACCTTTTTACCACCAAAAGATTTAAGGGAAGGAGAGAAACATGCTTCTCAAAGCTCAAATTCCTACTCAGTATTCTGTGAATTTTCATGAGCTCTAATTAATCCTCAACTAATGACAAGACAAACGATGTGTAACTGGTTTAAGTCAGTAGGGTGGAATTCAAATTTGCAGGCATGCTCTCTCAATTTTTTCTGCTGCTGATCTTGCCGAAAGGCATTAAACTGTAGGTAAAACCAAACAACTTCTGAAAAAAAATGTTCAACAAGTTTCTACTGGAATAAGGAATGCAGAATTCCTCATCAAATTTTACCAATGAAGTGGGCACCAAGGTATACTGAAAAAATGTTTAGTGAATCTACAGGTAAAGGACTTGAAGCAGAATACCCCTGCAGTGGCTGAAAAACAGACATAGCTCTAGTGGAATTATCAAATAAAAATCTGAAGGGGGACTTAATCATCAAAAATTTCAAGCCTAACTTCAAGTCTCATTTAGCCATGCTATCAGTTCATATATTCCAGCGATGGGTGCTCTCTATAAGGATTAGGTTAAATTGTGTGTGTGTATATATTATATATAAATAATCCAAAAAGTTTGCTGACTAATTCTTAATCCACTTCCCAAACATTTTACGAGTTAACACTACAGAAAAGTTAGAGTTTTTCTACTCAATCCACGTACATAGAGCTGATTCCAATTGTGGTTTATAGGGCAAGCACAAACAGTAAGTCTGTTTATATTGCCATTCAATTGTATTCCTGGAACAATTTCCAAAAAGTGCCCCCCAAAAGCATAAAACATAAGAAAAGGATAAAACAGCAGGCTTAAAACCGTATCTCAAAAGCTCAGTCTCTGCTTGATGCCAAAACGACAATAGGTTGGCACATGGCAAACCTCTCTAGGCATAGGAAACTGTGGTCTGATCAAACCACAAAGCAATTTATTGAAGCAAGGGAAGGCACATGTGAGCATAAGGTTAATTCCCATAGCACCAAATCATTTTTTTGTATTGTCTGGCCTGAGCCATAGAACTGAATCAGGAGTCTGATTAAGAGAAGGTTCGTAGATATGTCCATAAACTAAAACAATTTTTGAATTAAATATATGTTCAAATAGTTCCATTTTGTTAAATTCTCATCACTGCACATGGGCTGGGAGTATTCACAGGAGATTCACTGAGGCAAAGTAGCTAGTGATAAATCTCATGAACCAAACTGACAGCCCCAGGATTATAATGGCATTTTATCCTGCTGCTCCTAGATTACACAATAATCCTCTGGAATTCAAAAGGGAAAAAAATATGTATGAACACAAATAGATTAGGGTCTATCATAGCTCTGGCTCTCAAAGCATATTTTAAGTGTGCATTTAAAAAAACAAAACAATAGTTTTAAATATATGTCTTATAATTTGAACTTTTGAAGCTACATACTTCCCCTAGAATGGGTGCCTTTCATTTAAAAGACAAGTTGTTCTAATAAGCAATAAACATGTTCTCTGATCCCACATATTGTATCCTCATATCTTAGGCTTTACAGTTCTAATCTTCGTATTTCCAGGTGAGGGAAATAATGACTCTCCCCTGCTTCCCCTACATTATATCATTTGAGTTAGAGAAAGGCATTAGTAAAAAGTCATACTAAGGACTCAGCTATACAGCTGCAAATAAAACGTTTTAAGTGTGCTGTAAAGTGCATTATACAAATGGGACACTAGATGGCAATGATGAGTTATGGCAAATTCAATATGTTTTTCAAAACATTAAAAAATAGCATTTTTCACAACGTTTTTTGTAAGTGCCTAGATTCCACCTATATACAAAGGAGAGAGAATAAAGATGATAGACCAAGGATGAAGAAAAGGACGCAAGACTGGAGGCAAACAGGCAGTGGGGCAAATTATTATTTAGTGATACACAAAAGAAATAAGAAGTGGTGAACCCAATATTTATGAATTAAACTGCACAGGACTATGTTCTCTCACAGGATGGTTCTATTTTAATATTATTAAATATTTAGATTTTTCAAGCAGAGCATATCTACAAGGAGAATGCTTTAATTATGATTAGGTACTCTGCTGGTCTAACTTTTGGTTAAAGATTGTGCTCAACTTAAAATAAACTTTGCCAGGGGTTGATTGTCAGAATTAATGGTTTAGCATTTCAAAGCGTATGTTAAAATTTGACATACCACAAATCTTAGCAAGCGATGCCCCAAAAACTCCAAACAAGAGGATAAAAGGATTGGGCTGAAAGACCAAGGGTAAGTGTGAGCAAAAGGAGACGAAGTTCTAAGTGATCATTATGACAGACTGAAGTACTGTACATGTTTACTTTTTATAGCCAAAGTGGCAAGCCAACAGTCTATGGAGTTGATCAGATCCTTCAAGTGGCCGGCCAAGCTTCTAGCCATCGGTAAAAAGTCAGTTTTGCATACAGAAAGTCCCAGGTTCAATCCCTGGCATCTTCAGGTAGGGGCAGAAGATAACCCTGTCTGGAATCCTAGAAACCACTGCCTGTCAGTGTAGACAATACTGAGTTAGACAAACCAATGGTCTGACTCAGTGCTGGGTACCTTCCTATGCAAGTTTTGCCTAAGCATCTGGTGAGCTTTTCAAAAACAAATGGGGAAGGATAGGGAAATTGGGGGAGTCCTTCATTTCCCCCCTCTTTTTTCAGGCATTCACATCTCTAGATGCCACTATCCCCACCTTCTGCTTGATTTGATGGCAGCTAGGATGCAGCTCTACCCTGGCAACTCCATCTGCCAAATCAGGCATGTGCTGCATTTGCCAGGACTTCCTTCACTTCTTTGCACCCACAGAATTCCTGACATGCATTGTTTCCCATTTAAAATGGGGTCTTAGAAACTTGATAGTTTTAGAAATACACAATGCATTTCCACTGAAGGGCAGACTCCCACAATCTCTCTGATTATCTTATATAATCAAAATGAAAATGAAAATTTAAATGCATATATGATGTATTTGATGACCAGAAAAACACTTAACATTTGAAGCACCTGTAGTTTTAAAAAGCAAACTTTCTAAAACTGCTGTAACTCAACAATTTTTATAGAATTTTTCTGCAATTTGCTCAAATTACACTACTAATGAAAGTAAATTCCCATGTCAAATGTTATATTGATAGGATAAACCATCTTATCTTCACAACAAAGTTTTTGGGGTTTATAATGACTGAATGTTTAAAAAGCAAGTCCCCTTAAAACTATGGAATCACTAAAGTTCCATCATGAATGCCTCTACCAGTTCACAAAGTTTTTTCCAATGAGGTTATTATTGGTTAATATAAGCATATGGACTTTGAAGACAGGCTGTCAGGCAAGCACGGGCGTACGGAGGGGGGGTGCAGAGAGTGTGGTCCGCCCCAGGTGTCACCCTGATGGGGGGTGACAAAATGGCGGGTGGCACCTGTCACCGTGGGGCCTGCGGGATGCACGAGCCACACATCTCGGAGCCCGCAGGCTCTCTGCTGTCCACCCACTTCCTCCCCCCCAGCTGTAGGGTGGCTGAGGCCCCGCTGTGTGCCCATCCCTATGGGCACCGGGCGCCCTGTTTCGTCCCTATGGGCGCTGCACGCGGCCCCTGGGCACGCCGCCCCAGGTGCCCGAGAGCCTTCCTCCGCCACTGTAAGCACTGACAATTTGCTGATTGTTGGTACTTGCTAAGGAACAGGACCAATTGACAATGCCTGCAAATTTTGCTTTGCCACAGGTATGGGGCCAGTGAGCACTGTTTAGCAAAAGCAGCAAAAAGGGAACTTACTGGGCCCAATTAGGCCAGTGCGCTGGAGGTTGCCCAACACTAGATAAAGAAAACATGAGTGACTCACATCAATAGATGTGAGGCTTTATGACTTTAATCCCCCCCCCCCCCATTTTCTAAAAACTTTTAATTGTATTGTTTAACTACTCTGTTGTTTGCTGCCCTGGGCCCTTCAGGAGCAAGGATGGAATCTACATTTAGTAGTAGTGGTGGTAGTAGTAGTAGTAGTAGTACTAGAACTGTAATAGGATCAGCTTTGAAAGACAGAGGTGAGAGGGAGTATTAGTATGAATCAATAACTAAAATAATGTTAGTGAATGGATAAGAGACCAAAACAAATTGTAACTGAAAGCAAAGAGCTTTCCCTCACTAATATAGCGCTCATTATCATATACGTATGACCTTATTGCCAGAAAACACTTCCAGGCTCTCAGCATAGTGCTTCAGGTTTCCCCAAGGCCCCATTGAGCACCTGGTGATACAATGCTGTTAGGTTAGGAAACCCTGGAATGAAGCATCACCACACACCCAAAGCTTCAAAGTGGTCTAATAAAGGAATTCACTTAATTCACTGATGCAGTTCAGATATAACAAACCATGACTCAGGATGAGATCTAGATTTGATATCCTGGATTGTAAAAAAAAACAAAAATCTGGTCTGCAGAAACCACTGTTTACAGTGCTTGTAAGAAGCAACAAACTACTGTTTGTTCCTAATGATGGCAGAAACTATAAATCCCCTCCCCTCCAATATATAGGGGAATATAGTTGTGCAGGCCAGAGGTTCGTGCCAGCTCTCATGTGTCTGTTAATAGTTTGTTATTTCTGAACCTATGCACTGTTAAGATTCTTCTTAAGGGCCTTGATTAGGAAGAGATTCATTTTTCAAGGACCTTGAGGAAGACAGACAAGAAGATACTACCAGTATTGCAACCAAAATCAGGGGAACCAATTATTCTTCAGTAGGCAATACTTTGCCAACTGACCAAGCAGAACCAATATGTACAAACATGAGGGAAAAAAGATGATAACAAGGATCCAGATGATAGCACTATATCCAAGGAAGATCAAAAACAGATGTGAAATAAATGATTTGAATGTTTCCAAAAAAACAAACTAAAGACTTTAGTAGAACCAGATTCAGTGACAGTGATTTAATTTTTTCACCAGGCTTCAACTAGATTAGGTGGGCACCAGCATGGGAAAAAAGAGTATTTTCTAACACAGAGGATATTTCCCAGATCCAAGTTGACTAGTACCTCTGCTGGAAAACAATTTCACTATGGTAGCCAGTAATATACAATAAACAGAAGAACTCAAGCCCAGAACAGCAAGATTTTAGAACATATTAACTAGATGTGGTATTATTTGCCAACACATCCATAGTATTTTCAACATATTAAACAACATTAACTCTAAGAAATATATAGAATAGCACAGAGGGAGGAATACCTCACATAGTAAAGAAAATGCACTATACAGAGTTTTGACAGTACAAATGAAAAATATACAATGAAATTTACATAGAGGGGAAAGAAGGTAGAAAGACAGCTAAGAGATCTGTGAAGCAGTGGTCTGTCATATTGCATTGCATAGTAAAGCAATTCCTTTAAAACCTGACCAGTACACTACTTATGGTTCAGCCTTTAACAGCTAAGAGTTATGTGGTGATGGAACAGCTTGTAACCAGATAGAATCTAGCTTCAGCAGTTTCTAAAGGCTGTACATTTTCATACCTTTATGTTTCTTTGTTTAATCACATTTTATTTCTGATAAACTGGAGAACAAGTTAGTATGTCAGAAGAACCTTCAAGTCACTGAGAATGAAGTAGTCAACAATGCTGAGAGCAAGAATTTAAAAACATTTCTTGACATATGTCCAGCTCATGGTGGCCATGTTTTCCACAGCACATTGCAGATGTATAGTGAACAGGTTTTTAGAATCTGAAACTCTGCCAGCTACAACAATCTTCTAATTATGGTAATGCAATGGCATTTCTGCTTGTGACAATAAAAGTAACATGATTATGACAATCAAGCAATTAATGTGCACAAAAAGTTTCCCCTATCAGCACGATAGTCATGTGATACATACCAATCCTCATCACAAATTCAAGTGCCTTAGCAAAGTGAATATACATCACTGAATGAAATGCTAAAGCTCCCTTTCTCCCTCTTTTTACCTATTTGCAGGCAAGACTGGTCTAACTTTTGTTTTACTGTACAGCACTTTGTTCTTATAAATTAATAAACACATCCATGGCCAAGAACTATCTGAAAAATTCTAGGATACTAAAAATATGTTTAAGTGCCAGTCCTGTCAAAAGGTAGAAACAGGATTAGATAGCAGCATCAGATTCTTAAGACAATTAATTGTGAATGACTATACCAAGTTATTGTTAATAGCAAATGTCTTAGAATAGTAATATCATCACACTAAAACCTTGCAACGAATTCAAGGTGAATAATAATGCAGTAGGAATTAGAATAAAGGCTGCCAAAATATAAATTCTATTCTGTGTAGATTATGAAAGATTTTATAACACATATTTTGCTTGAAATAAATTCTATCCTTGCTGCGAATCTTCAGTTTAGCTTACTATATAGCTACAGTACTATACCCAGTGTAAAAGGAGGCAGGGAAGCAACAATTAAGCTGCCAAACTAAACACAAATAGAAACACAATGAATGTGCTCCATTTGCCATTCCAAATAAGACACCAAGAGACAGCAGATCACAAAAAAGTCATAGAACTGAGGACAGTGGCAGTAACAAGAATGCAGTCCAGACTTTCAAACATAACTGAGGATGGGTAAAACTATTTAAACATTAAATCAAACATTCACCCTGATATCAGTGTATGAATGTACAGCCACAACTTTGAGTGTTGGGTTTTCTGATCTGATGTGGGGTGGGAATGAACAAATCTGCGAATTACCCAGAAATGTTTCCCAGCCTTTATTCGTGTGCGGGCAGGCAATACGAAATATGAAATCCCCCTCCAAAGTTTTCCAGCCACTCATTCATTCATAGATATCGCGGGGAAGGAAGCAAGGGCGGGACTCAATGTGAATGGACGGAAGTTTTCGCAGGGAGAGAAAGAAAGGGGGGGGTGAGAGAGAGAGGGAGAAGCGCACGTCTGGAGACAGACGCCGCAGCTAGAAAGGACCACCCTCTCCTTCCCGTTCCTGTGCGCTCAGCATCCCGATGCAAGGAACGGGAAACAGAAGGGTTTGAGCGACGGGAAATGGGGTCTAAGTATTATATACGCAGGTTGGAATGGAAAACGAAAGGAGGAAAGGCCGGCCGGAAGCACGTTGTGTCCCCCTTCTCTCCACCCACCCAAGCGCTCCTTTCCCCCCAGCTGATTAGGTTAAGCTGAGCCATGCAAATTCCGACATGCGGATTAGGAGAGAAAAGAGGCAAGGGGGGAGAGAGAAAGAAAAAGAGAGAGAAATCTCCCCAAGGCGCCCTCTCCTCCTTTTGCTTCTTCTGCCTTGGGCTGCGCTTTCACGCACGCTTCCCTGGGAGGGAAGCAAAGTCCCCCCCCCTTTTTTTAAGGAAAGGGTTTCCTTCCCGAGGAAACGAAGCCAGGATCCGGCCCCTGGATACGCCCTGACTTGGAAGAGGAGGAAACCCCCATGGGAGGGGGGGAAATGCGGAGCGAGTGAGGCTTCCGAGAGGAGACCGGCAGAGGATGGGGGGGGGGGGTGTCAGGCCAGGTGGGGAGATGGCGAGGAGGATGAAGTGCCCCAGGAGGCGTGTCCATCTCGGCCAGGTCCATCCGAGGGTGGGGGGAGGAAGGTAGGGAACAGGGCGCCAGGTTCAACGACGACGCCCCCCCCCCAAGCGAGAAGTAATGGCGGGGCAAGAAGTGGGCGCGAAGTGGATATCCCCGTCAGGTGTGCGCGTTTCCCACCCGCGTCGCCGTCAACTCACCACAAGGACGGAGCCTCGCACCACCTCAGAGACGCTCTGCCGCAACTCGGCGGCCGTGCCGGGCTTGCTCAGCGCCCGCGTGAACTTGCGAGTCTCCGGGGGCCCCAGCGCCGGCTGGAAGGGCATCGTTGCCATGGCCCTCGCTCCTCCCGGCGGCCCTGGCGGAATCCCCGGCCCTCTCAGGGCGCTGCCTGGAGGCTCCTCAGGCGGCGTCCCGTCGCCGTCGCCGCCCCCACCATCCCCTGAACAACGCCGCGCGAGCGAGCTGCCGGCCGGCCAGTCAGTGTCGCAGCTGGTCTTGGCTCGCGGCGGCGCCGCTCCTGTCAGGCGGCCCCTCCCTCCGGGCGACGCGCGCACACACACACCAACGGCGCCCGCTCGCGCCAGCCCCCAAACACTGGCACGCGGGAGAGGGTGGGCGGTCGGGGGTGAAGAGAGCGAAGCGGAGGCGGGTTCGCTTGAGCTGATTGGCGCGGGCGCCGCCGGAGGGGCGTGGCCCGGCTGCTCCCTCCTCGCCCCACAAGGAGCGAAGTTCCCAGCCGCCTCCCCAACCTGCGTGGCCCGGGCGAGGTTCCTGATTGGGCCTCGCGTTACCTGCCCGGCTTGCTCTCCTGCACCACCCTGGCCCCGGCCCCCTTATTGGCTCTGCCTGGGAGGAGGGGGCGTGGCTGGCAGAGAGCGGAAATCCCATCCCAGAGCGGCGTTTATTCTCTCCTGGCTTTCTCTAGCGCGGCACTGAGTGCCACCAGGTCATTCCACAGTGGATGGCGGCGGGCGGCTGTGGAAGGGATGCCCTTGGCCGAGCGCTGTGCCTGCTGGTCTTTTTCCTGAAGTGCAATAAATATAACTCCCAGCCAATGGGCGGCGGTGCGGATATGTGTGTATAAATACGATTTGCACGTTCTATAAATAAGATTTATTACTTTTAAAGCTTTAGCGGTTTTTTTGTATTCCGATCACCTTTGCGTTGTGAGTACTTTCCCCCGATGCAGCTTCAAAGGGCGGCTTCGCGAGGAAGCTCTTTACCGTAAGTGATGCATGTTGCTAGAGAGCTCTAGCATCTGTGCTGGCTCCTTAAAACACTCCAGGAACGAGGCCAGTTGCCGGCTTCAATCCATAATGGCTCAGGCTCTACTTATTTAAAAGGCCGCCACCTCATTCTGTTCCAAGTCCATAAGCACTCTTCCAGATTTCACCCACAATTTTTTAAATATTCCAACTACATACTGCCAAATTCCTGTCTCCATATTATGGAAGTAGATTTGGTAGCGTTTCTACAGGGGGGTACAGCAGTACTTTCATTTAGAATTAGAATTTATTTATCAAGGCTGCACAGCCTTTTATTAAGTATGACACAATGCTGCAAAGAATAATCAAAGGCAAGGGGAAAGGTAGCCTTTTTAACGTTTTTCATTTTTAAAGTTACGTCACTGTTTTTACACTTGAATGTTACAGCAGGAGCATGTGGGTGTAGCCAGGATTTGGGGGTGGGGGGCAGAACCAATGTAATTGGTTAGTTAAGTATTTTTATTGTTTTACGCCCATGAGCAGGAGATTGCCTTGAAAAAGCAACATCTGGCAACCTGCCAGTTCCTCATATTCTAGCCTGGCATGACAGACCCAGCTCAGGGCTATGCAGGTGGTTCTCAGCTGAGTTGTATAGGAGAAAGTGAAACGGCTGGGAACCTGGAAAAGTAGAGAGGGACCACCTGCTTCTCCAGTCCAGAAGCTATTGCCACCAGACACATCAGATAGGTTTCACATTCTCTGAAACTCTGTCCAAGAGAATGGCTGTCAGTAGGGCTAGCCCTAATTGACATTCGAGCTACTGGAATCTACTGTGCTATTGATTCAAATATACATTTTATGTTAGATTCTTAAAAAAACCCCAAAAATTATATTCACAAGAATAAGGAAATTTCAAAGGGAAAAGGTACTGCGTAAGGGGCTAGAACAATCCTAGACACCTCTTTACACGTCAGTCCTAATTTCATGAGTAACAACGGAACTCTGAGGGTTTATAATGAGTAATATGGTGGAGCGAAGTAACTTAGGGCACATATTTTAATACAGTGGTACATTGGTTCTCAAACTTAATCCGTTCCAGAAGTCCGTTCCAAAACCAAGGCACGCTTTCCCATAGAAAGTAATGCAAAAGGGATTAATTTGTTCCAGATTAATTTGTTCCAAACAACCCCTAAAACAGCAATTTAACATGAATTTTACTATCTAACGAGACCATTGATCCATAAAATGAAAGCAATAATTAATGTACTGTACTATAAAATACATAAGACAGTATTGTAGCTGTTAAAAATTAAAATTATTTTTTTTTCTAACCGGCACTGATGATAGCCATTGTTTGGATGGAGGGCTTTTATCCATTTCCACAGTCACACATTCAATCAATCAGTAGCTGAACTGGGCTTCACACAGTCACAATAACAAATTAACCGAAAAAGCCTCAAAAACAAAAATGCAAAATAAATAGCAAAAACAAAAGCGCCAAACTTAATCCATTCTGGAAGTCCGTTTTGACTTCCAAAATGTTCAAAAACCAAGGCACAGCTTCTGATTGGTGCAGGCGCCCCAGAAACAATAGCCAACAACCACATCGGACATTCAGCTTCCAAAAAAAGTTCGAAACCAGAACACTTATTTCTGGGTTTTCGGCATTTGAGAACCAAGGTACCACTGAATTGGGTAGAGTGTGTAGGATGAACTGGGTGACTTCATAAACCATGGCTAGAGATATGGAATAAAATTCACTAAGGCATGTTTGCAAGTTGTATGTTGAGGAAGAAGTGGGGTTTTTTTGTTACCATCTTTAGACTCATCTGTCATACTCTGGAGCTGACTGAAGTGGAACACCGGATGAGGCAAGACTAGTTAGAGAAGGTTTCATGATGTGCTCTACCCCGCACAGAACACATAGCTCCCATGTTGCTTCATCAAGGAACGAACTGAGCCTCAGCCCTATGGTCAACCCAGTTGCCTCCTAATTGTGAGCCCTTCCAGTACTGGAAGCTGCTGCTTTGCTTTAAGGAGCTCAGTTAGTATCTGGTTGCAGTAGGGAGCCAGAGCCAAAGGGAGTTTCTGGCTACTCTGACTCTTCCATGGAGTCATCAGGTGGCAGTGCTTCTGGGGTGTGTTCAGCAGACCCTTCCCCTTTTGTTTTGGAGTTCTCCATTTCATCACCTGAACAGGATTCCTGGTGTTTGACATCATCAACTGGAAATGACAAAGACAGAGGTAGCTCCCCCTCTCAGTGTGTCAGGTTTATTCACAAAACACTCATCGCACACTGAAAACAGAAGCAAGATAGTCATAGTGGCAGCAGTATGTAGATCCCTAAAAAGGGCTTTTGAACAGCTAGGGCAATAATATCTGCTTCATCAAGCCCAGATCCACGGAGGCGGCTGACTGGAAGCAGTGGAGGAAAAGCCAGGGGAGAAACAGAGTCAGACCCAGGCTATGTGCTGACAGCAAGAGTGATTTTGCAATTTGGCTGTGGAGCCCAGAGTGAATATACCCTCCTAAATAAAAACTTCAGAGCATATTCCAGAATTGATTGGCTATAGGAAGGCACAAATTCCTGGACATCCTTTTGTTCTCTACAGCATAGTAAAACTCTATTTGTGGCAAGACAGGGCAAGTCCCTACACTGCCAGGATATTCTTTGTTTATTTTGTGGAGAACAGTAGTGTTATTCACTCCTTTGTTAACATTATTAAATTTGTATTGCTGAAAAATTGACCCATCTCCAGAGGGAAATCTTCTTGTAAGGTGGGTAGATTGGATTGGATTGCTCAAGCTATGTCCTGCTCACAAGATATATAAAATCACCTCCCCTGAGGTGACCAATTTGATCCCTTCAGCTACTTTTCCCATCAGGCAGGCCTCCAGAAGCCTCCATGCTTTTTCTGTGCAGGAAACCATACTGAAGCCACTTTTAAAATCATAAATGCAAATCCAGGGGTAGACTTGTCTCCCAGGCTCTTGTATTTAGCAGCCTGCCAACATGCTCTGACCACTACTGCCATGTGGCCCTCAGAAAGCTGTCCAGAAAGAAATGTGGCCCTTGGGCTGAAAAACAGTTCCTCCTCCCTGCTGTACATTGTAGAAGGTTCAAATATGACATATAAGTAAAAGGTGGAGTATGTGAACTCCTATCTCTTTGCCAGGAGAACAAAGCCTCCTGTTAGTTCTCCTGCTAGTGATGTTATTTTAGAGTAGCCCAAAGGTTGCTTTGTGTACAGTTTGGAATCACAGTAGTTTTTGGCCTCTAAAGGCTTAGAGTGTATTTAAGAATTTGCAAACAGCCCAGTACACATACTAGTCCAACCAGTAAAATCACGTTTTGCTAGGTGCACCTAGACATATTGTGTGGGAGCTATTCTCCATAAGCAGCTTCCGTGAGACTGGGAGAACATTTAAATGAGCCATTCATGTGGACGTGGATCAGCTGGATCTTTTTGCTACAGCACCAAGCAGTTGACCCACACAACTCTAGTTGAGTCATCCTGACTGTTGCTTTAGGGATAAGCTGCACTTTGCTCAGTGGAATTTACCTCTCGGTAAACATGTACAGTATAGGATATTACAGTGTTTGCAATTCTCTCAGCTGGGTAGGAGCTGCCCACCCATGCAGCTGAGAGGATATTTAAAGAGTATGTCTATATGGGACTAACTAGTAATCAGTACTAAAAATACAGTAAATCCTAGGTTCTGACAGGTTCTACCCATGTGACCGATCCGTGTCTATTGCTCTGCAAATTTTAGCCTCTGGTCCCATCCATCACTGGTGTGTCCCTGGAAGGTAGACCACAAAAAGAATGTGGACTTTGGTCTGAAAGAGGTTACACACCCCTGCAATTGCCTAGGTGTGCTGTCTAGTATCCCTTGCATAGTGCTATAGTATTGGAGGATATGTTTGGGTGGTGTCCGTGGATCCCAACCAAGCCTGTGATTTCATAACTGTAAGGTTGTAGTTTGTAGTAGAACCAATCAGACCAGGTTTGTTTTTTGTTTTCCCCCCTGTTAATTGCCCTAACCTGGCCTGTCACCCTCCATTTGCATGTCTGACAAGGTGGTGAAGAACAGATGTGTTGACAGAGAGACAACTGGGTACTGATGCTTTTTCTAGAGGAGGTAGACTTTCCTCCCTACTGGCTAGAGGCCACATCATCTTATAGGTAGGAGAACAGTAGGCCAGGAGCTAGTCTTTTGGTTTAGTATGGGGCCATGGGTGAAAGCTGGAAGGTCACAGAGGCTTGAGTTGCCCTCTGTGCTGAATCCAAAGCTCTGGGTTTGGGGACACAACTAGAAACCTTATAGCAGGCATGTCCAAAGTCCGTTTCAGGGGCCCGCCAGTTGATTTAATCCGGCCCCCGTGGCAGCATATGTCCTGGGGTAAAAACCTAAAAAAAGCCCAACAACTTCGGGGGGAAATCCTAAGAAAAAAGTTCAACAACTTCAATCCTAGAAAAAGCTGAACAACTATGGTTGGTCCTTTGGTCGCCCTTCACGCATGTTCACTTCATGAAATCTGGCCCTCTTTGAAAAAAGTTTGGGCACCCCTGCCTTATAGGAAAACAAGATCTGTTGGAGTGTTAATGCTGCGAGCATTTCCAGCTTATGCCCAGGTTATATATGTCAATCAATCAAATCTTTATTACGGCCATAGACCAGCAAAAGTAGGGTAGGTTATGGTTATATATGTTGTAAAAACCATATATCCTAAAGGCATCAGAGCCTCCATTGACCTTCATTCCAAGAAAACAGCACCCTGGATATGTGCTGGAACCCCTAAAGTCTCTCACTGCTCAGAGACTGGGGTGTGCACAACAGTACTTATCAAGGTCAAATGTTTCCAGACCACACAAACCAGCTTAGATAAGCACAGTGTTTAATGCCAGGGAAGTTAAACTGAACAGATGATTTTGATTCTGCTAGTTCTCAGTGCTAACATCTTCCTTTCCATTATGCCTGCCCATATTCAGCTGTGCTTCTCTCTGTGCGTCAGCACCTTTGACTTCAGAGAAAAGCAAGATGGAGCAAGTTAGGGTGGTATTCAGCTGTAAAAATCTTGCAGTTTGCATAGCATAAATATATCTCCATAAAAGTGCTTCATGGCAGAACAGCTGAGTAAGCTTAAATCCCTGCCAGCAAGCAGATTTTTCTTTCACCTTCTCCATCCAAACCCTGTTTCTTTTTTAAGGATGTGGCTCATGCGTTGGCTGTCGTATTATCCTGACACCTAGTAGTATATAGGCACAGTTGACTCATAACCTGTTGCAGGAATAATGGGAGCTGTTAATTAAAAGGTATTAATATCAGTTTGCAGGTACATGTTTGCTTATAAAACAAAACTCACCAGACAGACTCAGCTGGCTGTCGATTTTACTGGGTAGCTGACCTAAAAAAAACCCCAACCCCTGCCCCCTTTATGGCAGAAAAGAACTGCTAAAACTGGATTTCAAACTATAATCATGAATGGATATTAGGTTTCTTAATTTGCTGTCATGAGACGGATACTTCAGTTGGTTGTTTTAAAGGTTTCAACAGACATCTAACTTGAGGCAAGCACTGGAAATATTCTTTTGGAAGCTTGTTGTTTACCTTCTGGTGGAAATGTAAGCTCCACCCCCCCCCCCAAATAAATCTCTTTGCAGAAACAATAGGATTTACTCAGATAATTTGCAGGATTAAGGTCTTGACAGTTCCTTTAAGGCAAGAGTGTGCATGTGAATGTGTCTGTGTGTGAGAGAGAGTGTTTTAAGGTTTGCAGTGACCTAACCTTGAGTGATAGCAACCTATAGACCCAACATACCCCACTTAACAAAACCCTGCCTATTTAACTAAACCATGCTAGTTAGGACTGACACATGACTGAAACGATGGCAGAGGTCCAGTGCTTTTCATTAAATTTTGCCACAACAGCCTCCGCCCAATCCTTGCTACCAAACTCTCTGGTGAGCTTAAAAAGCAATTTGGCAACATCCTGTGCTTAAGTGACTTGGCAGAGATGCAGACAAAATCTTAGTCTGACTGGCACAATGGTGTAATGGCAGAAGGTTGTAAAATACATTCCTCTTTAAAAAATAAAAATCAATGTGTCAATTATGCATGTCGCAGAGATGCAGGAGGGAAGCCTGTCTTTTGACCAGATGGTGCCAACTTGTTCTGTACAATTCTGCTAAATCTTTGGAGGCTCTGCTTCTTCTTCAGGAAGAGTTGTTCTTTATTCATCCCTTGAAACAAAGGGATGACACATCTTAGTTTGGGGGGGGGGGAGTTTAGTAGATATGAGAGAGGTTTATACAATTATGCACGGTAAATGTAAAGTGGTTTTCTCATAAGTTCACAACACTAGAACACACAGTAGGTTCAGGAAAACCAAAGGGAGGTACTTCTTCATACAGAACGTAATTCAAATATGGACTTTGCTACCATAAAAAATGTTGATGGCCACCAATTTGGATCGCTTTAAAAGGGGATTAGACAAGTTCATGGAGGATTAAGCCATAAATTGCTTCTAGTTCCTCTTCAACCAGGCCTTTGGCTGACTAACATTCTATGGGTTTTTTAAAATGTGTTCGTGGGAGGGTGATTATGGTTTTTTTAAAAATTCTTATGTATTTTGTGTTTTTATGCTGTGTACCACCCTGAGATCTTCAGATGAAGGGTGGTATACAAATTTAAATAATAAATAAGAATAAAAACTAAAAAATAGTTATCTCCAGAGTTAGAGGCATTATGCCTCTGAATATCAGTCATTGTGGGACAACATAAGGAGACAGTATTGTGTTCATGTCCCGCTTCCCACTTTTTCTTTATTTTTCTTTGTTAAATTTATTAATTTACTCAATTTGTATCCCGCCCTTCCTCCCAAAGGAGCCCTGTTTATTCAAAGACCTATATACTGCTTTTCGCACAAGTATCAAAACACAGCACAACAATAATATCAACCACGGTATGCAAATAAGGAATTCATATACACTTGGGTAAATAAAAAATGATGTTAAATATTAGGGAAAACGCATAACTGAAAATGCTCACCAGATTGTGGGCAGGGGCTGCTGTTCCTTAATGTAGGCATCACCTATGATAATTTCCTCTTTCCAGTTCCTACCAGACGGACTGAAGCAGGCCGTGACAACACCAAGATGGACCAGAAGCACAACTCCTGCCAACCACGACTCAGGCCTTCAATTGCAGAGGGCCCAACTTTGTAAAACTCCTTCCTATTAAAAATCAGGTAGGCACCATGCCTGCTAAGTTTCAGATACCACGTGAAAACATTCCTCCACCCCGGAGGCCTTTGCGCATTGAGTGCTGTTCTAATATTTCTATTTCTGATGTTTTAATATGCATTTTAAATTTTGTATGTGGTTTGTTTTTACTGTAACCTGCGACTTATGAAGGAAAGTGGGGTATAAGTTCCTTAAATGAATAAATCCCATTGCATCAGAACTTATGGGAGTCGTAGCATGGGGAATTTTGTCTCCCCAAAATCTCAGGACTTGGTGCAGCAGGCGTGGAGCAGAACTTTTAATCAAAGCAAGCAGTTTGTTCCCCAGGGCTGTCAGCAGGCAGCCTGAAACACTGTTTTAAAGGAGGAAAAGTGGGGATGTTACCACATAGTTTAGGACATGTTTTCACAGACATCTGAGAAGGGAGAGGTAGAGAGGGAATGACAAATGATGCAATACCATGCCAATGGATGTTCCACCATTTGGGGAAAAGGGAATGTGCTCCTTAAGATGAAAACATTTTCTTCCTCTTGCAATAAAGGATATGAGTGGGAAACCAAGGCCCTTGTTTGAAGTGGCCACCTTACTGTTATGTACTGAAGTTACTGTACTGGGCCAGCAGGGGGATACTGTAGATAGTTTTCACTCAGGTCCGCATATGCAAATAAGGAATTGAAAGTGACGTTCAGTGATTGGATAGTTACAGAAAGTTGTTACTGTTGCTTTGTAGTTGAGCTCTATATAAGCAGGTTGGCTGAACCCTTCAGTTCAGTTCTGTTCTGGCCTGTGAATAAACAAGGGCTGTCTGAAGAATCGCTGTGTCGTCTGATATGTTCACCCACAACTTAACACTAACATTTCCAGATAGAGACTTTTGGCTCCCAAAAGGAAGATGAGCTGGTGCTCTCTCACAACAAGGAAGTCATGAACTATTGTACCCATCAAGGGTTATTTACAATCCCAGAATTCTTATTAGGCTGTAGGCTAACCCAAATGATCATTATCTTAATATCCTCTAATAGCACATAGTTTATTGTGGCCTAAGCCTAGCCGCTTCATTTGATTTAATCCATCCACCTGCTTTAATTTTTATCCTTCTTAGCATCTAACATCTGATGAGCATGTATTCTCTGTTATTTCCAGAACAGTGTTCTTTCACTGTTTTGTGGATATCTTTTTAATTTCATTGAACTTAACAGACACTCAAACAAAAGAATTACTGAATGCAGAAAAGGGTCCAATCCATTTTAAATAAGTATATGCTCAATATAATTAATCATAAATGAGCTGTCTGAGAAAAGAACTGGGTGGCTAAAGCAGCCCTGCCCTTCTGGCCAGGACATTGTCATCTGCTCTGGTCAAGGATCTGCTTGGGGTAGGGAAGAGTACTTCTGCGAAGGGGTCGCTCCTTGCCAGTGCCAAGTCAGCCAGAAATTCCACTAGCGTTGGCCATCAAACCCCTGCTGTGAGTAGTAGTGACAGGGAAGAGTTGCAGTTTCCAAAACACTAGGTGAGCTGAAACATGGCTATCCTTTGAAATTCTCACTTCTCAGAATTTTGCAATGCATTTTTGTAAGTAAATGTGTGCAAAAATCATACAATTTTGTATTCAAAGATGCATATATTCATGGAAATAACCTAAAAGATTGCTAGCAAAAATGTGCATATTAGGCAAAACTGCATACAAAAGTACTGATGGATTTTCATGAGGACATTTTCTATGTAAACAATAATCACCAACTGATGCAGTAATGTGACTGGAAAAATTAGAAACTGAGAGAAACAGAAACTGACAGATTCATCTGTGCCTACGTGTGACCTTATGAGGATTCTAGCTGCCATCAAGTCAGCTGTCTGGGAACAGAACTGTGTTGCAGGAACAGCCGTGGCCTCTTAGCCTAGACATTGTCCTCTGATCAGGGTGGATATTTTTCTGCTCTCCTAGACAGCCAGGATCTTCACAGATCTGCATAAATGTGTTATAATAACCGGGGCCTGAGCTTGTTTCCCCCCTTTCTTTGTCCTCTTCACTTTTCCTCGTGTATCATGTCACTGTAAAATGAAAGACAAGGACTACTGTACTCGTTTTTGTAAGTTTCTCGGACAGTCTTTTTATCTGAATGTTGGGGTATAAATGACTTAAATAAATAATGTGGCTTTGTACTATTGGTAAGACAACTACCTTATTACAGCATCAAGAAGTTCAAATAAAATTTGACACCCCCCCCCCGGTATAATACAGTGGTACCTCGAGTTAAGTATTTAATTCGTTCCGGACGTCCGTTCTTAACCAGAAACTGTTCTTAACCTGAAGAACCACTTTAACTAATGGGGCCTCCTGCTGCCGCCGCGCCGCCGGAGCATGATTTCTGTTCTCATCCTGAAGCAAAGTTCTTAACCTGAAGCACTATTTCTGGGTTAGCGGAGTCTGTAACCTGAAGTGTATGTAACCTGAAGCGTATGTAACCTGAGGTACCACTGTACTACATTCAGCTGAAATTCCAATACTCTGCCTTAAGCAGTTTGTGGTATGCATTGGCTATCTGAATGGTTCTGAAGATCCATTCTAGAAAAATGGGTGCCGTAAGTGCCACTCTTTTTAACAACAACAACAACAAAATAGGTGTCGGTACTGCGTACCCTTGAGTACCCTCTTTTTATATTAAAAAAACCCACTGCTGAAGACAATTATGATTACGTACTTATAGTTCAGGCTACACAAGGAAATTCTTGTGTACAACCAGCACCAGGAAAAATTCTTACAATAGTCATTTCTTTGTTTCTTGGCAACATAAATATACAGAAACAAATCCAACTTCCCTAGAGCCAATAACTGTAAGTCAAACATCTGAATTTGCAGCCAGGCAAACCTGAAGTCTGACGGCTTTAATCCCTTTGTGCTTAGTCTTAAAAGGACAGAGTTGCGGTGAACCAAAGCAAATGTATACAGGGGTTATTTCTGAAGCTCGTGGAAAATAGCAAATGAATTAATCCGTAAAAAATGATCGGAACTGCCACGTACAAGAGGTTTATAGACAGAGAACTGGCTGGTTGCTTCAAATGGGCCTCACATCCTCAAAATTTGTTCTATCAGCTCTGGATAAAGTTTTTCATTTCCAAGTACGCTTCCTGATGCAATTATAATTTCATGTATCTCTCTTCATTCAGGTTACTGATGCTCACTCAATTGTTTTACTATTAATTAATTAATTTTTATTATTATTATTAATGTATTAATACTACTACTACTATGGGACGCGGGTGGCGCTGTGGGTTAAACCACAGAGCCTAGGACTTGCCGATCAGAAGGTTGGCGGTTCGAATCACCGTGACGGGGTGAGCTCCCGTTGCTTGGTCCCTGCTCCTGCCAACCTAGCAGTTCAAAAGCACATCAAAGTGCAAGTGGATAAATAGGTACCGCTCCAGCGGAAAGGTAAACGGCATTTCTGTGTGCTGCTCTGGTTCGCCAGAAGTGGCTTAGTCATGCTGGCCACATGACCCGGAAGCTGTACGCCGGCTCCCTCGGCCAATAAAGTGAGATGAGCATCGCAACCCCAGAGTCGGTCACGACTGGACCTAAAGGTCAGGGGTCTCTTTACCTTTACTTACTACTACTACTACTACTACTACTACTACATTTCTCTACCACTTTTCCTCTGAAGTGGTGTGTGGCGTTTGCCTCCTAGGTGTGTGACATCATACTGGGTCATAAGGAAAGGGTTAACTAAGTGTAAAATGATTAACCAATAGGAACCCAAGGGGAGGAGTTAGAGTTGTTAAGAAGTGAGTCTGGAGTTAGAGAAGGGAGAGGGAGGATAAGTCTGTGGGTTGGGCTAGTTTGACTTGAGAGAGTGAGAGAATCTGTTAAGAGGAGTCGGTTAAACAGTTGGGGTAATCATTTAGAAGGTATTAGGAAGGTGTAGGCCGGTAAAAAAAACTAAGATTAAGAAACTGACAAGGAAAATTATCTGAAACCATAAACTTGTTCATGCTTATAAAATGAACTTGTTTATTTGGTTTAATGTTAACAACTGTCTGGACTCAGTGTGTACCCGAAAGAAATGGGTTGGTGGCAGCGGGGAAGCGAGCACAGTGGTGGTGGCAAAGGGATCAATAGACCATCAAATGTCCGGGGACCCTGTGTGATCGCCACATGGTGCTGTAGGTAATGTACATGGCCACCCAGTGGAGATTTAAACCCTGTCCCACAGGTCCTAGTCCAATACTCTAACCACTATACCACACTGCTGTTTGTGTGTCTGTGTGTCTTAAACAACATCTCAGCCAATGACAGAGATTCAAAGTCTGTACGATGAGCGTAACTGAGCATCTGAAAAAAGAAACATAATCCTCCCTTATTGCTTCTCTCACTAAAGCGTTACTACAATTGCCTTTATTCACCATCTTTAAACAGTTGATGTATTGCAGCATGTGATAAGCTGGATAAGAATCCTGCCTTACAGAGAACAACCCTCTGTTTGAAGGTGTCCTCTATTTGATTTAACTCTAGTTTGAAGATAAAGAACTATAAGAAGGCTTTGAAGTTGCCCTTCCAACAGTGAGTACTAGGCACCTTGTCACAGTCTCGGGTTAGCTATATTGCATTTCTATTATAGTAATTTTTTCTTCTTCTAAAATTGCATTTATACAGATATGGGTTTTTATGCACATTTCATGCAAGTATGTCTTTTGATGACATGTTGCCTTTTTTTGTGACTTGCAAGTCCCATCTTACTTTGAGAGCTTTGATAGGAGAGGGTTTACGGGGGCAGTGGGGGAGTGAGACAGATTGCTTGAAGTTCCTTAACAGTCAACAGTAGGGATGGGCAGATCTGACAGCTTTGGCCTCTCTCAATTTCTCATTTTTCCTATCTTAACTTCAGTTCCCCACATTTCCACACCAGTATGTGATTTATTAATAAAAAGCCCTTGGGAAAATTCATCGGCATTCTGGTGAGAATGTTCCCCAATATACACATTTGCAAAGCAGTTTCTCAAATATATTGCATTTTCGTATGTTGTTTTCACTAATGTATGCATTTACATACACAGTTTCCCCCAGTGCATACATTTTTCTACACCTTATTTGTATGAGGTGTTAGGGGAGGGGTAGTAACTCTGGTGGGGGACACATTGTGCTCCATCTGGGGTAGTTTGTCCACCTTTGGTGCAGTGGCGGAGCTTCATGCTCCAGCACCGGGGACAGAGAGCAGGTGGGGGCATGGCTGGCGCGTGTCCCGGAGGCATGGCACATGTCCCAGGGGCGTGGCACGGGTCCTGGGGGCGTGGTGTGCATACTGGGAGCACGGTACACCGCCTGCAGGGGCGTGGCACATGTCCTGGGGGCGTGGCGCCCAGCATGGGGGGCAGCCCACGGTGGCACCCCACCGGGATCGTGGTGCTGGGGCCCCCCGCCCCCTCTTCCTCCGCCAGTGCTTTGGTGTTCATCCTGCACTCAGCTCTCACCTGTGGCTCCCAGAAACTGTAAGCATGCAACAGTGGCCACGCCCCGGGAAACAGTTTCGACTGGCCAGCTAAACCAAGTGAGGGCAGCCGATAGGTCGCAAACCCTCTGTGTTAGGAACTTCCCCCTATGCAAAGACAGACTCCGGAAGATTGAGTGGATGAGACCAATAGTGGGTCCAACCGTCATGAAGGTGCATGTGCTGTAGAGGAAAGTGAGGAGCAGGTGGGGCTCATCAACCTGGAAAGGTAGCCCATCTAGGAGAAGGAAAACTCTGATCCTAAACCTCCACTGCCTTAGGGGATATATTCGGGAGAAGTGAAGACTAAGGAGCAAACCCTACATAAATTCAGCGTGGAGTCCCTAAGTCGGTTGGATGGTGCCTTGTACGCCTCCTTCTAGCAACTCCTGCAGCCAAGATGGTGCCAGACCTTTTGCTCTGCTTTCCTTTGGACCACATCGGCAAGGCCTTGTCATATGGGCAGCCCAGGACCTCCATACACACTGCACAGGCTTGCTCCCCATACACACTGCAGTGTCTTGACTTCACCCCTGGAGGGGCACTCCATTGTCTCTCAGGACAGATGGATGCCAATATCTTGAATGGAGAACGGCATAGCAAAATTCAGAAAAGTGTGGATTTCGAAAGACAGCGGCATTTTGGTTTGCATCTTGTTTCAGATTAGCCAAGTTCCCTTTAAAATGTGAACTGAATTTAATTTCTCTTCCATCCGTAGTCAGCAGATAAGCTGGCAGCCACAGGATTGTTAGGAGAATTATAGGTAAATGACCCAGAGTGGCTAGGAAATAGCTGGAGATAGTGCTGGAAGGTCAGAGCCATTTTGGTGAAGATGATTCATTCTCTTCTCCCTAGCTAAGGGAAGCGATGAGTAAGAGTTCACTGTGGAAAAAACTACAGAAGGTGTAGTCTTTAGAGAAACAGGAAAAGAGTTAGCTCTGAATTCTGCAAAGGCAGTAGAGCTATGCTGTCTGGCTCCAGCTTTGCTCAATGTATATCTGTAAATAAATTTAATTATAAAAGGTCATAAGCCTTTGGGGATCAATCCTTCTAAAGATAACCAAAGGCAAGTATGCTCTGCCCCTTAAATTTCTCACTGCTCAGGGAAGTGGGAAGAAGGTAACTGAATAAAAGTAAGTTACAAAAGTGCAGTCCTATGGATGCTAACTTGGAAGTGATGCCCACTGAAATAAATGGAAATTATAAACAGAAACTGTTATGAGCAGAGGGGAAAGTCCAGCATTATTAAAGCCACTGTGCAGCCTCTGTTAACAGGCCCTGTCCTTGGTATATTTGCTCTTTTATATGTTTGTGTGCTCAGTTTCCCAACAAATTGCAAGAGTTTTGCACTTGTTGGAATAACTGAGAACCGGCAGGGACTGTGTAGATTGCCGTTCCATAATATTTTAGCTCCAGGAGACTATGTACACACATGACAAGCCATCTGTAATGCTTGGGTGGTATTCAGCTAAGTTTTACTCAGATCCATTAAAATTAATGGACCTGGATTAGTCAAGTTATTTCATTTCAATAGGTCTACTCTGAGTAAAATTTAGTTGACTATCACCCCTTTTATCCGATGAAGCTGTGGTGCATTCCACTGCAACATAAGAGTACAAGATCTCTGTAAGTGCATATTTGTGAGTGGGTGAGATTTTAATTGTGTCCATCTCTAGGCTTTGTGTGCTGACAGGTTTTTTCTGTTTGTTTTATTAACTTATGAGAAGCTAAAATGCATATAAACATTTCACAACACCTCAGTAGCTGAGACAATAGTAAGCAGAGTTCCCATCAATCAGCTGAAGACAGCTCTCGCAATCCACGGCCATAAATGTTTCAAAGACTAAGCCTCTGTTTACCTCAGCTTTCAGTTCCTCTGATTTGGGGTGTGTGTGTTAAACTGAGAAAGCCACTTCCAGAAACTCTGCCATTTATGCTTTAATGTTTGCCTCTAAATAGTGTCTGAAATATTATCCTAAAATGGCTTTAACTTTGCAGGTTGAGTAGCATTTTTATGTACAGTACTGGATTACTCCAGGAGAACTGGGCTGTCCTTGTTTGATTCCCATTCCTTCCAAAATTATCTGTCTGCCGTTTACTGCTTTTTAAAATAGGGCTGCCATACGTCCAGCTTTTCTGCCGTACATGACTGGGATTTCAAAGGCGGAACTGACGTCCAGGAGGAATTTCTGAAAGGCGGCACTTTGTTCTGGATCTTAGGCAAGTCAATCGTAAATATTGTGGGGGTTTTGGAATTTTTGTAAAAAAGAAAGGAAGAAAGCTCAACAACTGTCCTCATTTGCACTTTTAAAATTTAAATTAAGTGAGTAATTTAATTTATTACAACCACTTTATCATTTTAGCTGTAAAAAAAAGTTCACAAACTTAGAAAAAAACCTCTAAATAAGCCAAATTATAAAAACTGCAAAGCAGCAGCAACATAATCTGTATAAGGGCCAGAAAAAGAACCAGTTAACAAGTGAAAGGAAAACTTTTTTGCTAAGTTTCATAAAATTAGCAGGAAGGAGTGGTGTTGATCTCCTTAGGAGAGTGTTCCAGAACTCAGGGGCTTCTAAGGCCTTGCTTCCAGTGAAAGCTTGGTCTCCTTATCAGTTGGGTGGGGGGGTTGCCACGGTGACAAGGACCTGCCCTCCTTTGTGACATCTCTTGCTTCTCTCTTAAAAGCCACTGACTTGCAGGTGGCCATTGTGGGTTAGTAGTGAGGCAAGTGGAGGAGAGGAGTTCGTGGCGGTTGGAGAAGAGAAGGAGAGGTGTTCATTTGATTGTTATTTATTACTTTTATTTGATTCATTTGAATTTATTATTTTTTGTTTTATTTATTATTTTACTTTTTATTTTAACGCTTTATTTTACTTATTTTATTTTTTGTTCTTTATTTTCATATTTTTTATTTTACATTTTTATTTTGTGCACATATTTTGTATATATTTATTTTGTGCATAGAGGAGTAGTTAGGGGTAAGTGTAGGATTAGGGCGGGGGTTAGGGTTAGGCTTAGAGCTGGGTTTGGGGCCAGAGTTAGGCTTGGGTGGGCATTTTAGATAGTTAGCTAGTTTAGAGAAGAGGGTGGGAATTTTGTGTGAACAAAATGTGCAGACTGTAAGTAGCATTCCTTTGCTTTCTCTTGGTCTCCTGGGGGCGGGGTGTGAGTCCTGGGGTCCCCTGCACAGCCTTAGCTCTCTGGAAATCGACATGGCCAGTCTTCTCCAGAGAGCTCAGCTCCTCCACACTGTCCCCTCTCATCATTTACTGTATTTTTCGCTCCATAAGATGCACCTGACCATAAGACGCATCTAGTTTTTAGAGGGGGAATACAAGAAAAAAATTATTTAAAGGGAACGCTGAGCAGAGTCTGTATGCATCCCAGGTTCTGCTCAGTGCTCCCTTTCACGAGCCGCGTGGAGCGTGCTTGCGGCTCTTAGGGACTTTTCCCCGAGGAGGGGGAAGGGACTGACAGGCTGCGTTCAGCTCTTGCGGGCTTTTCTACGAGGTGGGAGAAGGACAGCCCATCAGTGATGGGCTTTTCCCGCCTGCCTCCCGCCTGCATTCGCTCCATAAGACGCACACACATTTCCCCTTACTTTTTAGGAGGGAAAAAGTGTGTCTTATGGAGCGAAAAATACGGTACATTTACTAGGACATTCCTAGCCCATTTTCCTCCCAGGAGCTCAAGGTGGCTGTTAAGTTGTGGGTGAACATATCAGACGACACAGCTATTCTTCAAACAGCTCTTCGTTATTCAGAGTCAGAACAGAACTAACTGAGGAGCTCAGTCAGCCTGCTTATATAGAGCTCCAGAACAATGTAACAGTTGCCATTTTCTAAAACTATCCAATCACTGAACGTCACTTTCGATCCTTCATTTGCATAACTATCTACAGTATCCCCCTTCTGGCCCAGTACATAACAGTGGCCTCCATGGTTCTCCCTGCCACCAATTGTTATCTTCACAGCTGAGTGGGGATTTGAACCCTGCTCTCCCAGGTCCTCCCGGAAGAAGCTGACTTTCCTCCTCTGCTCTCTTCCAGGAAATCCGTGACCACTTGGAGCGCTTCAGGGATCGCCTCTTGAGCCTGGCCCTGGCCTTCGAGACCCTTCTCCGGCTGATGTGAATGTGGTCTTTGGGGTGGGTGGAGTTGCGGGGGGTGGGGTGGGGAGCAGAACTCCAGGGGGAGCTCCGGGTGGGCAAGAGCAGGCAGGAGGGAAAAGAGGGCAAAGGAGACTTGGAGGAGGCAGCGTCTAACCCCTTCCCTTTCTCTCTCCAGTTTCATGAGACCCCATTTCAGCTGCGCTATGGTCAGTGCTATTCTGCATAGGACAATGGAGGCTGTTCTTGGGGGCGCAGAAAAGGAGGAGGACAAAGAGGTATGTCCTCTGCTTTGACTTCCCTTTGCACAGCTCTTTCTTCTTCTCACACCCTTGCAAGATTTAACCCAGCACTCAACCAGGAACTGAAGCGGCCATTCCAGAGCCTGCTGGGGGTTCTCCTCACTTTGTGACATTTTGTCACCCCCCTCAGTGATGACACCCAGTGTGATCTGCACCCACTGCACCCCACTTCCTATGCCTCTGCTCCTTATAAAATGAAATTCAGAGCAGGACCTCATCAGACAAACTTAAGTGTTGCGGGGGGGGTGTCATACAATATAAATTATATAAATATAAATTATTATACAGAAGGCATTACCTGAGAAACTCTGCATCAAAGACTTTTAGGGCTTTAAATATCAGAATCAGCCTTTTAAATTTGGGCCCACAAATGAACTGGCAGTCAATACAGATGCTTAAAATCATGTGATACTACTAAGCCTTTAAGTGCCACTCATCCCCAGCCCAAATAATATTTAAATTCTTATTGAGGATTTTAAAGAATACCAAAGCACAATGACAAGGAGGATTAGTATCTCTGGGAAACACAGGAATTATTGCCTGCGCAATTGTGCTGGGGGACTATGGATTTCAAAGTAATAATAATAATATAAAGTAGGGTTGCAATATTTAAAAAAAGTGAAAATATGGGGGGGAGGTTTTTTTATTTTTTAAAAGCTTTGTTGAGCTTTTTTCACCAAAAGATTGATGTTTTCTCCCTTTTTTGGGGGGGGGGGGGTTGCAAAAAAAATAAAAATCAACACTTCCAATATGGGAGAATATGGCAGCCCTTTTTCAAAGGCAGTATCTCATTTCTTAATTTGCTTTAGATTTAATTCTAAGGTGCATAAATACATGAATATATTAGCTTCTAATTGTTCTCTCTTCCTTGCATTTTAAAATTAGCATTATACTTCATAAACTTTTACACTTCCATTTTTCTTTCCCTCAACAATTACTATACTAACAATCTGAAGGCCTGAACATTCACTGCCTTACCTCCTGAGAATAGAATACTGATTAAAATTATTTATTTGGGGAAGTCATTAGGAATGCAGTCATACAAAAATAGAAATCTATTGGGATTCTGGGTAAATAGCATAAGCAGTCAATTTTAGGAGTAAAAATTCATTCAGTTTAAACTTGCTGCCAAGGCCAATAGGGCATGAGAAATGGAAATATACAGCATGTGGTAACAGTTTAAAAGCAATGACGGATAAAATTATATTACAGAGGAGATGAGCCTGCTTTTCATGCATGCCCAATAACACCACTTGCTAAACAGAAAAAAAGCAGTAGAAGGACCTGGTAGCAAAAACTGTGGTATTTTCTTTCACAACAGAAGCATCCCTGTATATAGAAAACATAACTTGATAAGTAATATTCAGGCCAACTCCATATTCACAGTATAACATATCATGCTCATACTTATGATATAGGATCAGAGGTTGCATTCATAAATTATAACACAGAAAGGAGGTAAATGGCAAGTTGGAAAGGCAACTTAGCTAAAACAGAAATGTGCAGATAGGCCTACATACATTTTAAACTTGCGGTAGCTTAAGGGATGGCATGGTAGCAGCAACCTGAATTAGGTTTCAGTGTGAAAGCTGGCTTTTCCTGACATGAATGCTAAAAAAATCACCTCCAAAGCAATTCTGAGTAACAGATATGGGAGCCACTACTACATCTTCTCGACCAGGTGCAACTAACTTTTATTGGCCCAAGGGCCACATTCACTCTTGGCCAACCCTCCAGGGGCCACATTCCTATGCAGGATGTGGGCACCCCACCTCACTTGCACACACAGAGAGGAATTGTGCACACAGCCCCACCCCACCCCCGCTGATCCATACAGATCAGTTAAGATACGGGGTAATTGCCTTCTCTTCACTTCTCAAATGATCCATCTGATGAGTAGGAAGGAAACAATTTGCATCCTCACCAGGACTGGCCAGACAGGTTTAAAAGACTCTGTCCACCCCAGTGCTGTGTCTACTTTTAATATTTTCCCCACGTTTCTCCCCTGCTGCCAAAAAGGATGGTGTGGGGGTGGAGGCAGAAAAATTCGCTTGGGGAGCTACGTCAGACCCAGAGGTTGCTCAAGCTTTCTGCTCAAGACTTTTAACATTGTGCTAATGACAAAAAACTGATTGTTATTGTAAAAAGGTAAAGGGACCCCTGACCATTAGGTCCAGGCGTGACCGACTCTGGGGTTGCGGCGTTCATCTCACTTTATTGGCCGAGGGAGCCGGTGTACAGCTTCCAGGTCATGTTGCCAGCATGACTAAGCCGCTTCTGGTGAACCAGAGCAGCGCATGGAAACACCGTTTACCTTCCCGCCGGAGCAGTACCTATTTATCTATTTGAACTTTGACGTGCTTTTGAACTGCTAGGTTGGCAGGAGCAGGGACTGAGCAACGGGAGCTCACCCCATCGTGGGGATTTGAACCGCCGACCTTCTGATCGGCAAGTCCTAGGCTCTGTGGTTTAACCCACAGCGCCACCCGCGTCCCTGATTGTTATTGTGGTACAAGCCAAATTTTTCTTTGTTGGGAAGGAGCATCCCACAGCTGGTCCTACTCACTCCCCAATTGTGGTTCTAAAGCCCATGAATAATCTTTTATTTGTTTTTCTCCTCATCCTCGCCTTAAAACCTTTGTTGCGTAGCATTCCTCCAGCATGTGAGAGCTTGTCCTCAGTTTCTTGTAGTCCATGTGGTTAAACAGATTCCACAATCTTTGCAGTTATTCTGATGTTATGTATTCAAGCCTATTTACTGCCTAGCATATATTGCATCATGTGTGTCGTGCAGCCTAAATGTATCATCTTCAAGGGAAAAAAACTTTTTTATTCTTTGGGAGCATGTCATTTTAGACTAAATCTTCTTCCATCTTTCAGGGGCAAATGTTATGTGAACTAGATCATATGACAAATAATGTGCCATGATGACATTCCCAGGAATGTTAGTAACTTTTGCAGCAATTAAGTCCCATCTGACTCTTAGGAATGATGTATCTTTCTCATAATTCACCAGCAGCTGAATTACTGAGATAGCTTAATGCATCTGGGAATTTTAGCATATAATAATAATAAATCCTTATTTTAGTGGGTTTGGGTTGGATGAAAATAATATGGCCTTTTTGCTTGTAATTCAAAATGTTTAGATCATATATATTTTAATAGTCACTCCATATAAATATGTAAACAGTGCTTAAGGAACTGGATTATGCTGCTCCTTTTAGGCCCTGTTATATAAACTGATATGGGACGCGGGTGGCGCTGTGGCTTAAACCACAGAGCCTAGGACTTGCCGATCAGAAGGTTGGCGGTTAGAATCCCCGCGACGGGGTGAGCTCCCATTGCTCGGTCCCTGCTCCTGCCAACCTAGCAGTTTGAAAGCATGTCAAAGTGCAAGTAGATAAATAGGTACCGCTCCGGCAGGAAGGTAAACGGCGTTTCCGTGCGCTGCTCTGGTTCGCCAGAAGCGGCTTAGTCATGCTGGCCACATGACCCAGAAGCTGTACGCCGGATCCCTTGGCCAATAAAGCGAGATGAGCACTGCAACCCCAGAGTTGTCCACGATGGTCAGGGGTCCCTTTACCTTTTTATATAAACTGATAACAGGTGCACACGGCTCAGACTTTGAATCCTGCCTGGCCACCACCAGAGTCTGACACAAAGGACTCCTGATTGTCTCATAAAAACTTGTTAAGTTTCTATAGTTAACTATATGTAAATATATTTCTAATTTGGGCTACACTGGGTAGAGAAGTTATAAGCATCATTTACTGCAAGACTGATATACATGCATTTAATAAACCAACCATTGCATTAAAAGAAATAAAATACTGCAGTCCTCTTGGCACACAAATAGAAAATGAAGCTCAGGTGTACTTATTTATATTTATGGATGGAGACAGGGTGACTAATTGGCAAGGCCTTTCTTGTGTCACAGGATTTCCTGATTTCTCAGCTCCCTGTATAATTCTTCCATATCAAGCATCCTCCCAATTGCTCAATTATACATAGTCACACCTTTGATAATTACAGTATTCAAATCAGCAATATTACAACTGCAATATTGCGTTCAGAAAAATGAACATAGGAAATCAATTGGAGATTTGTAAGGCATGACTGGACTAGGGCCAGAATTTCCGCAGGGCATTGCTCATACAAAGGAAGTTGTCCAATGCCAAGGCTTCTTGGCACTTAAGCTGAACTGCTTATGATCTCGTTGTCCTATTTCTCTATTCCAATCATCCATTGCTTCCCAACAGATAGCAGGAGACATCTATTTACTCAAGTTCCTGCCACAGCAAGCTATATCTTACATGTAGTCCTGCATGGGGCTCCCAGCAGTCTCCTCTCCCGATTTCTGAACATATCCATGCCTGCTTTGCTTCAGCAATGTTGTGGCATCAGGTGCCAAAGATCCCAGCTTCAATTCCCGACTTCTTGAGGTAGGGCTGGAAAAGACCCCTGCCTGAGCTAAATGGACCAGTACTGTACTCTGAATTGGTATAAGGCAGCTTCCTATGTACGTCAGAACGTTTACTTCTTGCCTGAGAATTATGAAGTGAATGTAGCTGAAAACATATTTGATAGCAACTCATATTAAAACCATGTCTCTCTTACAGACAACTCATATTAAAACCATGTTTCTCTTACAAATAACATGGAGATGACAGTTTTCAGAAAGTTTGTGACCTTTTCTGTATACTATGCTTCTTAACATATGAGAATACAGTGGTACCTCAGGTTACATACGCTTCAGGTTACATACGCTTCAGGTTACAGACTCCGCTAACCCAGAAATAGTGCTTCAGGTTAAGAACTTTGCTTCAGGATGAGAACAGAAATTGGGCTCCGGCGGCGCAGCCGCAGCAGGAGGCCCCATTAGCTAAAGTGGTGTTTCAGGTTAAGAACAGTTTCAGGTTACGTACGGACCTCCGGAACGAATTAAATACTTAACCTGAGGTACCACTGTATAGGATGCAATCTTATACTTAGTCAGACCATTGGTCCATCAAGCTCAGTATTGTCTACAGTGACTGGCAGCGGCTTTCCAGGAAACAGTCCTAGCTCTACCTGGATATGCCAAAGATTGAATCTAGGACCTTCTGCATGCAAAGAAGATGCTCTACTGCTGAACTATGGCTCTTTCCTTAACCCAGGGGATGAAGGGAGTTGTAGTTCTGCAACATCTGGAGGGTCAGAGGTTCCCCATGCTTTCTGTTACCCATAAACCCATGTGATCACACACATTTACTCAGAAGTAGGATCCAATGAATTCAATTAAGTTGGCCTAGGAATGCAGCCAAAGAGTTCTGTAGTCCTTCAAAAATTCTTTTCGTGCAGCCTGTCACTTTAATAATATACTAGCTATGTTTTACCACCAAGTCCACAGGGGAGCTTTCCATCCATGCATTCCCGAAAGGTTGCTCCCAGAAAGGCTCTCATTCATTCCACTAAACTAAAACAGCAGAAGAATCGAGTGATATTAATAGAAGCGTGCTTGCTCCAGTGGACAAGTACAATGGAGAAATAATTTGAAATATGGCCATAATTATTAACATGGATAAACTTGTACATATTATTCATTTTCTGAGCCAAGAATAATAAATATAGTTCAACACAACTGCAACGAACTCACACCTATTATAAAAAAGGTTCCATTTATATAAAGGGGTAAGTATTTATAGGTTTGGACTTGGAAGCAGGCCCAGATTTCTGAGCTTATTTAAATTAGTACAGCTCCAATTAAGAAGTGATGCCACTTTAAATGAACTGAGCACCCTGAAACATGTTATCTTTAAGCAGTTTTGAAGTTTCGGAGTGAGTGAGTGAGTTTAATGTCATTTTTATTGTAACTAAATTTGGTTTGCCATTCTGATTATTTTATTTTCTCTTTCCTTTCCTGTCAATAGGTTGAACACAATCTGTGGGAAAACACTTGGGATTTGATATGTCATCATGGCCTTGAGCTGTTCATTAAGAAGCATTGATTAGATTAGATTAGCTCTGTAGGTACAAGCATATACACCTAGACTATGTAGTAAAATGTGAAAGCAAAAACAAAAAGTTACAGAGATCTATTTACTTAAGATTACTGTTCCTCTCTAACTGCTTTATCAGCAACTGAGATTTCCTAAGCCTGCTACAGATCCTGATGCAGGAGACCTAAGTGTAACAAGCTATGATTCAGCTATCCAAGTAGGCTTGCTAAGATGTACAGTATAAGACTGAATCAGATAAATGCTGGAGATGCAATGAGGTCGAGGGTATGTTCTTTCATATGTGGTGGACCTGTAAAAGGGTAAAAGAGTATTGGGAAATAATTTATAATGAATTGAAAAAAAAAAGTTTAAAAGCACTTTTCCAAAAAAACCGGAGTCCTTTTTGTTGGGGATAATTCAGATGGGAATTCCCAGGTGTCAAAAAAGCTTATTTATGTATGCCACTACGGCGGCCCGTGTTTTGTTGGCCCAAAAATAGAAAATGAGTGAGGTTCCAACGAAAGAATAATGGTAACTCAAACTGATGGAATATGCGCAGCTTGCGGATCTAACTTACAGAAAAAGAGAACGAGAAGAACATTTGTTTAAAGAAAATTGGAAAATGTTTATTGAATATATGGTGGGAAATTGTGTACACTTGAAAACGTTGGCAGTATTAAGATAAATTCAACAGTGTAAATAAGTTTTGATGGAAGTAAAATGGTTTATATAAAATATGCAGGGATTTATGCTATGCAAAATGAACCATGGAAAGAAAAGAAAGGAAGTCACTGATATTTTAGGGTTGTTTAAATGAATAGGCCCCACCCAGTGTGGTTATGACTTCCAGGCACACTTGCAGTTTGACATTATTGGCTGCTAGCTGGTAAGCTACTTCTGGAGATCCACCGGCCTGCAAAAATTGGGTGGAGCAAGCTACCTGGTTTTGTTTGCAGCAGAAACCCATAGGGCAAGATGGCAACACTTCAAGAAAGCAAGGCAGCTGGAGTCTTGGCACCATTCATAGCTCCAATAAAGGTAGAAAATGCCTGAGGCTTCATAATTCACTCAATCCCTCAGCCCAGATTAGTCCTCCTAGGCTCCACCTTTAGAGCATAGTTTCTTAAAGGGGCAACTCCCTGCCTTGCAGAAGAGCACTTCGTTGTCTCGCTGGCTTCTTGCCTAGTATGCTCCTTGTGTTTCTGGACAAGTGTTGTGGAGCAGAAGGTGCTTGGCTCTTTGGGTGAATCACATCTGGGGAGTGTCTGGGTCTGTCTCAGAATCCACAGGGCTCATAGTCATCAGCCTAAGGCTTGGTATCAATAACCCAGCTGTATTTTTCAGAAGATTGTACAGTGACCACAAACTCCTCTTTCTCCACCTCAGCCTTGGCTCTTTTTCAAGGGCAGGGCTGCCACACTCAGCAAACAGAAAGTCTACAGCTTTGAGTACTTTATTCTAAACGTCATGCCTATCTTGAACAGCAGGTTTTCCCAACTTTGTACATTGCCTTCTGATTTCATACTCAGGGATATAAAGACCAGTCACCCTACTGGAATCAAAGGAATTCCTTCCGTGTTATAAATTGCATCAGTGTGCAATGTGAGGAAATGATCTCTCTCTCCAGTAAGATATAAATATTCATTCTGTGTGCATAGTATAATTGGCACTAGCTTATCACAGTGATCATCACCCACACATTTTTTTTGTAAACCAGCCTAGCTTTCTTCTGTTTTTTCAGTCTCATTTAAGGAACAGCAATTTGCGTAACTTCAGACTTGACAATATCGCTCCCCTCATCTCCTCCTACACTCCCCCTCACACCTTGCCAACTCCCTACATTCCATCACCCTAAGTTTCTCATGATTACGCCCTTTGTCTCTTTTCCCATTCTTTGCCTCATGCATCATTTCATTTAACCGCTTTATATTCAGCACAAGCACAACAGCTTTCATAATCACTAAATATCATTTCCCCCTTCATTGAAAAAAATCCTGCTAAATAAGCATCTGGTCCATGAATCATATGCCAGTTATAATAAGCCATCTCTCAACTGAGTTTGACAAGCAGTATAGTAATTTTGTATGCAGATAAATATCCAATACAAAAACAGTGCAGGCATCTTGAATCTCTTCATTTGATGCCCTTTGCTTTTTTAGCGGTGCTTGAGCCTGCAGGACAGTTCAAAGGAAGTCTCTCAAAACATGATGGCCAGGCTCAATGTGGACTTAATGGCCTTACCCTTTAGATGGAAAAATGATACATCTTTACATACACCTGAAGCAATTGATGGTTGCTGCTTCATGTACAGCAGAGGGGAGAGCATTCCACAGTACAAGCGCAATAGCTGGAAAGGCCTGTTTTCAGGGACATCGCCCAATGACATTCTGGAGAGTGCAGAATCATGAGGAGACTATTCCACAGATGATTTAAGTGAACTTACAGGTCTACAGAGGGGAAGGTCCTCCTCCAGGTAACGTGGTCCCAAGTTGCTCATGGCTTTATGCGTTTACACAAGACCTTGCGCATAGCCCAATAACTGATCGGAAGCCAGTGCAGTTCTCTCAGAACAGGGGCAATGTGTATTTCCAGGTGTTCTCCTCAGCAGTCTGGTCACAGCACTCTGCTCCAACTATGGACGTAGGCCTGGCCAGGATGGCTTTCCTGTTATACCTTCTGGGCTCAATGAGGTATCCGACCTTCACCTGAGCCTACTCCACACACCTCCTGAGGCAGCCATTTCACACCACTTCATCGGTGGGGTGGCCTTGCCTGAGATCATTATGGGCATGCACACTGGTATCTGCTTACCTGTAAGCACATACTTAAAAAAAATAAAAATACAACTTTCTCAATCTACCAAATTTGCACAAAACAGCAGCCGTGTGTGTGTGTTTGTATTGCTCCAAGCCAGGAAAGTTGAGATCCACGGGTTTTTATTTAAATGTGCACATACACCTTTTGTTATCTACAATGCTTGCACAAAAGAGAAGTCCAAAAATAAAAATAAGCAATGCCTCACTCCAAACTAAGTAAGGATTTGCTAGTTCCTAGGAACAATCATTGCGTACACCATGCAGTGCGTAGATGGGTCTACTTCGTCCGAGCATCTGCACCCAGAATTTAAAGTAGCAGACATTTAATAACCACCAAGAATTTCCTCTTAGGCCCACACAGCAGAACTGGTTTTACCAGAGCTCAGCCTCCAGAAAAGTATAGATCTCCGAGTGACAACAAACTGAGTGTACCTTCCCCTTCCTGCACATCTGTATGCACCCTTAAGGTAATTGGAATGTTCCTGTTAGGAAGCGACTTGAAAACTACCTGTTCCAAAAAACTCAGTGCGGGTCCTTTTTATTCCAAGTATGGTAGTTTGCCTAGCCATAACCCCTGAAGGCAGAAAGGGAGCAGCTACTTCTGCATAGACGTACTATTAAAGGAATCCCAAACACATTTACTTGAGAGTAAGCCCCACTGGGACTTGTTAATTGCTCCACAAGCATAACAGGATGGGGCAGCAAGATTATCTTTAAGACATCAAGAGCTAAGTAGCATAGATTTATTTATGTGTAATTTCAGTTTCCATATCCTAAAAGCTGGTGGTAATTTGGCTTCTAGGTCAGTTCAGCAGGTTAGCGGTATCCTACCTCACGAATTAGATAAAATACATTCTTGTTAGCGGCGGTACTGGTAGAGTGGAAGACAGGGAAGTCAACAGTAGGTGGCGCCAGGGTCAACTAATTCCACCTTTGCTCCCATTCTCTTCCAGCTGAGTTCCAGAAGTCTAAGGAGGAGAAAGCTGACAGGCACACACTCCCCTCAGGGCTGACTGGTTCTCAAGGGAACGTATTAAAAAGTATGCCATGTTGTGTATAAAAAGAAGACTGGGCTCTGCTGCTAAGTTCTTCAACTGTGTCATACAATATTGTGCTTAGGTCCCTGCTCTTTTACAGATGGTTGTTAAAATATGAAGGATTCATGCAACACTCATTATTTAATTTGAGATCCACCTTACAAAAAATAATAATGACTTCATTCAAAGCTTATTTGTAATGCCTTTATCATAAAATGCTTAGGAGTCTGACACAGACATTATAGACTTGAATGTAGTTTCTTACTGGACTACTACAACTATATATTTTGAGAGGTATAAAGCTTATTTTAAGTTGTTCTAATATGTGGAGCCTGAGAGGTGAGCAGAATTGTTGTTTGTTTGTTGTTACTACAGTGGTACCTCAGGTTAAGTACTTAATTCGTTCCGGAGGTCCGTTCTTAACCTGAAGCACCACTTTAGCTAATGGGGCCCCTGCTGCTGCTGTGCTGCCAGAGCACGATTTCTGTTCTCACCCAGAAGCAAAGTTCTTAACCTGAAGCACTATTTCTGGGTTAGTGGAGTCTGTAACCTGAAGCGTATGTAACCCGAGGTACAACTGAACTACTACTGAGTTGCCTTGCCTTTGCATGAAGTCTTGGGTTTACAATTTTGGGAGAGGTGAGACTGCGGCACTGGGGAGAGGGCAGGCTGGTGAGGCCCCCTAGACTTAGAGGCCCGAGTTGCCCTGCCCTCACATGAAGTCTTGGGTTTGCAATTTTAGGGGGGGGGGACTGCCCGCTGGGGAGCGGGAGGACTGGTGAGGCCCCCTATATTTAGAGGCCCTAGGCTTCAGCCTACTTTTAAAAAAAAGGGATCCCTGACTGTTAGGTCCAGTAGTGGACAACTCTGGGGTTGCAGGGCTCATCTTGCTTTACTGGCCGAGGGAGCTGGAGTACAGCTTCCGGGTCATGTAGCCAGCATGACTAAGCCACTTCTGGCGAACCAGAGCAGTGAACGGAAACACCGTTTACCTTCCACGCCGGAGTGGTACCTATTTATCTACTTGCACTTTGATGTGCTTTCAAACTGCTAGGTGGGCAGGAGCTGGGACTGAACAACGGGAGCTCACCCAGTCGTGGGGATTCAAACTGCCAACCTTCTGATCGGCAAGCTCTAGGCTCTGTGGTTTAGACCACACTGCCACCCGCTTAGCCTACTTAGCCTATACATAAATCCGGCACTGTCCAAAACAGGCTTTCAAAATCAGCAGTGCTATCCCAGACTAAATGATTCAAGGACTGTAGTAGCCACAATCGCATGGTGGCATTATGCAACCCTGTTAGAAACAAGCCTCCCATTCCAATAGTGCAGTAAGACCTGCACCAGCAGTTGACAATTCCAGGAGGCTAAACAGCCTTACCATCATTGCCTTCCCAAACATTTACTTTTCTGTTGTCAGCTTTCTCTGGAGAGATGTGGGAGCCAGCTGTATATCATCTATCCCTCCCTTCTGAACCAGGCTCCTAAAAACCAGTACCAGAAACTTTATTGTTGGTTAACTCTTGTTTTGTTTTGTATTTTATATTCTTAAGATAATAATAATAATTTTATTATGTTATGTCCTGCCCATAAATAACAAAAGTCTTTAAAGAGTGAAATTTGCTTCTTGGCTCTCTGTGTAACACAATTACCATGAGCAGAACAGGATCTTCACTGCTGCAATTATACAAGTGTCAAAAGCAGGGCAAGAGGCCACTGTGAAGCCTCATCCGCTTGGTCCATTGTACTGAGAAGTACCAGCTTTTGTTTCCAGAATGCCTCTGAACAGCTATTCACGAACATCTGCAGCCGTGTCATGAAACTGCCAGTTGATTGTGTCACTGGACCGTGGAATTGTTTTGATGCTATACTCAGCAGCAGACATCAATTGTTAACAATAATTGCATTAAAGCTTAGGGCTGCTTCCTTTTGGTATCCCAACAATAAACAAAAACTTTTGTATGCCTTATGCACCTCCAAGAACAGCCTCTAGAGGGAGATATTTGCCATACTAGAGTGTGTTCTGGAAGCCAGGGGATCATGGGTTGGTGAGGAGTTATTTTGGAGGCAGGGCATGTGATTGTAACAGACAGAGTTGTCTTCTCCCTTGTTGATCTGTAAAAGTTGTTTTCATAAACTGGATCACCGTCGTATGTATGGAATAATGTGGCTGCCTGTAACTGGAGTATGCCGTAAAGCAGGGTGGCAAGATAAAAGTCAAGGCTCAGCACTTTTAAACCAGACCCTCCAAGTGTACTTATTTTCCAGGGATGTCCCTGATTTAGAGAAGCCATCCTGGTTTCTGATTTGATCTTTGAATGTCCCACTTTTTCTTAGGCTGTCCCTCTTTAAATTGGGGAAAGGGTATGACGTTATTCGACCCCCAAGCCATCTGAAGGCAATCCTGCATAGGGAAGTTTTTTTTAATGTTTGATGTTTTATTGTGTTTTTATATATGTTGGAAGCTGCCCAGAGTGGCTGGGGCAACCCAGTAAGATGTGTGGGATATAAATAGTAAAATTATTGTTATGGAATGGGACGTCCCTATTTTCATCAGAGAAATGTTGGAGGGTATGTTAATAGTTGTGCAGAAGAGGAATTTGAAGTGTGGCTTGCATGACAAGCTACACCTGCCGACATTTTGCTACACAGCTACTGCACTCTTTTTCACCTGATCACCCAGCTACAATATTTTAATATTATATTTTATTGGAAGTATGCCCAGCTCACCTCTTTAGAAGCACTTCTGGGTTAAGACTGCAACCTACAAAGTATGAGCCACAAATTTCAAGAGTAGCAAATATGGAAACATTTATATTGAAAAGCATTTTTTTGTACTTTGTCCTGCTGTCCATGTGGAGGGAATTCCATAATTTAACTAGATCCTAAGGCCATATGAAAAACCCTGCTGGGTAACACCAAAGTCTCACCTAGCTCAGCATCCTCTTATCAGTGACTAACCAGATGCCTATGGGATGCCCCAAAGAATTTCCCATTCATCATGATGGAAATAAAATAAAAAGGCTTCTTCACACTAGTTCCAGGAAGTTCAGAAAACATTCAGCACTTTGCTGCTATTATGGCTAATGACAGGACCTCATTTATTCAGCAGCTCCATGTTTTAACGCTTTAAAGGAAAGCAGTAGGAGGCAGTGGATTATTGGAGCTGGAGGGAAGATATGAAGAGTTAGGTTTAGAACATTCAGGAAGATTATTAGCTCAGAATATGCTCTCCCACTGTTAAAGCACACCTCAAAACTCAAGTATATTCTTACTGTTATTTATGATAAACTAGCTATTACACCCCAACCCGTGGCCTTATTGTGTGGGAGTAGAAATACGCTGGAATTGTGTGGGAAATACGTTTGGAGGTTACTAAGCACCATTACTTTTTTTAGATCTTCTGAAAATATGGTACCTACCTCCACCCAAGTCCAAAGGTTACTGCTTTGACAAATAAATGCAGCCATATCCTCTTAAAGTGTACCTAGAAGAAAATATTTAAGAGCTTAATGTGCTTACTTCAAATTAAATGTGCATAGGATCACTGCTTTTGTTATTTTACTCAGTCCAAACAGTAAATTGCTACTATAATTTGTACTATAATACATACTCTGCATTTATACGGCACATTTCTGAAGTAGGTAATCCTTATAACCACCCTGCAAAGTGGTCAGGATCATTAACCCCATTTTAATCATTACATGGTATTTGGCCTCAGTCCTGAGATGCAAGCTTAGCTACACCTTCAAAGTATAATTCATCCAGGCTGCCATTTTCAGTGATCTATTGTTCATAAATGCAAATTAGAATCCATACTTCAGCTATAAGCAAACATCAGAAGAGTGGAGGGGATTTTTATTTTATTTTTTTGCTTTACCATTCCTTAACTATGTAGACTGTCAATGCAACAGGTTGGTTAAAGATATTAAGGCATTTAAAGAGATCTTTAGCGTGTTCCAGTGCGTGCATGCGCTAACTCCGTGTTAGTGTTTGGTATGTTGAACAGGTAATTATCAGGAGAGAAAGCGACTGTGTAGAACAAACATATGCAGCACTGAAGATTTGTTCGCTATAAAAGCTCTGTGGCTGGAATCCTATACGCTCGATACTGAACTCATTCTTTGAGTGTGAATCCTTTTATCAGCAAGCTCGGAGGAACCCAAAGATTTGCAGAAGTACAAAAACTCTTGCAGTAGGGTGGGAGGAAATCTGACAGGGATAGATCCCCCAAAACAGACCAACGTTGCCGTGGCATGCTGGCTGAAGGAGGGGGAGGGAAATGGAGTGGAGTATTGTGAAAAATGATGGGACGCAGGTGGCACTGTGGGTTAAACCACAGAGCCTAGGACTTGCCGATCAGAAGGTCGGCAGTTCGAATCCCCGCGACGGGGTGAGCTCCCATTGCTCCGTCCCTGCTCCTGCCAACCTAGCAGTTTGAAAGCACATCAAAGTGCAAGTAGATAAATAGGTACCGCTCCAGTGGGAAGGTAAATGGCATTTCCGTGCGCTGCTCTGGTTTGCCAGAAGCGGCTTAGTCATGCTGGCCACGACCCGGAAGCTGTACGCCAGCTCCCTTGGGCAGTAAAGTGAGATGAGCGCCGCAACCCAAGAGTCGGTCATGACTGGACCTAATGGTCAGGGGTCCCTTTACCTTTACCTATTGTGAAAAAAGGCATGGCTGTCTAGCACCTTGCACAGGAGCACTCTGCACTGCAACACTTTGTTGCAGGTCCCATTTGTCCTATATTATACCTTCAACTCAGTGGGACTCGCAGCCCAAACTATTGAAGATTCAGAAGCAAGTACCACCGACTGCAACGGATGACACAGCTAACCTTTACTCACTGGGAGACCCATTGACTTAAGTTAGGTCCATGATTCCCAATAGAAAAATTGAAGACCACCCCACTGAAACTTCCTACAATCGCAACCTTAATAGCCAAAGTAAACATGACTGGATCACCAGTTTAAAAAGCCTTTTATATCAAACGCAACTTTTTTTTCCCTGGCAGGTGCTTATGGAGGTCTCTTGGGCGGTGGTGCCCCTGAAACGGGACTGCAAAAGGAGCATGCAGCCCCCCTCCAAAAAAAAAAACCCGCAGCAGAGCTTCCTTCTTCTGAGGTGAAGCGTGGCAATATCCTTCGACATCTAACGCGTGTCCAGAGTCCAAAATGACCGTGCGGACATCCCAATTTTGGGTTGGGATTATAACCCTAACCCCCCCCCAGCAAACCACAGCGTCCCCTCCCCCCCCCCGAAACTCTGTGGGACATTTACCGAACCAGGGCCGGGGTAGCGTAGAAAAGCCCCCCCAAAAACAATGTGTGTGGTGGGGAGGGGGCATTTTGTAGCCGAGAGGCCGCCTGCCCGTCGCGCCTCAGGCCAGGGCGCTTCCCCTCGGGCCGGGGCCGCTTTCTGCTGCCGGGATGCCGCCGCGGCTCCGGCAGGGGGCGCTGCCACGGGGGGGGGCGCCTTTCCCGGCCGCCTCTGACCCATCCCGGCCGCCTTAGCTCTCCTCAGGCTCCGGGCCCGGCCGCCGCTGGAGGCTCCTCGGCCTCCTGAGGGAGCAGCGGGCCAGCGAAGGCGTCGCGGCGGCGGGGAACGAGCGAGCGAGCGCCGGCGAGGCCTGCGGCCCGGGACCATGTTCACCAGCACCGGCTCCAGCGGGCTGTGTAAGTACCGCTGCCCTTGGCTGGGGGACGGAGGGAAGGGGCAAGGCAGGCGGCCGCCCTCCGGAACCCGGCTCTCCCTTTCCCCTTCCCCGGCTCCTCTCTCCGGGCGCCCGCGCGGAGTCTCCTCCCTCTTCCGCTCTCCTCGGCCCTCCCCAACCCCGAAACCCGCTGGCCGCCACCCGGCGGGGGGACGTTTCCAAGAGCCGCGCAGGCCCGGCCCGTCGCTTCGTTAAGAAGAAAGGATCGCCCCCCCCCCGTGTCGCAGTTTTTGCGCGTGTGCACGGCGCCAGCTCGGAACGCGCGTTAGCCGGATCGCGAGTCCGCCTTTAGTGGGTACCTAGAGTCCCAGGAAGTTCGCATTGCGATAATAATAATAATAATAATAATAGAAGAAGAAGAAGAACTTTTTTCTAGAAAAATAGGTGCAGGTACTCACCATGAAGTTGTTATAGTGTCACAATTTTTAACCAAAAAAGTGTCACAATTTTTAACCAAAGAAAGAGAGGTGCCTGTACTCACCATGAAGTTGTTACAATGAGTGTCACAATTTTTAACCAAAAGAAGTGTCACACTTTTTAACAACAACAAAAAGTGCTGGTACTGCATATCCTTGAGTATCCACTGGGGGGGAAAGTGATGATGATATACTTTTATTATTTATACCCTGCCCATTGGGCTGGATTTCCAACACATATAACATCGTCAAACATAAAAAAACTTCCTGATACAGGGTTGCCTTCACATGTCTTCTCAAAGTTCTAAAAGAAAGGTCTTGTCGTTGAAAGATGCATCTCTTTGGTTTTTGCCGCAACGGGCTTAACCCTCTGGAATCAGCATATTACTATTATTTATTTTATTTATTAAATGGCTATACTGGCCTTCATTCGAGAATGGCAGGGAGGTTTACAATATCAAAAAACACACAAAACAAAACACAAAAATACATGACATAGTAACAAACGAAAACAGTAACTCCCCACAGTTTAAAAGGCCATAGATTCTCCAATTAAGCAAAGTTCAGAGAGACATACTTCCAAATAAGTGTGCACAGGGTGGCAGCAACACATTTGATTGATTGATTGATTGATTGACTGATTGATTGCCCACCTTTCAACATAAGGTCCCAGGGCAGGTTACAGCATTAATAACAATTAACAACTTACAACAGCTATAAAAATAAATACGAGGTGGGTCCTAAAAACATACACTTCAAGTGTTAAAAGCCAGGGGTAAAAAAGTGTGTTATTCCACATTTCCTCCAAGGCAACGCTCATGGTTTCTTCCGTCTTACCTTCAACAGCAGTCCTGTGCAATAGGTTAGGCTGGAACACAGCGATTGGTCTGAAGTCATTCAGTCAGTGTCATCGTTCAGGGAATTGAACCTGAACCTTCCTGCACCTAAAGCTACAATCCTGAAACCTCTAGCACTTAACTTCTGAATAGACAGGGTTAGGATTGTGTTGCAATAATATAACCATCGCAGTGCACTCCCTCCTCACCCTTGACTCACAATGGCCTTAGCAGGGAAATTGTTTCCCACCATGTGTTCATGTTAATAATACGTTGTAAATCTGTGTGTTTTCTATATCTGACTGCATGTAAACGACAGCGCAGAGTGAAACTGTAGAATTCACTTCAACAAGACGTGATGGCCAACAATTTAGATGCCTTTAAAGTGAGATTGGATAATGCTGTCAATAGCTGCTGGTCATGATAAGTGTATACTACTTTCAGGATCAGAAGCAATGTGCCCCAGGATATCATCTGCTGAGGAACAACAGTGAGAAATGGCTGTTGCCCTCATGTCCTGTCTGTGGACTTCTCATAGGCATCTGGCCAGCTGCTGTCGAAAACAGCATGCTAGATTAAAAGGAGCTTTGGTCTTATCCGGGACGGCTGTTTCTAGCTGCACTCAGCTAGTTGAGTTACACATTTTTGTTCTTCCGTTGTGGTTATGGCACAACTGGAGTCTGGACTGTGTAAGAATGAGCTGTGTTGGCCAACTTAATATAGTATAGGGATGTTTTACCTGGTGACTGGATGACTTGTAAGAATGTGGGAAGAGCATTAAACCTTAACATGAACTTTCCCTTAACATTCTCCTCTGCCTCCTGTTGCATGAGTTCAAATTCCACCCCTTTACCAGTAGGATACACAGATAATGCACATTAAATAGCACCTGTGGTCGAGACTGCATCAACTAGTTAGAGCAAGACCAAGTATTATTGCAGAGCAGTTATTGTCCAGTCTCTGAACCCTTGAGTTTAAATCGGGTGGGGAGCTATGGGCTTCATGATATTGTTGAAGTCTAGCTCCCATAACCCCAGCCAACTTGGCCAATAGTCATGCAATATTATGTTGAGCCAGCTTGGCCAATAGCTGTGCAATATTATGTTGAGTTGCATTACAATATTATGCGGAGGGCCACAGTTTCCCCACCCCTTGTTTAGATAATTTGGAAAGAGTGTCATATACTCAATATTGTTGTTTTAAAAAGAAGATTCTGATTAGAAATTATATTTAAAATGCTTGCTATTTCTTCAAATTAGGATCCCCCCCTTTAATCCTTTTCATTCAAGTGAAGCGTGGAGTGCTGAACTCCTTCAGTGTAGCAGAGGTGGAGTTCTCTGTTTCTCTCCTGTACCCAACATAGCAAGAGGGCTATTGGAGGAGGCAAGCCCCCTCTTCCCCACCTAGCATAGGAATGCAGTGAGTTGCTGGAGGGGAAGACAAATAGTAGGTGAATAGGGCAGTGCATACAGGTGTTTTAAAGATTACAGCCTTTGTTTTAATT